AAGCCCGTGGAAGCCGGTGCCGAGCAAGCGGTAGCACCTTCGTTCCTAGTGGGACCGTCGCCCAAGACGGTCAGCGAGGGCGAAACCGTCACGCTGGACTGTGTGGCCAATGGAGTGCCCAAGCCGCAGATCAAGTGGCTACGCGACGGCGAGGAGCTCGATCTCAATCATCTCGATTCACGCTTCTCCATCACCGGCACCGGCTCGCTGCAGATATCCGGCGCCGAGGACATCGATTCGGGTAACTATCAATGCCGGGCCAGCAACACGGTGGACTCCCTGGACGCCCAGGCGACGGTGCAAGTGCAGGTGCCACCGAAATTTATACAGGCGCCACGCGACAAGACCGCCTCCGAGAAGGAGGTGCTCAACCTGGAGTGCGCCATCCACGGCAAGCCCAAGCCGACCATTCGCTGGCTAAAGAACGGCGACGTCATCACGCCCAACGAATACCTGCAGTTTGTCAACGGGCACAATCTGCGCATTCGCGGACTGCTCTACTCCGACGCGGGCATGTTCCAGTGCGTCGGCACCAATCCCGCTGGCACCGTTCAGGCGTCGGCTCGACTGCGTGTTGTGCCGCCAGGAGGTAAGAGACTTGCCAGCCCCATTGTATATACGTAGTGGTAGACTCTACTTGCTTGGTGTCCAGTATTTTATGCTCCAGCTTACGCAATCGGCCCTCTAACTGTATCATAAACCACACTTAACGAAATTAACGCCGCTTCCCGACCCCTCGAATTCCCTCAGCTCTTGTAAAATAATTTCATATGTTTTGTATATAAGTAATATAAAATATAAATATATATATGTGTGTGTGTGCGTATCTGTTTGTATCTATGTGTTTTGTATTGTTTCTAAATATAAGTTACCTTCATTTAACCAACTAATTCGCTTTTGCCCCGAAATAGAGCCTATAGAGAGAATTAGGAAGTAGATGATGGAGGCTTTGTAGCTACCTTGTAAAATCATTTGTATATAGTTGGTCTATAGTTTGATCCTTTACGAGATGATATCAAAAGAAGTTCTGAAATATTATTAAAACCATTAGAGACTATAATTCGGTAAACCCCGTCTGAGTTAAATTTTCTGTAAAAGCTAAGTCTCAGAATGATTATACAAGTCTTGTTCAGATTAAGTAAAGAATAAAAAATAATTGAATGAAGTCAACATTTATTAAAGTCTTAAGGTTGATTTAATAGATCTTAACTACATAAAGTGATATAGTTAAATTTTCTCATGTGAGATTCAGATAATAATAATTAACGATTTTTACATAGTATCAATTTTAAACTTCTTCAAATTTCAACTTCTTTACTCAATATTTTTCATACTCTTTCAAATAACTAGTCCAATTAGAATTTAAATTCTACCTATATATATTCATATCAGAATCTAAAATCTTCCTTCCCATCTTAAGTATTCCTTTGATACTGGGAATTCTGTACATATATGAAGCTATCTATTCTATCTCTTCCATATCTCCTGTTTACTATGCCTTGAATAACATTTTAAACATCCTCTAAGTAATATTTGATATTTCGAATCCCAACTCACGCGTGGGCAGTCAAAAAGCGAATTTGATTAATTTCCCTATGATTTGATTAATTAATTTATTAACTTATTGTTTATTCACTTGCTTTTTTTCCACTCCACATCATGATTTCCGCCAACCGTTTATCAAATCCCTCATTATCCCATCCAAACTCCCGCCCATCCAAAGCCAAAATCAAACAACGTAAACATCAAGGCCACACAACAAAATCCCTGCACAGTTCCGACAACAACAGCAACAACAACTACAACAACAACAGACGACGACGACCTTTCAACTCGGCTGAGCTGCGCACCAAGGCAGGTGGCAACAGCTATTTAGACTTGGACAGTGACGATTACAGTTATGCGGATGAGAAATCCGCCGAGATTCCGTTGCGCAAATTTGCGCGTCCCATCGAACAGCCGCTCAACGATCGCAACTACGGGGCGGGCGAGATCAGTGCGCTGCGGCGACAGAACGAGGACTCGGACGACCTTGACGATGAGTATGACGATGCGAGTGCTGATAAAATACTGGCCTCCTGGCAGCATAAGAACAAGAACCAACAGCAACAACAACAACAAACACAACAACAACAACAACAAATGTCCCCCACATCCAATTTTGCCTCAACAGATTTAAGCGCAGGCGAGGAAATTCCAAGCGATGTGAAGCCCCTGAGCAGCGGTCTAGTGGCCCGCCTACCCAGTGCGCCACGCAACCTGGTGGCACAGATTGTGAAGCCCCGCTTCGTGACGCTCAGCTGGCAGGAGCCGCTGCAGAACGCCAACGAGGTGGTCTCCTACACGGTCTTCTATCGCGTGAGCAACAGCGAACGGTAAGTCGGCATGGATTAGAAATGAGATCACTCACTCATCGACTCATTCCTTTCACACAGTGAGCAGAAGATCGTCACCCAGTCGCACGAGGATCAGCAGGTCAGCATACAATCCCTGCTGCCGGGTCGCACCTATCAGTTCCGTGTTGTGGCCAACACGAACTTTGGCATCGGTGAATCCTCGCTGCCCCTCGAGGCGAGCACCCTGCCCGAGGTGAACATCGCCGGACCGCCACGCAACGTGGACGCCTATGCGCGCAGCCACAAGGAGATCTACGTGCACTGGCAGCCGCCCACCGTGACCAACGGCGAGATACTCAAATATCGTGTTTACTACTCCGAGGTAAGCACTCAGAGTCCTTAACCATCTGTCTACCAGCTACTCACCATTCGCATCCTCCACAGAACGACAGCGGTGCTGATCGATACAATGACAGCACGTCGCTGGAGCTGCTGCTCACCGATCTGCGTCCGTATACGGACTATGTGATCAGCGTGGTGCCTTTCAATCGCAATGGCATGGGCGACTCCTCCGCTGAGCTGAAGGTGAAGACCTTCTCCTCAACGCCCTCGGAGCCGCCCAATAATGTCACCCTCGAGGTGACCAGCTCGAGCGTAAGTAACTGAAGCACTCCTCCATTAGAGTCTAGGCTAATTTCTCGCTTTGCCATTCACAGTCCATTACAGTGCATTGGGAGCCTCCCGCTGAGGAGGATTGCAATGGCCAAATAACGGGCTATAAGATACGCTATCGCAAGCTGAAGGATGCGCCCCAGGCGAAGAGCACGCCTGCTAATATACGCTACTTCGAGCTGAACTCACTGGATCGCAATGCCGAGTACCAAGTGAAGATTGCCGCCATGACTGTCAATGGCTCCGGCCCGTTCACCGAGTGGTATCGCGCCACTACGCTGGAAAACGATCTGGATGAGACACAGGTGCCGGGCAAGCCCGTCTGGATCAATATACAGCCAGGCGCTGATAACATTGGACTGCACTGGGGTCCGCCGCAGCAACCGGAGATCAAAATACGCAACTATGTGCTGGGCTGGGGCCGTGGCATACCCGATGAGAATACCATTGAGCTGAAGGAAACGGAACGCTATCATGTGCTCAAGAATCTCGAGTCGAACATGGAGTATGTGGTATCGTTGCGAGCACGCAATATAAAGGGCGACGGCCCGCCCATCTACGACAACATCAAGACCCGCGACGAGGAGCCGCTCGATGTGCCAGTGCCGCTGGAGGTGCCAGTTGGACTGCGCGCCATTACCATGTCCAGCTCGTCGATCGTCGTGTACTGGATCGACACGATGCTGAACAAGAACCAGCACGTGACCGACAATCGGCACTACACGGTCAGCTACGGCATCACGGGCTCCAATCGCTATCGCTACCACAACACGACCGATCTGAATTGCATGATCAACGATCTGCGTCCGAACACGCAGTACGAATTCGCCGTTAAGGTGGTGAAGGGTCGGCGCGAGTCGGCATGGTCCATGTCGGTGCTGAACACCACCTATCAGAATGTGCCCGTTACGCCGCCGCGGGAGGTCAGCGTGCGCCTGGACGAGCAGAATCCGCACAATGTGATCGTACAGTGGCTGCCGCCCAAGCACACAGTTGGCCAGATAACTGGCTACAATGTCTACTATACGACAGACACGACGAAGCGGGACCGGGATTGGGCGATCGAGGCGTTTGCCGGCGATGAGACGATGCTCATGCTGCCCAACCTGAAGCCCTACACCACCTACTACTTCAAGGTGCAGGCACGCACCACCAAGGGCGGCAACAATGCGCCCTTCTCTGCCCTAACGGCATTCACCACCAGCGCCGCGGTCATCATGCAGGAGGCGGACACCATTGCCAAGGGCATCGATAATCAGAATCTGCTCTACATCATCATTGGCAGCACAATTCTGGTGCTCGTCCTCTTGCTCTTGGGTCTGCTGCTCTTCTGCCGGCGCAAGCCGCAATCCTCGCCAGAGCACACCAAGAAGAGGTAAGACGACAGCTTTATACCTAACTCTCAGCCTTAACTAATTACATTGATTTCTTAATTAGCTATCAGAAGAACAATGTGGGCGTGCCCAAGCCCCCAGACCTATGGATACATCATGACCAAATGGAGCTGAAGAACATTGACAAGGGACTGCACTCTGCCACGCCTGTCTGCAGCGACAACGCCTCCAGCAGCGGTGCCCTGACCCTGCCCCGCTCTGTGGTGCACAGTGAATACGAGGTGGACACTCCGGTGCCGCCGCACGTGACCAACTCCCTGGACAAGCGATCCTACGTTGCCGGCTACATGAGTGAGTCGAATCGAATGGAGCTCCCATTTCATCCCAATACTCATGCCACATTCGTTTTCCAACCAACAGCCACCTCAATGAACTCAACCATGGAGCGACCTCAATATCCGCGTACCCAATACAATCATCAGAATCGCTCGCACATGACCATGGACACGGGTCTCTCCCAGCAGAGTCTCACCCAGCCGCAGAACAATTCGCTGGCCCAGACGCCGGAGCATCCATACGGTGGCTACGATGCCAACTTCTGGTAAGTGCTGGAATAGGATCTGCCCAAGATAATACATTTTTCTGTAAGCAGAGTATTTTCTTGAAAGAGATATTCGTTAGTCCAAGTCCATCTATGCTTGGAGGCTCCAGTCTCCTATCAACTTCCATTTTGTTTTCCTTCTCTTATTTCCGAAAACATCTAATCATTTCTATCAAAACTTTTGGACCTGTAGGAGGCTGTACGATTAGATTTTTTAATATTTCGATCTGTTCTAGTAAATTATATACCAAAAATTCTTTCACATTATGATCTGTAGACTTTAAAACTCCAAAAGCAATTAAAAAGCAGACAAATAAACCAAAAAAGAAAAAACTAAAAAAGAAAAACTAAAAAAGAAAACACAAATAAAAGCTGAGGAAGAGAAGAATGTGCAATCGAACACGTTGGGGGCGCATCGATCCCAGTGTTCAGATCGATCTGGTGCATGGCCCCACTGATCGTGTGCTCCAGCTGGACCATCGAACGTTGCCGGGCTATGTGGAGCAGCAGCTGCTGTTGATGGCATCGCCCTTGCCGTTTCTCAATTTCCTGAACAAGTTTCGCCTGGACGAGATTCTGATTAACCATCAGCTGAAGGGCGTCTACACAATGCGCACCGCGGCAACGGTCACCGAGGTGGCAACGCATGCCTGGCGCATCATGACCACGGCTGATCGTATGCCGTACATTCAGCTGGCCCGCAAGGCGGAGCACATACAGCAGGCGCGCGTCCTCCACTTTTTGGGCAAAGATTGCCGACGACGCACGAAGCCATAGCTCCAATGTTTTTCCATGTGCCAGCGTAATACGTTCGATATGTTTCTCTCTTGATAAAAAAAAAAAACAGAACAAACAGATAAACAGAACAAATGTATAAACTGGTTCATTGATTTTTGCCTCTTTCTCTGCAGTGGCAATGCTGGTTATGCGGGCGGGGCGCAGGGCGGCACAGGCGCGGCTGGCAATGGCTGCGTGTCCACCATCGAGAGCGCCAAGCGTGGACATCCGCTCAAGAGCTTCAGTGTACCGGGACCGCCGCCCACTGGCGGTGCCACGCCCATTACCAAACACAGTAAGTAGCGCATCAGTCCCGCTGAGCTCCTGCTAATTCTCTTTCTTTGTCTCTCTCTCTCTAGCTCCTGCTGTCACAATACGTCCACAGAATCAATCGCCATATAAGAAACCCTCATTTTCGGCAGCCACGCCCAATCGATTGCAGAGCGGCGGCTCTGTGGCGCATTCCACCGATGAGATACAAAGACTGGCGCCCAGCACATCCACCGAGGAGCTGAACCAAGAGATGGCCAATCTGGAGGGCCTCATGAAGGATCTTAGCGCCATTACGGCCAACGAGTTCGAGTGTTAACACCGAAGTCCAGAAGGCCAAAAGTATTAGCTCGGTTCTAGATAACAAAAAAAGAAGAAGAACAAGAACAACAACAGCAGTAACAATTCGGAATGTTAATTGTTTTGTTTTTAGTTGACTTTTAGTTTTTTAATTTAAGATTTTAAGTTAAAATAGTTTCTTTTTAGTTACTAGCTTAGCCTTTAGTTGCATGTGCGATATATGAACGAATAGAACTGTAAATACAAGCGACGCCATATACACATTTAATTATACGTATACATATACATATATACATATACATATATACATATAGGTATATGTTAGCCTAGTTAATTTTAAAGCAATTCATGTGAAGGAACTCCTCCCAATGCTGTGCACAGCCAGTGGAATATTTATTGATGGAAACTACTTTTAAACGTATATATACTCCATATATCGATTCATAACTACAACTAAAAAAAAACAAAAAAACAAAAACACAAAAAAACTAACGAAGACATCAACAATGAAAGCATAGTTTAAGCCAAGTCTCTTCTAGTATCTACAAATAATCTAAAATCAAAAGAAATCATAAGACATTCGATTTATATGTATATGTAGCCTATGTCTATTCTGTATTCGTTTAGTTTTCGACTTTGAGACGTGCCATTTGATTATTTTATTTTTCCGTTATCCTACTTTCACTTTTCATTTGTTATCACTCCTAGCTTAAGCCCGCTAAAATAATACATTCTAGACTGTAATCCATTAGTAAAGCCAGCCAAGCATTTACGCATTTATCTAACTATATGAGTACGCATATATATGTAATGATATCTATAAGGATTCCGACTCTTTTGTATCGTATTTTGATGTGTTCAAAATTCAATGCCTAAAAGTGTTTGTATTCTACTTGTCTGCCGCATCTTCATATTTATTGTAAGGCAGTTGAACGAAATTTATCTGGAATTTTCATCAAATTGCTATGCACAATAATCTCAAATCTTAACACTACTTAAATGCACAGATATTTGTGTTTGCATTTTATTTGATACCAAATTTTTGTAATAAATATGGAACAGATTGTATAAAATGGTCCAATGCCATATTAATTACGATCATCTGGCATTATTCATCTCGCTGAAAGCTTATCTCCACCATAAGTTTCCACACTTTGTTAGTGCCAAAGCGCAACTGAAGCTTATACTCGCCTTGGGGCAGCGGCAGCGTCTTCAGGAACCCATCCTCGAACACCAAGTTATCCACAATAACATTGTGCTGTGAGAGATATTCGGAGATCTATATTCAAAGAGGATATCTACTTCCTATATAATAGGAAGTATACTATATACCCTACTCACATTGTAGGGGCAAGTATGATTAACATTGGATCTCGATTGAATAGCTGCCAGCACCATGTACTCGAATGAGAGCTTATTCCGAGATGCTAAAAGGTGACAGAAATCGCAAGTGGAATTGTATAGAAACGGCTGGAAGCTATTATAACGTCGCCAACCGCTCCAGTTGATCTATGTAAGGATCAAAATAAATTAAATAAAATAACAAATAAATAAAAACTAAATAAAACTAAATACAGGTATTTTTTATATTTAATAGCAAACAGAGAAATTTTTTTAGAGTCAGAATTTTATTAGGATTGATGTGATTCATTTTGGCTATCCTAACTTTGCGTGTCTTTTATAGGGACAATGGGGAACAATTGTTTTAAGCACTTGATCGAAATGACACTAGCTCCGTTTTTCTAGTTGTATGTTGTATTTTATATGTAATCCAAGGATTTCTTACGAATATATTATCAATCGGCAACTTCAGCATTAATATAAATACATTGGCGGAGACGACTCCTCTGCCAATGACTTTCAGCTTGCACTTCTCAAACTTCGCAAATTCGGGATCAAAACTGCTGCATTTGAGATTCGTGAATCTGGACCTCCGACAGTTTACCGATGCGAGCATCAGAAGAACCACCGCGATTGACAAACCCATAGTTACCGGCTTCATAGCTTCTTCACTAATGACATAGGGGCTACATTACTAGAGTCGATCGATGATAAAAATTATATATAAATTAGTTCCGAATGGTCGATCTTGGAGAACTAAATGAATTGTTGAAAAAATTATCATTAAATCTAGCTTATATTAATACACTAAATTTGTAATCAATTACTGCAGCTCTCTCTTTCTTTCTTTCACTGTCTATCTTACTCTTTCTCACTCTCACTCTTTAATGAGAACTATGGGTAAAACGTTCTTAAGCCAATGTGTGTGATTATAATAAGATAAGGAATCGAATATCTTGCGCATGTTTTTTAACAGCTATATAATAATAGATTCTAATTTAGCTGCCAAATTTTAGGTGAAGGTCACACTGTTTAGTTAGAATCAGAATTTGGGAATAGCCAGCCAAAGGTATTATTATTATAATTAACAAGTTCTGATATAAATGTAGATAAGCTAATAAACTAGTTTAGCTAAAAATAAAAAGAACTTGGCTGCATCAAGCTTACGTAGTCGTAGCAACTGACTTCTGCATCATTGTTGCCAGACCGATATGCATAATAATTTCCAATCAATGTATATTTCCAAAATGTATGTATTCATTTTATGCCCTTTATTAGTGAATGTCTTGCAATATAATGCAGTTACTATATTTATTTCTTGCGATTCGTTATTCATCTCGCAGTATGAACGCCTCCACCATTAGTTTCCACTTTTTGGCAACCATGAACCGCAATTGTATTTTGTACTCCCCTTGGGGTAGGGGCAGCGATTGCAGCATTTCGTCCGTGAACACCAAGTTGTCCACAATAATATCGTGCTAAAATCAATAATTATTGGATTGTATAATTGTATATCTTCTATGTGCATAGATCCCAACACTCTACTCACATTATATGGACACGTGTGGTTCAAGTTTGAGTGTGACTGTATGGCTTTCAGCACCAAGGACTCGAACGTAATCTTTTTTTCTAAATTTTTTAAAAGTTCACAAAGATTGCAGCTGGAATTATGCAGAAAGGGCTGGTATGTATTGTAGCGACGCCATATGCTCCAGTTGATCTGCAATGATTTAATAATGACAATACAAATACCAGATCTACATAAGGTCTATATCACAAAATGAGAACAATCCTTAATTGACAATCTGATGTCCTGCTTATCTTTATTTCGGCCATATCTTTGTACAAAAATGCTCTCAAACAAATCCTGAACATTATTTTGATTTGGAAACTCACGTGAACATTATTGATTGGCAATTTAAGCAACGAAATGTATATTTCGCCGGCAATTATGCCTCTGCCAAGGACATTCAGCTTGCACTTCTCGAACTTGGCAAAACTCTCATCATAGCTGGTGCACTTGAGGTTGGTTAATCGGGACTTGGATTTCCAAGGCTTGCAGTCGATCGATGCGAACACCACAAATACCACCGCGAACAACAAAGGCACAGTTATCGGCTTCATAACTCGTTTACTAATGAAACAGAAGCCATCCGTAATTCATATTTAGTTAAAATAATAATCTATTATCCGTTAACGGATCATTAGTTCCGAATGGGCGGTTGCGACTCATAAAACTGTTTATTATATCAGAATATATCTATATATCAGAATTGCATATTTATAATATATGAAAATAAGTCAAAATGCTGTAAAATGCGGGTTATTTAACATAACATTTAAACTTATCTGCAGACTTCTTGCCAACAGAATCATAATAATATTAAATGTAAGTAATTCTAGGCAGCCTCCACTAACATTAGCATCTATACATTAAAAACTATAAATATAGAAATATAAAGATGTATACAGAAGAGAACTTTTATTAAGTTGCTAATTTATAGCATAGACTACTTCTATAAGCTGATGCCAGATTAAGGCCACATCATTAAGGTTATTATTATTGCTATAAGCCAAGTTCATATAAATATATTGTATTATTATTTATTTACATATCAAATTGATTAGCAACTACCAAAATGTTTCTGCATCATAGTCCAAAAACAGAATGTTGCAAAACCTTGAACAAACTGCGCATGCGTGTTGACATTACCACTTCGCAAGCAGATGTTGCACGCAACAATGTTGCCAGGCTTGTTGGCAACACGAATGAGGAATCGTACAACAACGAAAGCTTTTAACGAATTTATGGCTACGAATAGTTCTAATTTATATGTAAATATTTCACATTCTGTTTGAATTCATTTTAATTGATGCTACGAATTTGTAATTAATTACAATATGTTTAGTTCCGAATGGGCGAGTGCATGGAATGATATGCATTTATAGTAAAGCGGCGTAATTTGTTATATACCTATATGTTAGCATAAAGTTTAAAACAATTTTAGGGACAAGAAATATTCCTTAGTGCAGAAATGTAAAACTTACATGCCTATAAGATATATGTATAGAATACATTGCATAATATCTAAATACAATGCAATATATATCATACGCAACTGATCGGAATAAAGGCCATATTATTTAGTTCCAATTAGACTTTAAGATAAACAAATAATACGTATTAATACATAGACTAACAAGTTCTCTCGTTTATAGATGACACCTGCCTATATGTTGCTGCAACATTTCAAGTTAATACAATGTTGCCAAAGCTTGTGCTTGCGCTAGCGCTGGCACACACACGCTTTAACATCAGCAGTCATTAGAAAGCAGCTGACGCGACGCAGCAATGTTGCCAGCCCAGTCCAGACGGATGCCCAAGAGCCGAGCTTAGCTTTTAACTAGTTTATATCTGGCAGCCATCGAGTGTGCAACGTCCGACGGAAGTTGAAGTTGTCTCCGTGACAAAACGCGAACCGATTCTTGTTATTCTTGCCTTGCCCATGGACAGCTTTAAATAGCTGCGTTTATGCGTGTGTGTGTGTGTGTCTATGTGCGTATTTGTTTGTGTGTGACAACGTCAAAGAAAACATTAAGCAATTTGAAATCAACGGCAAACGAGTGAAATCTGATTGGAATTTTAAATACGTCAAAGCTTTTGTGAGCGCAAACAATGAATTCACTGCCCAAATGTATTTGGCGTGCCAAAGCGACAAACTGTGCCACGCCTGCTTTCAGACGGACTGCATCAAAAATTGCTGGCGTTCAGCCACCGTTGCTGCAAGGAGAGCAACGACAGCGTCGCCTAGATGGACAGCAACAACAACGTGAGAACTCGGCAGCAGCCGCAGAAGCAGCAACATCTGCTGGAACTGCAGCAGTCTGTCCACATTTGGATCTAGAGCAGGAGCCAGCAGCTCCACGAATTCATGCCACAGCCGAGTGGCAAAATGCATTGCCCTACAATGAAATACCAGGACCAAAGCCAATACCCATACTAGGCAACACCTGGCGGTTCGTAATATTGAACAAAGTGAAAAAAAGTTTTGACAAAGTTGCTTTCACTTTCAATGGATAGCCTGCAATGCGATCAAACCAATGCACTTCCAACAAATACAAAGAGATAGCCAAAGAGAGGGGGGGAGATGGAATGAGAGAGAGTTTGCAGTTCTTTTGTTTTGTATTTCACTTGTTTCTCTTGACCCAATTACTGTTGAATCATGAATATCATGAATGAATATGTGAATACGTGTGTATGTGTATGCTTGTGCGTGTGTCTGCGTAGCCAATGATGATAATCTTGTTCGAGTGTTGATTTTTGCTTGTAAGCATACATCATTTCACTGACCATGACCAAACGGGTTTCCTCGCTCGTTCCCCACCCTAACGGCCATTATGCCACACACAAATACCTAAGACCAACATTTTGCGAATTCTTCTGCTTTTATCCAACTTCCCTGCCATCGATCTCCCACTCTTCCTCTCTTTTTAGTAATTCACAGCCACTTACCAATCACTGTTCAATAAGTGCTATAACAGGGCATTTGGTTAGCAGCAGCAACAGACATACGGCGCTGCTGTTAACTGCTTCTTCTTGATTAGCGTTCAATTAGCGCCATTTTCAAGGTCGACAAAATGTTCGAATCTTTCGTTGCAAGCTGAAAATAATAAGCAAACAATAGTGACTTGTGTATTTGTTTATTCAGCTATGCGAAAACCCATTGTATGGGAGTGTGTTTGTGAATGTGTGCAAAAAACTGCACTTGGTGATGTCAAGAGAGTCATTGAGCTAGGAATCGCCACTTCGTGTTCAATTGAAATTTATCGAACACATTATCGATAACTTAAAGGAGCAAATTAACAGCCTGTTGCTCATCAGTATATGCATATATATATACAAATGAAATTTACTATTTAAATTAAATTATTACTAGATGAATTAAATCTGAGGATGTTTAATGCAAAAGATATATTAACATATCCCAAATTAAGAAATGAGAATCTAACGACAATAAATTATATGAGCTACCGGTTTGTTACCTGTATATTTACGTTTGAAATTTATAACGCAATTTCGGTATACAATACATATGATATAGCGACAACAGACGATTATCTTTGAACAATTGTCAAAGTTTTCATGAATTACTCTGAAAATAGTCTCGTCTTTGCCATATTCAATGCCAGCTAGTCATTTCAATTATCTACTCTTCACCTTGCAGCCTTATGCCAATTATTGGCCAATACACCATATCGGATGTGGCCAAAATCTCCTCGCTGCTGCACGACAGATACGGACGCATAGTACGTTTCTCCGGTCTTATAGGCAGGCCCGATCTGCTCTTCATCTACGATGCTGATGAAATTGAAAAGGTAGGCACAGGTAGATACACACCACCAAATCTAAACTTGCTTACACGCTCGACTGGGCACCGAGGCAACAAAGCAGCACGACTTCAAGTACAGCATAATTTGTGATGTACGGGCTGCAAATTTCCGCCAACAACTTTAATGCCTGAGCAAATATTAATAAAGATTAAATGATTGCAGTGCTACCGCAGTGAAGGACCCACGCCTTTCCGGCCCTCGATGCCCAGTCTGGTCAAATACAAAAGCGTCGTGCGCAAGGATTTCTTCGGCGAACTTGGCGGCGTTGTGGGCGTGTAAGAATACCTATAAACATATATATCTAAGTATAGATATAGTGATACCAACCTAATCTTAAATAGTCACGGCGAGCCATGGCGTCAGTTCCGATCGCGTGTGCAGAAGCCTGTGCTGCAGTTGTCGACCATTAGACGCTATCTGCAGCCGCTGGAGGTGATTACGGAGGACTTTTTGGTACGTTGCGAACAGCTGTTGGATGGCAACGAGGAGCTGCCAGCTGACTTTGACAATGAAATCCACAAATGGTCCTTGGAGTGTGAGTGTCTCCAAATAAAAAGATCCCTCCCAGATGACATCAAGTTCTCCCTTTCACAGGCATTGGTCGTGTGGCTCTAGACACGCGGCTAGGCTGCTTGGAGCATAACCTGACGCCAGATTCGGAGCCCCAGCAGATCATCGATGCAGCCAAATATGCTCTACGCAACGTGGCCACGCTGGAACTGAAGGCGCCGTACTGGCGCTACTTCCCCACTCCACTGTGGACGCGTTATGTGAAGAACATGAACTTCTTTGTGGGGTTAGTACCCAGGCCAAACAAGCTCAAAATACGCTAATCCTTTTTATCCATCTGCAGCGTTTGCATGAAGTATATACAAAGCGCAACAGAGCGCTTGAAGACACAGGATCCCAGTCAACGAGCAGGCGAGCCGTCGCTGCTGGAGAAGGTCATTATGTCGGAGAAGGATGAAAAGATAGCCACCATTATGGCATTGGATCTGATACTCGTGGGCATTGACACAGTAAGTGAAGGAGTAAATTCCTTATCTATCCAGCCAAACTAAAATGTATTCCATCTCACAGATTTCGATGGCCGTGTGCTCCATTCTATACCAATTGGCCACGCGGCCCATGGAGCAGCAGAAGGTGCACGAAGAGCTGAAGCGCCTGCTGCCGGATGCTAAGACTCCACTAACGATTCCACTGCTAGACCAAATGCACCACCTAAAGGCATTCATCAAGGAGGTCTTCCGCATGTACAGCACGGTTATAGGGAATGGACGCACACTGCAAGAGGACAGCGTTATATGCGGTTACCAGGTTCCCAAGGGCGTACAGGTATATCTAATCCGATCTAATGTATATTCTAAAATATATAACATTTGAACTCCAGGCCGTATTCCCCACAATTGTCACTGGCAACATGGAGGAATATGTGTCAGATGCAGCCACGTTCCGGCCCGAGCGCTGGCTGAAAGAACATCAGGGTGGTACACCTGGCAAACTCCATCCATTTGCCTCATTGCCCTACGGCTATGGAGCACGCATGTGTCTGGGCCGTCGCTTCGCTGATTTGGAAATGCAAATATTGCTGGCCAAGCTTTTGCGCAACTACAAACTAGAATACAATCATGCGCCATTGGACTATGCTGTGACCTTCATGTATGCGCCGGATGGTCCGCTGCGCTTCAAAATGACGCGTATCTAGTTGTTGTTATTACTCTTTGCTATATCTGTGTACTTTAAGGCTTTTCCATATGTAAAATATATATATCTTTTGGGAGTCAAAATAAAGAGGCCCTGCTATCCATACTAATGTGTTTAAACTATGATTAAAAATTCTCGAATTTGGTTTACGGTAAAGTCATTTGACAATAATTTTCTTATATATTAACTCATAGTTGAAAAACTCAAATGTGAGGTAGAGCTCGCAACTACTCAAAAAATTAAAAAAAAAAAACGGAAACTGTGGGCTTAGCCTCTTACAATACAAAACTATGAATAGAGTTTTAGTATTTAACACCCCGTATTTACTTGCGCTTCCACATGCTATACCAATTCCTAACAGTTTTTAGGCTCCGCTCGCCGTCTGCTTTGGTTTCTCCCTTGAGCTCGTACACAATGCCCGATTTATACGATTCTCGCGCTTCTTCCAAGATTGTGCCAAATATTTCACATTGTATATTGGACGTTAGCTTCTTCTCATTGTAGTTGCGTTCCTTGAGCCTGTCGTATAACGTTTTATTGGGACAGGTAACAACGAATACGGCATGGAACCAACGCTCGGGAAAGAAATCACAGCCATGATATTCGACAATGTTGCCGCCCTTTGTCATCAGCGGCTCCAGATAGTCCATGAGCTACACCGAAGTAAAACTGCATTAGCTACAATTATTAATTAACATGTGCATATACCTTATCCTCATCAAGTATGGGGCAGTCGTATTCTTCATCATATTCCTCAATAAAATTCTTTTCCTTTGCAATTTTCGAACAATCCAACCAAGTAAACTTCAATTGCTCGGCCAGACGTTGGCACAAATATGATTTACCGGCTCCGGGTGTGCCTGCGCATTAATAACTTTGTGTTATTTACTTTTTGTAGCTAAACAATAGTCATTACCTGTTATTAATATATTAGGCTTGCCTATTTCCGTCATTTCTGATTGTTTATGCTACAACAAAAAAATGAGAAAATTAAAAACGTGAGATAGCCAGGGCTGCAGCATACCGATAACCCAATTTATCGATAGCAAACTGAGTAAATTATAAATATACAGCGCGCAAATCGTAAGCATTTGAGCTGCAAATAAAATGAACTTGAGCTTTTTCACCTGATATTAATGAAAGTTGTTAACACATTCGATGTTAAATGACTATAATTATTTAAAACAAATATAAATACTAAACTTACCAATTTATTTAAATTAACTACTAGTTGAACAGTGACATTTCCTGTCAACGCTATGTATTTGTATGCGCTTTGCTCTACTTCTGACATTATTTTGAATTCCTCTTTAACAGCACTTATTAGTCACAGATGCATGTGCGTATGTATCTAGTTTCAGAGAGCTCTCTTTTCCTTTTCATCACTCACATACATCTACAGAACTGGGATAGCAAAAGTTCAATTTAATTCGGTAGCTCGTAGGCGGCGGATCGCTTTTTTCTTAGCTTAATGGTATTTTTTTATATGAAATGCCAAAAACAGAGGAACTTGAACAAGCCGAGAAGCCAGGCTCAAATCTAAGCGAAGTGAAAATAGATCCAGAACGCCGTCAGCATGTACCCTATATATTAAACGGTGAGCTTTATCGCATTGAAAGTCAGATTGGGGACAATGTGACCGTCAAGTGTTGTTCTTGTCCGCCGGATCGAATATATCGGGGCAGTGTACGTTCTACGGGAAATTTTCACATGCATATCAAGGTAGGCCGAGAGATACAAGAATTTGCAAATTACCGAGCAGACCAAAGCTAAGTAAACAAGTGTACAAATTTTATTGCAAATATTTAATAGCGGAGGCATGCATCTTTGCTGGGCAAATTGCATGAAATGAAGGTTGCAGCATTGGTAGAACGGCGGGATCGCATTATGAAAAACCGACGCATTGCTAAATGTCGCCAAAAATCAACATCGTCGGTCGCTATTTCAGCTTTAGCTGCAATTACCGACGGCTCGTCAATAGAAGTGCCAAACAGCACAGAGACACACGAGCTAAAAATTAAAACGGTATTTCAACGACATAAGCAAGAGCATCACGAACAGGAGGAAGCAGCGGCCATACGAACAGTAAGAAAACCTAACAAAAAAAATGTTTTGTCTTTGTTTAACTGCGTAAACGATATGAAGAGCGAGTGAGATCACAGTGTTAGTGCAGCCATGTACCGTTAGAAATTCACTTATACATATATTTATATTAATACATATGTAAATGAAAAGATAGAGTGTAACGCACACTACAAGCCTACATATGTATGTATGTATCTGTTACAAGCACATACTTGAATGAGAAATAGTGTAGTAATTCCGTATGCATGTGTGCGTGTATATATGTATATATTATGTGTGTGTACTAAATAACATTTTTGCACTCTATTTGTCTCATTTTTAAGTCAATCTCAATCAGCGACTCGTCGACGGACAATAGCCAAAGTTCCGAAAAATTATCCGTTACGGCCTCAAATCAAGACAATAATAATAACAATAATATTAATTCAACGCAAGATAATAATAATTCAACTCCTAATAATAATTCAATTCATAATAATACTAATCATATTCAAGGTGTGCAAAGCGTAAGTAAACTATACAAATTTATACTATACTGACTATCAACTATGCCCTTTTGTAGCCATCAACTCTAAGTTCAACCATGTTAAGCCCCACATTTGTGCCGAGTCCTCAGATCAGACATGCCATCGACTTTCCAGCCATGGTCAGTATACCGCGCATGCTTCCTATCAATGCAATTAAGCCGGAGCAGCAGCCACAGGCTCTATATGATCAACCGGAGGCGATCGATCTCAGCAGAAGCTCATCGATGCAAAGCGATGACATGGAGCATGGGCGCTTCACCCAGGAGGTGCAGAATGTACAAATTGGCGTATCGCGCGGACAGGAATTAACTCCATTCGTTAACGGACCTCCACGCGATATTTTGATGCGCATTGACAACACTTTGGCCGATATTAAGGATGAGCTGCAGGCACGAAATGAAATCGAGCGTAAACGTTTATTGTTCGACGTGGCTAAATTTCAGTTTCTGCATCCTAATTTTCATTTCGAATCGACCTCGTAAAAATAATAACGGCGCACATTTTGCCATTCCATGTAATTCATATGCTAAATAAAATAACATACTTTTGGTATATTTTTGTTCCAAAGAACATTGAACTAGTTACGTATTCGATTGTTAGCAGTAATCGAAACACTTGTGTGTGCGACAATAAAACTGATTGTCTCTGAACATTAGATACGACTTTGTTTTTTGTTTGCTTTAAGTGTTTGTGTCAGTCAGATTTAATAATATTTAATATGGCTGATAAAAAGAAACTAATCGATCCGGATGATGATCTATCAAGTGACGATGATGATGATATTAAAATTTTGGATACAGCAACGAGCCCAGAAAGTACAGAAGAGCCTTCTACAAGTCACTGTCAACCAATTGGTGAAACGGGGAATTCCCAACATAAGGAAGGCGTCCCATCCTTATTAACCATGGACGCAGAGCTTGAGTCCGAAGCTCCGCCCACATATGTAAGCATAAACTATTGCGATTGAAATAGCGTTACCCCCATGGAGTGACTCATGCAGTAATCAAAAAATTTATACATATTAATTGTAAAGGAAAGCATTGGCTATGATGCGGGCACTATCAGTGCTAATGGGATTGCAAATAGAAATGAAAATTCCGAGCCCATTTTTCATGTACGCTCGCGTACGGCAGCATCGTTAGCTGGAGTTCCGCAACAAGAGCAAACGCAATATGAGGTAATATATATTAATTAATAATTTTATCAATATAAATCTAATCTAAATTTGCATACAAATTTCCTTAAAGAGCCTGGACTATGACGTGTGTGAGAATAAGCTCTTTCAAGATGAGCAATTGAGCCGGTTAAGGGATCGATTCTCGCTGCGCACCCATATCATACGGTGGATCATATTTATACTAATCGGCATTATAACTGCTGTAATTGCGTGCACCATTGATATTGTTATCGAGGAGCTCTCGGAATTGAAGTACAACTTCCTCAAGTCATGTATGTGAACAGTGCTCGGTTATATTGAATCATCTAACTATTCTCGTTTAGCTGTCGACGATAATGTAACTGTTAATGAAAGCGGAGGCGATCTGGCTCTGCCCTATTTATGGTGGCTACTGCTCAGTGCTGTGCCAGTGGCCATTGGGGCCGGAATGGTCACCTACATTGAACCCATTACCGCCGGCAGTGGCATACCCCAAGTCAAGAGCTATTTGAATGGCGTGAAGATACCCCGAATCGTACGAGTGAAGACGCTAGCCGTAAAGTCTATCGGAGTCATTACTTCTGTGGTGGGCGGTCTGGCTGGCGGCAAGGAGGGACCGATGATACATGCTGGCGCTGTTGTGGCCGCAGGCATATCCCAGGGCAAGAGTACCACATTTGTCAAGGACTTTCACGTCTTTAAGGCCTTTCGCGATGACCACGAGAAGCGAGACTTTGTGCTGGGCGGCGCTGCGGCGGGCGTCTCGGCTGCTTTCGGTGCGCCCATCGGCGGCATGCTCTTCTCGTTGGAAGAGGCGGCCAGCTTCTGGAATCAGAATCTCATTTGGCGCACGCTCATCGCCTCCATCATCAGTTCGTTCACACTAAACATTGTGCTCTCTGCTTATCATGGTGTGAGCGGTTTGACATTTACGGGTCTCTTCAATTTGGGCAAGTTCGATCATCCGCTGACCTTTGAGTATTTCGAGCTGCCGCTGTTCATGCTGCTGGGCGTGATGGGCGGTCTAATGGGAGCTGCCTGGAACTTTTTGAATACACAAATCAACAAATTTCGCAGCCGCTTTGTGCCCTGGCGAGCTGGTAAAGTGTGTGAAGCTGTGTTGGTTGCTATATTGGGCGTTACCTTGGCTTGCGCCATGATTTACTACATCAATGACTGTCGTCCTCTGGGCAATGATCCCACGATACATCCTGTGCAGCTCTTCTGCGAGGATAACGAATATAATGCCGTGGCGGCGCTCTGGTTCCAAACGCCAGAGGCTACAGTACGTGCGCTTTTCCACGATCCACCAGGTGAGCTGTTCCGATCGACTTTCAACGCTTTTACTAATTTTCTTGTTTTCTTTCAGGCTCTCATAAAATCCTTACACTGGCTGTTTTCACAATTGTCTATTACTTATTATCGTGCTCCACATTTGGGCTGAATGTGTCCTTGGGTGTGTTTATTCCCACGGCTCTGGTGGGCGCTGCTTGGGGTCGGCTTGTGGCCATGCTCCTCTTCTATATGTTCCCTGAAACAGTAAGTTATATTTTTCCTGATGTAAATGCTGAATCTATATCTGAATATTCTGCAGCAATTTCTGCATCCCGGCAAATACGCCCTCATTGGAGCCGCTGCCAACTTGGGTGGCGTTCTACGCATGACCATCAGCCTGTCCGTTATTCTGATGGAAACGACAGGCGTGGAGACGTCCTTCTTCTTTCCACTGATCATAGCGCTAATTAGCGCCAAATGGGTGGGCGACTACTTCAATGATGGCATCTACGACACCGTCATCGAGGTGAATCATGTGCCCATGCTTCCCTGGGAACCACTGCCCCAATACAAGGGACTAACTGCCCAAGCGATCCTTAGCAAGCCCGTAGTCTGCATCAAATTGCGCGATCGTGCACATTACATCTATGAAGTACTCCATAAATGCAATCACAATGGATTTCCTGTTGTAGATGATGTTGAGGGCGTAAGCTACTGTTAGCCTCAATGGTTAGATCTTAGATCAAATCCAATTTATGTTGTCTTTCAGGATCGTCGCTCTGAGGGACGTGTCTGTGGCATTATCTTGAGGTCGCAACTAATTGTCATCTTGCTCAGGTCGCTCTACGTGGAGAATCAACGGTTCTGGCAGCAGGAGACAACAATACAAACATTCCGAGATGTTTATCCCCGATACCCTTCCATTCAAGTAAGCAGCTTTATCTACATATCTATTGATATCCTATTAAAAGTAATTTTGAATGTATTTCATTCTTTTAGAGTGTGAAACCCTTGGATCGAAAATTTAATTATACGGTTGATCTGTCCATGTTTATGAATCCATCGCCGGTACGCGTCAATACGGTACGTACAAGTTATCTATAAACTTATATATAATTATTCAATTTAATGTATTATTTTATTTACAGTATGATTCGGTGCCCAGGATATTCAATATCTTTCGGGCCTTGGGTCTGCGCCATTTGCTAGTGATCAACAATGAGAACCGTATTGAAGGCATTATTACGCGTCGTGATTTCATATATAAATGATCTGCGATATAAGTCATTATCGTTTTTAAGCGTGCATCACACAAATTTTTTAATATGTAACGAATTTAGTTAAGTGTAAAAGTGTAATTATGTAAAAATTAGATACTTTTTATAAAAATGTTTGTAAGTGATAAACTTTTATATGCCTTTAATAAATAGTTTTAAAATGATATTGAGACACACAGCTACAAATAACTAAGTATAGTGGTATTATGCATAAGTGTGTGTGTGCGTGAGTTGCAAGTGCAAGTGTTTCACTCCAACATTGAGGGCGTCTACTTGTACATGTGTATGTGTAATTCGAGTGCTAAGGGAGGCGTGAGTAAAAGCTAGATTATGTTATTGTGTTAGTTTAGTTTACATATGCACATATGCGTGTGTGCATGTTCGCTGAGCACATAAAGAACGAGTTCCACTAATCTCTCTCTCTCTCCCACTCTCTTTTCGATAAAAATATCGATTCTTACTAATTGCCGCCCATTGCAGATCAACTCGCTAATGTAATTTTTCACTTCTTGTATATTTTTGTTTTGTTTTGTTTTTTAATTATCTCATCAGATTTTTACAACTTATGTTATGCTTAAAAATTAGGTGTATAATCAATAGTATTCACAAGGAATTGTACAAGGTTCGTTTTGTATAAAAATACATTAGATTTTTGTGTAAAATTAAAAGTTCTGTTTGTTTTCATAAAATGGCTTAAAAGCTAAACAGACGTTGATATCAATTTAATTAGCACGAACAAACGTCACTTTTCCCCACAATCGTTTAACAATTAAAAATTGCATATTAAGGTTTAATTTTAAACATGCTCTCAGAGAACGGCCGCAATAATACGGACGAGCGGGCTTGTGTGAGTTTAGATTGCTTATCAACTACAAACGCTGCCGTTACAATTATTGTAAAACTAACACTAAACGCTACTCAAGATGTTGTAGAATGCTTATTAAAGTAAATATAATTATTATTGTTATTATGATTATTATTAGGAGCAATACTACGCCTAGACTTTATATGACTTTTTGTACAAAGTGAAAAATAGCTTTGTGTGCCGATTTTCTTTGCTTTTTTTTTTTGTTTTTTTGTTGTTTTTTTTGGGATTTTTCATACAATTCAGTTTCGGTTCTAGTTGGATTTCTAGTGTCGGCCAAGCATCGTCTGCAACTGCTATCACAGTTTAGTTTAAACAAACACTGGCGTACAGTGAAGCCAGCCTACGGTATAAAAGCTGCAGCGACTTCACATGTAGGCTGCATTTGGCCAGCTGGCGATGGCGACCGGTGCAACTGCAACTGGAGGTTAGCTCTCCATTGGCCGAACTTGTTGCAGTGTTGCCTCTGCATTGCCCGCTGTGGCAGCGGCTGCTGCTGCTGCTGCGGCGCTGTTGCAATGTTGTTGCGATGTTGCTGTTGTTGTTGTTGCTGCAGCTGCTGCTGACGATGTTTTTGTTAAGCTTACGGTCAAAATGTTGCTGCTGCTACTGCTGCTGCTGGCGTTGGCATTGTTAACAGCCGGTGTAACTGTGACAGCAGCGGCAACTGTTGCTGCTGTTGGGGCAACTTGAGCTGTCGCCGCAACTGTTGATATTGCTGTCGCTGGTGCTAGTCCCGCAGCAACAGTTGTTGTCACGCCGCTGCTGGGCTGCAACACCTTGTAGCGCGTATAGATGCGATAGGGCGTCTTTGTTGTATCCTTTTGCTGCAGCGGCTTCGTTTTGCTGGTGGCACCCCAGCCGCTGGCATTGATCTGTTCGGGCGTCTTGCCCAGCAGCCAGTCGTTGCAATGCTGCTGCAGTTGTTCGCTAACATGTTGCTGCAGCCATCTATTGACGTAGCTCTGGAAACGCGAGTACTTGGCCTGTGTGACGCGGCAATGACTCTGAAAATATGAACAAACAGTTAGACTAAATAAGGTCAATTAAGAATATTCTCATGTGACTTACCTTCTTGGCACGACGCACTGCATCGTATTTGAGTAAATTGAGATTCTTGCTGGTCACAAAGCAGCGGCCGTTGCTCGTATTTGTGCTGATCTCGTCGCGATCGTTGAATGCATATTGCTCTGCCAGGCCCACCTGTGGCGTACCCAAGCGTTCAGGTGCCCGTTGCTTGCTCCAATTGTTGTTATTGTTGTTGTTGGCATTGGGTGTTGCTTCACTGGGCACAGCATTCGATTCGAGTCCACTGCAACTGCGCTTCTGTTCAAAGAGTTGACGCACCTGTTCCTCATGCAGCTGCGAGCGTCGCTTGTTCCGCAGCAGAAAACGTGCTTTGCGTGAACCGCGCACCAGCTGCAAAAGTGACGAGAAGAGAGAAGAAGAAGCCGTTAAGTACATTTGCGTTATAACTGACAAAGTGAACAAATTGTAAAATGCAATCGAACATGCTTTCTCACATAAACAAATGACGAAAGACGTAAAAGTACTTAAGCCTAAGGTATACGTGTCTGTGTATTTATGTGTGTGTCTAAAAGAGAGTTCGTATGTGTATGTGTGTAACTAAGTATGTAAACTATTACGAGACGAGTTACAAATTTAGCTAGAGTAAGAAGAAAAACAAAAGAGAGACACAAACTGTGGAGAGTACCAGGCCAAGACTGGACACACGCACAAACACTCACTCATACACGTACGCAGACAAATAATATACTCTCTCAAAAGCACACACACACATACAAATAATACATTCTCTCGCACAAACACATACCAAATAATATACTCACACACACACACAAAACAGACTAAATGAAAACATTTACATACACCAAAAACACAGAGAAAGTAAAAAGAAGTCACATTTAAAGCGTGTCTGGTAAAACCATTTTTCATACAAATAGCTAAATTAATTTTAAATGAATTTTATGCATAATAATGCGTTGTAAGGCATAAAACTTACCTTGCGTAAAACTTAAAAGCGTATACAACACACTCTATTATATGTATGTACATAATGTATGTATGTATGCGATACACCAGCTGCACTAAGCCCAAAAAGGATAACCCAATAACAAAACAAACAAAACGAAAAACAATCTTCAATAACCACAAAAACCCCAATTTGAAAAGAGCCTCAAAGTCATTAAATGCTGTTATAATGTATAGATATATTTTTCAATTGGTTTTTACAATTGATATTTTTGTTTCTTTGTAATTGTGTAGAATTATAAAAATTGTTAAATATATATACATACAGATACATATATATATAAAGATGTATATATATATAACACGACTACGGCCTGCCTGCTGTAGGAGCAGGCGCCATTTTTAAAGTAATCTCTCTCACTCTCTATCGTCCCTTTACAAAAATTTGCTACGTTGAACACTTAAACTAAACGATAGTTAATACATACATACAAACATTATTTACATTTGCTCTGACTTTTATTTATACGTTTTCATTGCTCTAGTATCTTGGCTTGGAACCAACACAGTATTCGATAACATATCGATGTGGCAATGGATCACCTTTTGCCACACACTCACAAACACACAAGAATGCACTCACACTCTGCACCCGTGACAATAATTCTTCTCTCCCTCATCCCTATCTTCCTCGTACTTTTTATAATGGAATTTTTTGTATATTGCAATTCTTGCTTGAGTTTTAAGAGAAACGTAACGCAAAACATTAACGAAATTAGAAATAAATTGCAATAAATGCGTGCCTATGAATATTAATTGGAAACTACTATTTAACATATTTATATATGTATGCATATAACTTTTGTGTTCATTTTGGCTATGTACTAAATTTACATATGTATGTTTATGTTTAAATGATTTGCAACATTTTACATTCAAATATTCTATTGTGAATGGATGGATGGACGAATGGGTGGGAGTGTATATATATATGTGTGTGTATGTATGTGGTGCTGGTAGTGGTGGTGTTGTTGGGTGGCTGGATGAAAACTGTTTTCGATGTGTTGTTGTTGTTATTGCGGTTTTTGGTTGGTTAATCTCAAAAAACAAATTCATTTATTACTATTTCATTTTGCAATACGACTTTCTCTTCTTCTTATTCAATGAAATTATCAAAACTATTTTGTTATTTCAAGCCTTGGAATTGACCTGGTACAAAAAATAAAGTGGAAAAAATGAGAGAAAAAATGCAGAAAAAAGCATTAATTAGTGAACATTTTTCGTTTTTTCTTTTGATATTTTTTTTGGTTTTTTTTTTTTGTTATTGTTTTTAATATTATTTTTTATTTCGTTTTGTTTTAAGTTTGGTTCGCATACGGATATGTGGGCGATTGGTAGGCGGCATGTTGAAATGAGACGAAACGGAAAGAAAAGAACGATAAAAAGAAAGTTGTTGAAAATGTGAGAGAAAACGCATTTTTTTTTTTTGCAAACTAAAAGGCTTATCACAGAAAATCAAAGCAAAAGAAATTTTATTCAAAACTGTCATCGCATATGAGAACTGTTAAGGCAAGTGGATGAGAAGTAAGAGAGAAAACATAAACATATATACAAACGCAATACAATAGAGCAATACGATATGCATGTATATGTACATATGCATAAAACAAAAATGTAATTTTAATAACTGTCTGGTTCGGAACTAGTTCGATAATTTGTTGCTTAGGCTCCTGGAATGACCAAAGTATCGAAGGTCTTGTCTGTATTGGAATACATTCAATTTGTACTATACAAAAATCAATTATATTTAAGTTAATTGTCTGTTAGTCTCATATGGAAAGCTAAGCAAGAAAATGTCTTCCATAATATTATTTATAAAATCCCAAAGCTCCTTCATTTTTGAAAGTATACTAATGCAGATATCTGGTTTTGAAATATACAGAATTGCATTCCCAAATATATATACATACAGTCATATATATATATAAATATATACAGTAGAACAGGAAAGATTTGTCTGTTATAATTTATCCCACACTGTTATACAAATAATTTTGATATTGTCTATTTTTAACTCAGCTCTATTTAAATTTATTAATTTTGAAAGTTCAAGTCGTAATAAAGGTGAATTCGTAAACTTAACAACAACAAAACAAACAAATAAACACAACAGAGAATACACAAACAACATGTTTCAACCTTTCGTCAAGCACACACAAAGCTGCTGCTGATGCTGCTGCTCTAGCTGATTTAGCTATACGCACTGTAAGCCAGCGCATCATTGCTTATATCTTTCTCTCATTTTGTTGCTTCACTCACCTCGGCGATCTCATCTGCTTCCTCCGTTTTGATGCCGGACGTTTCCACCAGATTGTCATTGCCTGCAGATTGATTGCTGTTGTTATTGTTGTTGTTGTTGCTGCTGCTGCTGTTGTTATTGTTGTTGCCGCTGCCGGCGCCTAAAACGGGATTTGCTAAACGCTCCACATATTTGCTAAACTTTTGCGCCTTTAATACAGCCGGCTTTTCCACCTCCTCCGGTTCCGAGTCGAGCAGCTCAATGGTCACACGACAATCGATCTTGTACTGTAATTACCAAAAGGAAATATCGTTAGATTTCACAACTCATTTACAAACAATTTAATTAGTTATTCAGACATACAATAAACACTTTGAAGCAGTTCTCCTCGTTGAGTATGCTCTCCGCCTTGCGCTGGTAGCTCATCTCTCGCTCGTAGCTCTTGTGTGCATCGCGACAGTAGCCTCCGGTGCTGTTGCGCCTCTGTTCACTGGCATAGAGCTCCACGCAGTCCAAGGCGGCGCGCTCCGTGACGCAGTATTGCAGCTGTCGCACAGCATTGGAAACAACCTGGCGGGAAATACGAAAAGGAATTATTTTACACATTCTACACAAATATTCCATCTTCATTGAAGCCTACCTTATCGAGCGTAAAGGATATGTAGGCATAGATGCCAAACATTTCGCGCATGGTATCTTCGAAGGTATTCGAGTCCATGTTGCCATCGAGCACATTCTTCAGCATATCCAGAAACGTGGGATAATAGTCCTCCACTTGCACATCCGGCTTGGGTTTCAATCTCAGTGCTGTCGCCGTGCTCTCCCTTCGATTCACACGGCTGCGCTCCTCCTCAATGGCCAGCAGGCGCGCACGCTCGTACATGACGTGCAGTCGATCACAGAGGATGGCGTGCAGTCGCAGGAACAGGTACCAATTGTTGTTGGCAAAGAATAGGGAATAGGACTCATCCTGTAAACGAAAGATTGGGGTGTTTAGTCATAAGTTAAAATGGACTCCAATTGGGGAGATTTTCTCACTCACCTCTCGCTGACCCTGCGCATGCGGTGGCAGAATCGTGGGATTCGCACAATCGCTCTGCTCCAGCTTCACGCTCACATCGGCGCCCGCTGCCGCCGCTGCTCCCTCTTCGCTTCGCCTGGGACTGCTATTACTATTATTATTGGCTGCCTTGGCTGCCGTCTCCTCGTCTCTTCCTCCGACAGCTCTTTGCGACGTATCTACTTCAGACTTTTCCTTAATGTCGCCAACTGCTGCTGCCGCCGCCGCAGCTGATGAAGTCGACGGCGTTGCATCATCGCCCGTTGTTGTTGCTGTTAACGTTTTGCTCGATGACTCTGACTCAGACTCCTTTTTAATGGCCGTCACAGCTGTTACGGCTGCTCCTGCTGCTGCTGCTGATCCACTGGCTCCACTGGGAACGCTGCTGCTGCTGCTGCTCACATTACTGCGAGCTGGTGAGGCGCTCTCTCCGCCTCCACCTCCGCCCGCTCCTCCACCTTTGGGCGCAACACGACTCACAGGCGAGTCGACTTCCATTTTAGTGTCATCTACCAAAAATGGAAATGCTATATAGATATTCGCGTGCAACAACAACAACGACAACATGTTTTGTGTGTGTGTGTTTGTGTGTGTGTGTTTGTGTGTGGTGATCGTGGTTCGTTGGTTGTTTTTTATTTTAAATATTTTCATTGGTGGTTCGCCCATTATTTTTGTTTTTGTTAGTCAAAATTATGCAATTCAAATTACAGTTGGTTAAATTACAAATCATTTTGGCAAAATTGAATTTGTAAAAATGTTTTGCAAATTTCGTAGTTCAAATAGAAGAAAAAAGAAAAAGAAAACGAAAAAACATTCTCTAAGTTAAAAATACTTTAAATTAACAAATTGATTGGGTGGTTTTAGATTAATTTTGTTTAGGAATTTCATTGTTAATTAATACTTAAACTAAAGGTGCTTTCAAATGATGTACAGTTAGGTCTAAATTAACTAAAACATGTTAGTAGCCAATATATAAAAATTGAACTAATTAAGTTAAATTATCAAATTAAATGTAGAATTCTAATGTGCTTTTCTTCTTAGATCACTGCATGAGAACTGTGGAATGCTTAGGATTATACTAATAATAAATTTAATCAATAAATATCTAAGTTGATATCTAGACTACATATTGATGGCTTTAACTATTTTTGAAGCTGAATGTTTTGATAATTATTTTATCAGAAGCTAATTCTTGACTTTACTATATTAATATATTCTTGAATTATTATTTATCAACCATTTTTAATGGATTGAGTCAAAATTAGGAATTTTTTATATATAAAAAAAATAAATAAATAAAAAAATTAAATTATTTTAGTTTAAATTTGGTTAGTTAATATCTACATTAGCTATTGAACATTGTTGTCTTGATTTGAATTTCAAACTTTTTAATTATGACAATATTTTTTTAAATATCATCATATTAAAATCAACTACACCTTGACTTGACTAGATTCCCATTTACTTCAATTAATTAATTAATTAATTATTTAAGAACTGATCTGAAGTAGCTATGAAACAAACTCTTCGTCTCTCTCATGCAGTTTTCTCTATACAATGCAATAAATTGTCTTTGAACATTTAACAATTAATAATTCATAATTAATCAATATAATTAAATCAATGTTTGCTGTGTGTTTCTGAGTCTAAAGTGTTACAAGATTTTGTTTGGCTTTTCTGCTTACCGTCATCGCGTTCATCGTCGCTCAACGGCTGTCGTGGCGCAAAGAATAGGTCAGGCACAAATTGTCGTATGATCTGTTTGATTTTCTGCTTCTCCTGCTTCTGGATGCCCGTCTGACGCTTGACATGATGTATCAGCAGATTGGCCGCATCGTCCAGTATGGTCTTGTCCTTGTACGGCAGCACCAGATGCGGCCCCGCCGCTTCCATGGAATCATCTTCCGCGTCGTGGCGCTCATCGTACAGCGTCTCAATCTCATTGAAGAGACTCTTCGAGCGCAATGCCTTCATATCATTGGGCTTGAAATTGATTGCCTGATGATCCAGAGATTTCAAATAATATTTCTCATTCTGTTCGCGCCATTGCTTATTGAAGTTCTGCAATAATTCAAAGATTATTATTAATATAAATCAATATTATAAATTGATTTATTAATGATGTGGCAAACCTTTTGTGCATCCCGCCATTCCTCCTCCTTGACCTTAAGTCGCTTGAGGACAATGGGCACAGCCACCGAGGGATTCTTTTTCAAGCCTTGGATTATCTCGCCGGACTTGTCGCCATAAATGCGATGTATGGCCCGCTGGTGGATGGTTTGTGAGGTGCCACCGAGATGATCGTCCAAATGAAATTTGGCCAACTCCTCGGGCGACATGCGAGACATTTTCTTTTGTACATTCTCCAGGACACGAATCGTGGTGCTGTTCACCTCAATCACCAGATCCAGTTCGAAGCGCTCGTCTTCCGTTCTGTGAATATTCCTTTTGTTTAGAGCGTTTGTTGATTGGTTAATTCATAAAAATATAAACGAAAGCCAAAGAACAGAAACAGTAACAGAGGAGCAGTGACAAGTAACAGAAACAGAAACAGAAAATGAAAATGAAAGAAAGAATGAAGGAAAGAAGAGACGTGGAGGGGTGGACGAGAATGGATTGATGGATATATATGCTATATATACGCATCGAATATACTGATTCTTATTGGCTAACAACCACTCACCTGTAGATGGTCTCCTCGAACTGGGTCTTCCGCGAGGTGACAAATGTCGAGTCCTCGCTGGCCCATGTCGGAAACGAGACCCACTTGTCGTTGAGCACCTCGCGACAGAGGGCGGTGCGTCCACTGCACTTCTTGGGCACCGTGGATTGGGGTAGGGCGCAATACGAGGCGCCCAGGCGTTTGCACAGCGACAGATCAACATCCTGGACATAGTCCGTGCTCTGATGACTGCTCGCCCGATCATGGGAGCTGCTATTGCTGCCCTGACGCTGTGTGGCCGCTAAGGGCAGGCCGTCGATGAGTCCGCCAGCGCCAGCTGCACCGCCCACCTGGCCGGACGACGGCGGGCCGAGAAAGTCTGTAAACCAACGCAACAGATCCGGAAATTTCATGAGGAACGGCGAGACAAGGCCCAGCAGTTCCGTCTTCGAGACAATCTCCTGATTAAAGAGCGTCAGACAGCGCAGGAAATTGTCGTAGACCTGCGGACTGCGTAGCGCCTTACGCACCTTATCAAAGAAGGCCACATCCGCGATGGTACACTTACGCGATGCTTCCGAGAAACTGACGTCCCGACAATAGGGCTTTGGCCGCTTCGCCGGCGGTGGTCCGTTGCCTCCGGTTGTGCCAAAGCCACTGGAAACGGAGGCCGCCGCCAGCTCATCCACCGCCTGCCGCCGGCTGCTGCTGCTGCTGCTCGAGTTGTGCGCATTGTGGTGCGGATGGGGATGCGGATGTGCGGGCAGCTGCTGAGCGGGTGTCACATAGCTGGCAATGTTCGGCGAGTTGCGATCGAGCGAATTGTCATTGAGATGTGGCAGATGCTGAATGTTGGCTATCCCGCCATAACTGGGCGACTTCTTCTGCGACATGTTCGAGTGCTGGGCCACATACTTCTGGGCATGATGATTGTTGCGCTGGTCCAGCACGGCGCCCACGCCCACAGCGCTGCCCCTCAGGCTACTCGGCGGCGTGCTGGAGAGTATGTGCGGTGGTTGCAGACTCGGATGTCGCTGCTGCTGCTGCTGTTGTTGCTGCTGTTGCTGCTGCTGCAGCTGCTGTTGTCCTAGTCCATGATAGTCCTTCTCGAAAATGCTGCCGCTGATTATATGATTCTGTGGCACGGCACAGGACTTGATGCTGACGCTCGTATTCACAGCCGACAGATTGCCAATGGCTGCGGCATGCGCGTGCGCACTGCTGCTGTCGATCTGCGAGAGCGTCGCACCGCTGCTCAAATGCATGGGCGAACCACTGTTGGGCACCGCCGACGGCGATGCCGAGGACATGCTGATGTGCGCACCACCGCTCAATGTGGCCGTCGTTGTGGTGCGCTGCTGCTGCTGCTTGTTGTGATGATCGTTGTGCAGCGCTGACTTGGACATATATTGTGCAGCGGCGGCAGCGGCAGCGGACGATTGATGATTTGTGGCATCCGGCAGAAATTGGCCAAATTCACGTAACAGATCTTCATCTTGGCCAAAGAGTTTGGCGACTTGCGTGTAGACCTCCTGTTCGGTTAGCATTTTGCCCTGATTCAAGCCACTGCCGCTGCTGCCCTCCTTCATCACCTTCTGCTCCTTCTGATAGGCGTGCAGGATTTCCAGGAATTTCTTATACTTCGCCGGCTGGCTTTGGAATCGATTCTGAATAAGGCAAAAGGTTCAAATTAATACATGGAATCATTCTAATATAGATCAACTCCAGCTCACCTTAATCTTATTCACATAGGTTATGGCGTGATTGAACTCCACCGGCTGATTCTGCTGGCCCGTCGTCTCGCCCAGCAAAATGGACTGATGCGCCTGCTGGATGTGATGCAAATTGTGCTGGGCAGCGGGTCCGGCGTGTGGACTTAGCTCACTCAATGAATTGGGAGTCGGCGGGCCGACCGCAATGCTGGAGCCAGCCGTTGATGACACGGCCGCCGGCACCTGACCAGGACCCGTTGGCGTTATCGTTGCACGTTGCTCGGCTCGATCCCGTGAATAGTTTTGTGGCACATAGGGCGACACACCGACGCCCACATTAACACCAACACCGCTCGGTGGCACCGCTGAGCTACTGGTCACATGGACATGACCGCCGGGCGACTGAGCTGCAGCTGCTGCCGGCTGCAGGGCATGTATCGTAGTCTGGGTGAGTGAGGCGCCACCATGCGTCATCAAATTGACTGGCGTCTGGATCTGCGCTACAGCTGCAGCGGCTGCTGTAGCTGCACCACCACCACCAGCGCCAGCACCACCAACGGCACCAGGACCACCTGGACCCTGGGCTTGCGCAATCGGCTTCAGTGTTGTGTGCGCATTCACGCTGCTCGCCAACGGGCTGTTGCCCGCTGCGGCAATCATATGAACTGTGCCCGTGCTGCTGGGTGCTCCAGGTGGCGATGGCATCGAAACAACTGGAACTGAGCAGCCAAGTGCATCGGAATGGATTTCAATCTTATAGCCGGGCGGCAAGAACATATTGAAGCCATAGATCAGCTCAGTGTGGCCCTTGAAGAGCGTCGAGACACGCTCAATCACACCCGGTGTATCGATGCAATGCGATTTGAACTCCTTCATAATGTCCAGGAAATTGTTGTAGATCTGCGGCTGATCGGCATATTGGTATTTGACCTGATCCAGATAGCTTAGCGCATCCTCGACCTTGAGTCGCGGCGCAGCACTGGCGGCGCCACCAGCTGCCGCTGCCTGTCCCTGGGGCGGCGTGCTATTTCCCGCACCCACAGAGACCGCTCCTGCGCCAGCTGCCACACCCGGTCCATTGGGCGGTGTGGACAACTGTGCGGATGGTTGTGTTTGCTGCGCTGTTGTTGTCAGGCTGCTCGTGGCATTTGTCTGAGTGCCGCTTATTGTGCGCTGTCGAATGCTGCCCGTTTGACAGCTGCTGGATACTGTCTGAGAGCCACCGCCAACTGCTCCACCAGCTGCTGCGGATACTGCAGCACCGCCGCCAGTCACATGTATCTGCACCGCGTTGCCGTCCGCTGTGCTGGCCTTCATAGTGCCGCCCGCTTGGATGGAGGCAACGCTATAAGCTGTAGTAAGAATAAAACAAGGAATTTGCATAAGCTGGTGAAATGACATCAATGTATGCGACGGCACTTACATGTGGTATACTGCAAGGTTTGGGTGCCCGCACTGCCCGTGGAGACGACAACGCCTCCACTGCCCGGGCCACCGACGCCCGTCACGTTCGTTTGGGTGCTGGCGCTATCGACAATGCTGCTCGTTGTTTTCAGATTCGTTGCCGTCGGCGTCGTGGACGGCAGATAGGCTATGGTCTGTGCGCCTCCATGCTGCGGCGTCAATATGCGATGATGTATGGAGCCAATGCCGCTGATTGTGGCGCTGTGGGCATTTGGCACCACAGTGCCAATGGTAACACCGCCGGCTGTATTAACGCCCACGCTGGTGGTGCCACTGTTCGCACCACCGCCACCGCCCGGCCCTGGACCGGAACGTGTGCCAAATTGGACTTCATCGATGCGCGTACGTTTCATCATGCTTGATAGGAATTTTGAGTACTGTTGGATCTGCTGCTGCTTCTGCTGCTGCTGCTGAGAGTTTCTTTTATGTACTGTTGCTCCTCCCAAATTTTTGCGAGTTGCACTAGATGGCTGCTTCTTCTCACCGTCTAGGTGGTGGGTAGGATGTCGGATTGGACTGTCGTCTACGAGCGTATGTAGTAGGCAATAAACGGTCGTGGTCGTAGCTGATAACTGTAATCGGAGTGCAGCGCTTGTTCTGATCGTGTATCCAACATATGTTGTTCTGTTTGGTGATGTTGTTGTTGTTGTCTATGCATTTGGATATAGACGCGTGCCAGTCCGCTTCAGCGGCAGGCCACAAAAATACTCGGAACTTTTGCCCACTTCGAATTGATTTCCGTTATGATCTTGGCGCTGTCTCCTCTAGCGCTGCCACGTCGCAGTCGCAGTTCCGTTCGGCAAACGGCAATCACTGCAAAAACAGAAAGGAAATACAAGAAATTAAATAACCATGAAATTAGTTGTACAATGTACCCACAAACATACACATAAACACTTATTATATTATATACTGAACACTCGCCGTTGACATACTTTTGAAAGGTATATAAAAAGAGCACAACACTCCTAAGAAACAACAACAATCAGTCATATATATTTCAAGTTTAGAATCAGCTGATAAATCCGAAGCATCGATAATTTAAGCAACATATATCGACTCACGATAAGTATTTAGTATTATCAATACTTTTTGTGTGCATTTTTAGTGCATTTTTGAGTGGCTTAATAAATAGAAAATCTTCTATGGGATTTCTCAAAAGTTAAAAATTATTCTACATTAAATTCTTAATTATATCTATACACACACACACACACTAAACTATGCATGCTCACGTATGAGCAGCCCGCAGCCAATACAACTACAATAAAAGCAGCAACAGTGGCAGCAGCAGCGAGCTGAGGGCTGAGAACAGAGCGCACATCAGATCAGAGAGTCATCACTTGGGTACGTTCTTGTATTTTTGCTTGCCTGTGTGCGTGTATATATATATGTGTGTGTCTGTTAGCAAGCACAACCGGAATTGGGCGCGCGCGCTTTGTTGTTTTTAACGGGTACAGTAAGAACTGGCAAGGGAGGGCAGCAGCCAAGAGACTGCTGAGAGCTTTTTATGAACCATGTACGACGATGACGACGTCAACATGCATACAAAAAAATCCACACAGCGAGTGTGTGACGTGAGAGCGAAAGAGAGAGAGAAGGGGTCTCTCAAAAGGGGGAGTACAGGGTGTTTGCCCGTATCTACACAATTCACAAGAGGCAGGCAGCGCAGCAGCCGCCACACAAAAGAATGAGTACATAGTATGGTGGTAGTGGTAGTGGTGGTGACTGAGGCGGCTGTTACTCTCTTTGCTTTTCTTCTTTCCTTCAATTCTGCTGCATCAACATGCAGAAGAGCGAGAGAGTAAGCGCATATAACAAGGTAGTGAGAGGAGAAGAAGAGAAAGAGGGCTGAATATTTGTTTTGTGGCGCAGTTTGGATATTTTCAAAGACTTTTCTCAACGTTGGCTCAACAACAGCAACAGCAACAACTATAAACAAGTATTTGGCGGGCTCTCTACCGAGTAGTGGCAACGACTACAACTACAACTACAACACAGCCAAGAACGAGAAGCAAGCCATTTGTGTGCTCCCCAGTGTGTGCGTTTTCGTGTCGTTAAAAGTGTAAATATAACTTGAATTTAGAAGCGAATGTCTGCGGCTGTATACACATACATACATGTATATGTATGTGACTATGCGTATCAATGTATATGCTAGCGGGAGGTAGTGGAATAAAAATACCATGGGATGACTCTATGGCCACCTCCTCTGTGAATCTGCCTAGCAAAATAATTGTCGAGTCCAATGAGCGAACGCTTAAAATATGTGCATTTGTAAACAACAAATTACAGTAATTTGCATTTGAAAACTGTACCGGGGCCCCCACACTTTTTGATTATCAAGAGAGCGTGTGTGTATGTTTGTTTGTCATGGTATGTAGCGCTTCCCGCAGCAAATAATCCTTCAAGTGTTATGGCCAAATGCGAAAACAAGTTGAAAGCGTTTGTCGCGCGGCACACGACACGAAACAGCACAGCTCTCCTAATTTCTGACTCTCTCGCCCTCTCTCTCTCTCATTGTCTGAATAACTGTGTGTGGCCTTTTGTTGTTATTGCTCTGCGTGTACTGCTGCTGTCTGTATTTTGGAGCAGCGCTGCGACCGCCTTAGCAGGCACACACACATACACTTGCATACATGCATATACACATATCTGCTCATATATGAATATATTTGTTGCTCTCGCGGTGAGCACAGTTGAGGAGCTCAATCGAGCAAAATTGGGGCGTTCGATGTAGTTGTTCGTGTTCATATTCATGTGCGTGTGAGTGTGCATGTATGTGAAGGGGAGACATGTGGGCAAATTTTCCCTCCATTTTTTCTTTTTATTTTTATTCATCATAGCTAGAGCTGTATAGCTGTATTACGTGCACACGTCTATTATCTTATCTGTTTTGTTATGTATACACAGCAGGGAATAAGGCAAATGTAGGCAGGTATGCAAAAATATTTAGTTTCGACGGCAACTTATTATTTTGCACGGTATATTTTAATTATTCGTATATTAATAGTTCTTTTTCATTCTTATTTCGGTTTTTGCACACACTAGGTAACACACTCTTTTAGCTATTAATAAATTTTGCAAAATACATAAAACATATGGATGTGTAGAGAATTATGTACCTATAGTTGTATGTATATATACGTATATATATATATTAGAGACAATATATTGAGTAAAGAAATACAAAACAAGAACAACAATCTAGAAGGTAGACTGATTAGTAGATTCAAGCCGAATAGTTGTGAGCGAAGAAGATGCTCTCATTAAAACAAATTCATACATATTTATAAAAAAAAAAGTGACAGAGAGCGAGAGAGAGGCAGAGAGACGTTGGCGATTGCTCTTGGAGCCGCTGGCCAAGCCAGCTGCCTACCAGTGAGTTATTCTGTGTTGGGAGCCCATTTATATATATATACATTTATATATAAATATATATACATATACTCGCACGCACACATTCTAAAATGCGCGTATATATATGTACATATGCACAAAATATACAGACGTACATGCGAATGGCGCATCAAAGCAAAAGTTGAGATAAGCGCACGAACTGAGAACAGGCGGACGAACGTACGAATGAACGAACGAAAATAAAACGACACTACGTTGAAAAAATACAGTCAGTTCACAAGCAAGCCAAAAGCAATGTTAAAAACCTTTGTGTGTGTGTGTATATATATATATAGATATATGCGCGTGTTTGTGACTGTGCGCGAGTAAGTCAATGTGTGTGTTGAGTGCGAGCAGCTCGTCGACTTTTTGTCTGTGCGTTTTATATGTGTGTATGCATGTCTTTTGTGCATGTCGCTTGCGTGTGTATGTGTGTGTTTGTGTGCCGTCGTCGTATATAAACCAATTGAAATTGACCTAACCTAAAAATGTTGTATTTTTCACAAGTTTTAGCTGTGAACAAGTACGCAGATGGTATAAATTATCATATAACTAAACGGCTCTGATACATTTGGGCACAAATTAGGTCTGTTTTCTTATATATTCCTCACCCCACGAAAGGGAACTTACATCAGAAACGCTGTACATATGTATGTATTAAAAAAAAATATGTAAGTATGTATGCACATATACATATAGAAGTGTATTTACTATAAACCGTTGGCTTGTTATTCAAAACTTTCACGTTTTACGCAGTATTTTGCACTAACATTTGTTTCACACTGTACAACTTTTCACCTTTTTATTTTTTTTCTTCAGTACATGGGCATTGTATTGTATGTATGTATTGGAGTAGTTTTTCACAATCTATTGAATAAGCCTCAGCTTATAAACAATGCTACGCGGTAAGCAGATGTAGATTTAATACTTTTACACTATTCAATTGAAATTCACTTTTTAACAATTTTCCTCCCAGTGAATTTCTACAGATATTCACAAAAATTTGGCGAGGAAACGTTTTCGTACGTCTTAACGCCGCCGCAAACATTTTCGATTAAACGACGGCCAGTGTGAGCAAAGAAACAAAAGAGCGCGAAATGCGGAGAGCAAACCAACCAACCAACCAGCCAGTCAGCCAGCCAGCGAGCCAGGCAGCGAACAGACGGAGAGAGCGCAAGAAACAAAAACGGGTGGATGAGACGGAGAGTAAATGCGCGCGCACAGTGTTGCTTTGGAATTCTTCATTTTCATTTTAGTAGCTGTTGTTGCTATATTGCTGCAGTGGCAACGGGCTACGACTACTAGCAGCATATCAAACAGGGAGGCAACGCAGCAGAGCGACATCGCGAGCCTCTTCGAGCATAAAAAGAAAAAAGTAAAATGGGGAAAATGCTGCTTTGAGTATTAAAGTAAATACATGGTGGCTATGTATATAATATGTCGCACACATATAATCTACGCTCAGCACACAAATGTATTCACGGCGTGTAGCAAATCTTGTTGCCGTGCGTTCAAATGGCATTCTGTGTGGCAGAAAACATTTTGTGGTAGCGGCCGAGCGAATGGATGTGTGCGGAGCACAGCACGCTGTATTCAGTCGAAAAATCACGCCAAACTTCTATCACCAGAATGGTTCGACGTTGGAGTAGAGAGGAAGCATAATTCGAACAGAATATAGACAGATAGGCAAGATCACGAGTTAAATTGTCATTTTTCGTTGAAGCTTCACGTTTTCGATGTGTAATCTAAAACAATTACGAAAAATCAAGCAAAGTGCAAAAATGGCTCATAAACCTGAATACGCAAAGCTTACGTAAGTGCAAAAGGCACGACAGTTACATGCGGTGTGACAGAGTCAGCATGACTCTCTAATGAACGGCAACAGGGTGTTTTTATCGTTCGTCATGGAGCGCATATAGCATAGCGACACCCTGTCGTGAGAGCGCACTTTTGGTGAGAGATGAGAACACCCACACTGAGAAAACGGCATACAAAGATAGAGGCCACTCGCTCACGAGTTCGGCGGAGCAATAGCGATGATATTGCAGTACATAATGAAATCGACAAAACTGAAAATCAGAAACCAAACAGACGAGTAGCTGGCTACAACACTGCCACGGTTACAGTTTGCGGCGGTGGCGACGATGACGACGCGGCATACACCTTGCCTCACCTCACTATCCACTTGGCTCACGCATACAAACACACGCACGCACACACATTCATGCAGTTATGTACATATGTATGTGTATATTCTTTGCAAGTGGTGGTGAAATTGTAGTTTTTGCTGCTGTCAAAACGGAAACGAGAAGAAGCACAAATACAGAGACACCACAGCGGGCATAGAAAGCAACCAGACAATTCGAGCACAAGGTAAAAAAAAGGAGAAAAAAGTGGATGCAAGTTGCGGCGATGCCAACGCCGTCGTCTCACCATGACAATGGTGTGTACACATACATATGTATGCATATCGTACATACATACATACATTCAATGGCCAGCAGGGAGAGCATTGGTCTTGCCGCTCTCTTCCCATCTCTTTTTCTCTGCAATGGTCAAACACATGTTGGAATTTGATCGGCCGCGAGAAAAGAGCAACTCAATAACTTAGCGGCTGCGAAGCGTCAATAAAAATCTGTATACTTGCGAATTGTGCGCTCATCGTTGTCGTCGCCATCGTCATGGTGGTGGTGGTGGAAATGGAAACCTTGCAATTATCGATTTCTTTTTCATGCGTTCGCTTCTGCTGCAATGCGCAGCGGGGGCGGCGAGAGAGCAACTTAAGAGTGGAGAGAGCACTCGACAGAATGAGAGAGTGAGCGCCACTGTCACCTGCTAGCTACACAACAAATGCAACTGCAACTGCAATTGCGTTAGTCAATGCAAATCGAGTGAACGAATTTTTAGACACACATATGACGCGCTGCCAAAGTTCAAAGTTCACGAGCAGGCGCCTTGTGCAGCAGCAGCAGCAGTAGAAGCAGTTGCAAACGCCTACAAGAGCAGCGCGTAGCAGAGCCTTAGCGTGCACCTACAAGAAAGGCAAGTGCAAAAGGGACAACCACACATGTGTGCGTGCATTTGAATTGTGTCTATGTGTGCATGTGTGTGTGAGCTGCACTCTTAATATATGCAGTCCAGTGTACACACACAGGCACAGAAGTTTGTTTGCCTTTTTCCAGGTACTTCCGCTGCTTGTTTACGTATGTATGTGTTCTCAGCTGGTTTAATTTATAAACTAATTGGTATACAAATAATTTCAGATGCTCTCGGATGTTATTTGCTATTGCGCAACAATCATATTACAAAAATATATATATTTATATATGTATATAACGAGTATACACAACAAATGTGCAGAAAAGCAGCAAAAGAATTGTCAACATAATGCAAATTGCGATTCGTGAAGAACAATAACAACTGTAATTTTATGCCGTGTTGCAAATTTGCCATCGTCTCTTGTCAATTTGTATGTAAATGTAACAAGAATTATTCACGGTATCAGATAATAGAGTTTACAATTACGTGCAAAATCAGCAAAAATGTGCGAAACCCAAATTCATATTGCATAAATCGAAACAATAAGAAAAAGTGCAGCCATAAAAGAAAACAAAGCAAAATTTATGCGGAAGCTCTTTGAGATTAGCACGTAAAACTCTCAGAATAATATAATATTATTGATTAAAAATCAACATCATCTTCTGCTAAACTCAATGAAAATGCTGAAAACTTTCCATTCATTAAAAACGCAAAGATTGTTAATGAATATCTTTATAAATTTGTATATTCTTAGGGCGTAGCCCTCTTTATTGGCGATAATAAATTAGTTATCAACTCTTCTTTCAGCAGTTGGAATAGTAAAAGAAGCATAATAGCACGTAAAACTGAACGTTTCTTATATGATTGGTTAAGAGCCAAGTTAATCTGCCGCAAAACTCAATGAAAATGTTTTAAAATCAACTAAAAACATTCCACTCAGTACAAATTTAGTCGTAAATATGTTTACTAATATGCACATTAAGGCGTAGCCTTTTTTGTTTCATCAAATATAAATAATCACATATTAGTAATACACTATTTTAGTAGTTAAAGAAATGAAAGATGTACAATAGCTAAAGACTGAACACAAAGATTAGGCATACAAAGAAAAACCTAAAATAAGCTAAAAGCTAAAATCAACCTGAACCCAAAAATATTCAAATTCGACTATTTATGTATATCAATAGGCCTGAAAACTTTATTATATTTTCTGTTCTATATGCTTTAAAATGTATTTGATATTAAAGGAAATAAGAAATAAGAATACTATTATTGTATGCCATTAAGACTTGATAAGGTTTATACCACATTCTGTTTTAAAATGAATATACATGCTTAACATGCTGAAACACTGTACAATTAAAATATCTAAAATTAATTGTACACATACAAAAATTTCGCACTAAATGTTTGCATTAGGGTTCAGCATTCATTGGCCCTTGGCAAAATATACATATTAGAAAAAATAATCAAACAAAGAAAAAGGCAATTCTTAAAGAAAACACGCTTAGGCTAGTCTCTATTTACATAAAAGGTGACACAAAACAAATACTAAATACTAGATTCACTTGACTAAGGGACTAACTTTAAATACACTTTAATATTTGAGTGCGAAAATGGTAAAAGTATAAAAACTAAACCTTTTAAGACTTTAACTTTATTTAATGCATTTTTTTGTATTAAATTATTATTAAATAATTTGACAATTGTTGCAGGCAAATTTGTCAACAACTGAACAACTCAATGCTAGAGTATTTTGAACAAAGTGCGATCGTTTGTAACTATAACTCGTTTTTCAAGTTTCACGTCTTTTTGGTAAATGAGCAGAGGAGTAAAAGAGAAGGCAATAAAAAGCCAAAAGCTTCGCAGCAAACCCCAAACTAAAAACCAGACTTGGTAAAAAAAAAAAATACAAATACAAATTTAGGTCTTATCAAGAAAATGCAAAGAAGCAAAGGAACGGGCGAGGTAGCGAATGGAATATGCTAGAAATGCAAACAGAAAATGTGAAAATTGTGATAGAAAATATATCTAAAAGCTATGAATGTATCTATAAGCTCTTGTGCTTCCCGGTAAACCACAAACATTTCAAATTGAAATATATGAAACACATTTAAAATTACTTATTCGCTACATTTTACATTTGAAAACAAAGTTTTTGTTCTGGCCAAGCTCAAGTTTGCGATAGACATAGGGCCAGAGAGCGCAAGAGAGGGCGGCATTGAGAGAGATAGAGAGCAATGGAGCTGCTGACAACATTGTATTTTGTTGTTCTTGTATTTAATCAAAGAGAGAGGGCGGGAGAGCGCTCGCTCTCTCAAACAACACTCACACATACACAGGCACACAAGTAAACGTTTTCATATATCGGTGTGCGATTGCAACCGTGTGTTTGTATAAGCGATATGCGTCATTGTTGTTGCTCTGCCTGATACCTTCCATTTACAGCAATATTTATTGTATGGCATTTTATATATAAATATATATATACATTTTTATCAAATATTTCTATGGGCAAAATGTCTACGTTCACATTTTTCAAACACACACACACACGCACACACACTCGGTACACAAATGCAGTTGAATTGCGGAAATAGTACAAAGGCGAAGGCAACCACCTTTTTGCTTTTGCTGTGCACAATTAATTAATTAATAATTAATGTATAACACTTGTAGGGAATTTCATTTAGCCATGAGACGCCTGTTTTACCAGACGCTATCGCCGAGCGTAATCAATTGAGCTATTGAGGTTATGTACAAACTACTGGCACACACACACACACAAGCGCATATTTAGCACAACACTGTCTTGTACATACAAATGTATATACGCAGGCATGTGTGTGTGTATACATACGTATATAGCAATAATGGGCGCGCATTTTTTTCTATATACAGCAACATCATCATATTATTAACACTGCTTAAATTAGATACTTGATTGCACACATACCTGGTTCAAGTTGGCTCAAAACATGCCACAAGGTAAGAAATCTTGTCAATTTGTAATTTTTCACTCTCTCTAGCTTTTAGCTGTAGCAACTGGTCACGTTCACAATTTGTACGCGAGATTTTTGCCAAGATTTTTGATGGAATTTTTTCTTTTATATATATAGATATATATTTTTTTTTTGTTAGCTTAGCTACAGCAAGGGAGAAAAGCGCGTGAGGCTCTGCTTTGCAACACGCACTCACGCACACACATACACACACGCACGCAAACACATGCACAAAATGCATGCACTTGGAATCGATTTTATGCTGCTGCTGCCGCAGTCGCTGTTGCTGCTGCTAATGTGCTCCCGGTGCTGACGAAGCTCCAACGCCTACGAACTTTTTGTATGCCCTGCACGTAAAATGCGCCTCCACACTAAACTACGCTTCGTTATAAACTTCACATATGTATGTCATGTACACATGTATATACACACATATACATAGGCACACGCACACAGTCGCACGCGCGCACACTCATGCAAAGCTGCGTGACTGTGTGTTTCTATTGGTTTTTGTGGTGCCAATAAATTTAAATTTAGCTCATTTACTTTATTGTGCTGGCTTCCTCTCCATATGTGTTGCTCACTGGAATGTGTTACACTAATTTATCTTGTTGACTTTGTATTAAATTTAATTAGTCGCACTACTGAGATGCGACCAGCAAGTTGCAGACGCGCGATGAACACAATCGATATGAACATATGACACTGCACCGTAAATATTAATCGACGGGAACTGCCGATGTGGCGGCAACGCTACAAATTAGGGCCACCCTAAAACGTTATATCGATCTTCGTTTAAAAAAATTTAATATGCCATTTTGAATATAACATATTTCTGTAGATATTTTTCTTAATATATATCTAGATTAAAGTTATATAACGTTAAATAATATATTTCTATCGGCAACGAATACTTAATATCCCATTTGTTTGCTTACGATTGGATTTACAGTGCTTTTTGAGTTTAACATAACAGCTAGCTTAGCAACATTTGTAACCAAGTTGTGCAATTGGCTGTTGACAGCCGATAAATTGTCAAAATATTTATCGAATATTTCTTTTTATTTAGCATAGTTTTCTAGTTTTAAGACAAAGAAGTTCGGTGCGGTTAAAAACAAAATTTAAGCAGGTAATATTAAAATTTCAAACAATTTCCCACACACTTATCGATAAAGTTAAATTTAAATCTGTAATTGCTCTGTAAACAATTTCTCAGCTCAGTTAACAGCTGTTAAATTCAAATGCAGTCGCCGTTTGCTGTCAATGATGCTGACGTTCAGATTAGTTTTCTATTATTCATTGTGTGTTTCCACAAACATTCAACATGTTCCATAAAATGAATTGTAATTACAAATTTTCAAATTAATTTCACTAAGTAAAGAGATTATTTGCAAGACAAAATGTATACACACTGTTAATAACAGTCCAGCGAAATGCTTAGCTTTAGCTCTGCCGTGTCTCTGTTACCAATCATCGTACATTCGTGCTGGTAGCAGCGAACGAGAAAGACGCGTTTTGGGTGCGTTCACGATTTGTATAATAGTGTGTGTTGGTGTTAAAATTTAAGAAGTGCAGCTGTCGCTTAAAACAAATAAAAACCGTATAATCGGCGCTTATTAAGAAATCAAATTGCAACCGAGCAACATCGAAGTGCACGTAAAGCCTGACTAGCCAAGCAAATCTATAAAATTAATGCATGTAAAATAATTTCAACGCCCAAAAAGTCGCCGGCCAGCAGACGCCGTTGACGCCGCAAACTCTGCTGCTGCCGCTGCTGTCGTCGGTGTCGCAGCCGCTTGTTGAAACAAATGAAATGAAATATGTGCATTGAGTGCGAATTGCGTTGATTTTGTTCAAATGCAGTGCTGACACAGTGAAACGGAATCACAAATATATATGCAAAAAAAAATATTAACCAATTCATAAGAGAATAAAAATAAAAAACGAAATGAAAACTGCGCTTCGTGTGTGCGTGTATGAGAGAGTGTGCATGAGTATGCGTGAGTGTGTGCAGAACAAGCAACACAAAAAGAAGGAACGATGGCCGCGGCATCAGCAGCGGCAGCAGCAGCAGCAGTCGCATTTTGCTGACGTACCTGCTCCGCAATTAGAGTAACCATAACCGAAAATCAAGGCAAATGTTGCGGCTTCAAAAATGCAAACTGGTTACTTTAGTTGCCAAACAGCTACGTAATGCTATTTTCCGCTGAACGCTGTCCGCGCTGCTCATCTACGATGTTTGAATGTCTGCTGCGGCGATTGAGAGTAACATCGAGAGATAGAGAGAGAGAGCCAGAGTGAGAGTGAGAGCAACCGCTGGCTTAAGAAAATGTATGGCCATATTTGTTTCTTGTCGGTTCCCTTTTGAAACTATGTTCTGCGGCTGCTGCTGCTGCTGCTGTTGCCGTTCTCGCCGTCTGCCTTTCGTTGCCGCATTTCTTAGATAAAAAGAGAGAAAAACAGCGAACGTTTCTTGCAGATAAAAATGTGCCGCAAAAATTGTATCTTGCCGTTTGAAGCTAGCTGAGTGTGTATGTTTGTTTACAATGCGTGTGTGTGTGCTTGTTTGTGTGTGTGTGTGTGTCTGTATGTGTGACATGTGCTAAAAAGTTATTTTAATATTAATGTGCATTTAATCTTTTTCGCCAAATCAACAGAAAAATATTTAAAAATCAGCAACTGCATACAAAACCAAACCAGATAGAATCAACGACAAAACGATAAATAACGAATATAAAAACGCAGAAAGTATAATAAAAAAAGAAAACAAACATGTCAGAAGAAGTTGATCGCAACGACCCCGAGCTGAAATATCTCTCGGTGGAGCGCAATCAATTCAACGATCCGGCCACACAAGCCGAATGGACACAGAAACGTCTTGTTTGGGTGCCCCACGAGAATCAGGTAAGAAATGCAGTAGAAATTCTGAATTTTTAAAGGATTATTCTATTCATGTGTGTTTACCAACACTGGAACACATTCCACGATTTTCTCATTTGTTTACGTACTCGCATTCTGTTGTTTTTTTATATTGTTTTACTGTTTCTTGGGTGCTGTCATGCTCCTTGCACTCTCCCGTCTCGGGCTTTCACCCGGCCGCGCAGAAGTCGTCGCTGGCGTCGCCAAACGACCTGAAAAACCTGTAGAGCGCCTCGTTGCGTTGCGCAGGCGTTGGCCGCGCTCTGTTCTGCTGCTGCTTCGGCATTGTTGCTGGGCGCGAGTTTGACCAGTTTTCTGTTATTGTTATTGTTGTTGCTGTTGCTGTTCTTTGTAAATGTTATCTTAATACACTTGCAAAGGCTATTGTGAACTTTGTCAAAGCAGTTGGCAATGCCAAAGTGAATTTATGAAAACGAAGAAGAGTAAGAAGAATCAGAAAATTGGACTCTTATATTTGCATTCTAGTTGTGTCTTATAATTAGTTTAACTGCTAATGTTAAACATTAATGTAAGGGTATTTCGGTTGCGGCATGTTTGTCGGTTTTTTCTCTGTTATTTTCTTCATATTTTATTGAAAGTATATTTAAGCCGATTAAGGGCGGGGGACAGGCTAGGCCTATCTACAACTCCACAGCTGACGATAGGAATCGTAACTGAAACTGGAACTGGAAATCATGTTAAACTCCCAACTCCACTGACTGACTAACTGAGTATTGCCGTCTCGCTCTTTTCGTGCAGTTATCGCCTTTTTGGCTGCACACTCATCGTCGCATGAATCATACAGTGGGTTAACTTCTTTGAATTTGATGTCCGTAAAATTGAATAAACATCCGCATACAAAAGATATGATTGTGGGTTTTTCATTTTGAGTATTTCTCGGTTTGAATCACTACTACAACAAAAACTGTGATATAGACATCCAGGAGAGGTAATTTGCAAATGGCGACTGTTGACCGTATTAATATAACAGCTAGTGGCTCAGTTTCCAATTTGTCAATATTTCCAATTTGCAAGCGTGAGTCATTCGAGCGATAGACAGAGCGAGCGACCGAGCGAAGATGGGGAGGAAGAGGAAGCAGAAAGTCGTGATAACGAAAGCAAAAAAAAAAAAAAAAAAAAACAAAAACACTTTTATTATGCATTGAATGCAATAATTTATAGTATTTGCTTTTGTGTTTGATAACGATAACGATAACGATGACACGCAACGATGTTTCATTTGTTGATGTTTGGAAAATATTGTTGGTAGCAAAGTTGGCCCATTCACAGATAACTTAACCAAATTCAGATGTCATTCAACCTGCTGCCTAAAAGAATATATATTATATTATATATTCGCATATGTTTATATAGATGTATACAATGCCCCAGACTTTGGGCCTAGAGATAAAACTGTCGTTCCTAACAATGGGCACTGAAATAACTTACGGGGAATTGAGTAGCAAAGGTGCTACTCACTTATGAATGTGCCAAAAAAGCTAAGAGAGTGCTAGGAGATACCCTGTAAAAGTTAGAAATTGATGTAATATGTGTTGGTTTTTGTGCTCTACATTTTATTTTGATTATGAATAAATTAGCAGATATATTAAAATATTAGTTATTTTTTGATAATTCTCTGCTATAGGGTATTTAATTATTATAATAGCAAAAGCAACAACTTGTCGCATTTTTTTGTAATTACGCATTTACTTAAAAAGTCATTTGCTTTGGCCCAAAGGAATTTCAAGCGCACACACAGATAAAGACATAAAACAGACAGCAGCAAAAATAAAAGAAAATACAAGTAAGAGACAGAGAGAGAGAGAGAGAGAGAGAGAGAGAGAAAGAGAGTAAAGAGTAGAACTGCGGGAGGGAGTGTGGAAGAAAACGGCACGACTTTGCGACAGACGATTGTCAGGCAGAGTGGCAGAGTGACAGAGACAGCGACAGACGGCGAGACAGTTGGACAGATAATGTAAGAAATTTGCATATGGCACAAACTGTTGCGCTGCTGGAATGCCCAACACATACAAATACAGCTGCTTTGCTGAATACAGTTACAGTTTTTTTTTTTTTTTTTTTTGTTCCATGGCAAAAGGGTATTCGGAATTGTGTCAACACATTTTGTGCACTCATTTTCTTCTTTCTTTTTTTTTCTGTTTTTTGCCTGCCCAACAACTGTGCAAACTTTGCGCAATGTAAAGAAAATACTAAATATCTTAAAAATATTTATACTCATATGTGTGTATGTGTGTGTGTTTGTATTTGCGTTTCTATGTAAATAATTGAACAATGGGCCGCATTGTGCGTGTGCACAAGTTGTTGAAGAAGTTAATGAGGTCTACAGGTCGTTTGCTCCACACACCTCATAGAGCTGAAGAAGACATGAGACTAATAACTTTTATATAGGTATGGATAAATATATAGTTGACATATTTAATCATTATTTGCAAATGTATTTAATATTCGATATTTCATATATGTATAATATTCGCTAGATATATCGTTATTTCTACTCAAAGCAGATACATACATGTATACAATATTTACATATATCTAATAGCTAGATATATTTATACATACATTATTCACTTATACTCTACAAATTTGCAAGTGTATTCAATATTCGATATTCCGCATACGATATTCGCTAGATATACAGTTATTGCTAGTTAAAAGACTAAGCAAACGATTTCAGGTTCGACCAAGTTGTTATTGTAGTTAATAACTAAACAAAAAAAAACTTGGTTATTGATGGTCTTTGAAATGAGCTTCAGTTGCTCCTACCACAAATTGTTGTTAACATCTCAAACCGCAACACAAGCTATGTAGCTGAGCAGAGTGAGAGCGAGAGAGAGAGAGAGAGAGAGAGAAGCTCAATAACATGACACTCTCACACACATGAATTTACAATTACACCCACACACGTGCACACACACACACATTAGTTGATAAGTATTTAAGAGTTGTTTACAAAAAAATTGAAAAGCCACAAGAAACGTTGTCGGGTTTTTCTCTTTATTTCTTTATTTTCATTTAGTTTGGTTTTTGTTTTTGTTTTTCCCTTTATATTTATGTTACAAATGTCTCTTCTTTACCGCTAATGACAAAACGTAGCCGAAGCTTTCAAGATTCGGCTCTCGTCCGGTTTACGGTCAACGAACCTGCGGCTCTCATATCTCTCTCAATTACACACACACACAGATATACACATATGTGTGTATTATGTTTATCTGTATGTATGTATGTGTGTATATATGCCATGCATATGCGTTGATCGATTAAACGCAAAGAAAAGAAATACAACAAATTTAAAATACGAAAATACTGAAAGAGAGGCAAATAACAAATTATTATGGCCGGTCAGCGTGAACTCTGCTTCTCTATACAGAAGAGAACTCGAGCCCACGATCTTCGTAAGCAGCGTTCAGTGAGCCGCAACGTCTTGTGGGTGCGAGCGAGAGGTGCATAGACTATATTGAATGATTGGAATGCTGCTGCATGGGAACGTTTTGAATACACAAAGCGGCTTGGGCGGGAATATTGGAATCTTATGGTTAATAAAATTCATATCTTTGTATTTGTTTAGGAAAGAGTAGATGTATAGACTTTCAGTATAAATTTATCTATATATCGATAACTGTTAGAAAAGTCTCATTGGAAAGCAAAGAAATAAGGTATTTATGTTGTATATAAATGCTTGGTTATTCCCACACAATTTGTTCATATTACCTCATTAATTGGGGTAATCAATATGTTATCAACTCTGTAAGGGTATTTACTCTTTATTATGCCAAAGATAACATAAATTCGATGATATATACTTCGCAAAGCTCGCACAAAAAAAAAAAAAAAAAAAAATGTGAAGTGAAGTGAAAATAAAGTTCGTATTATTCAATAGGTTGTGCATATATTTCTGTACATATATTTGGGCATCACTGAGTTCATTATTTGTTTATTTTGCTCTTATGTCAGAATATCTCAAGTTCAAGGTTTTTTCCCAGATATTTTGTTCATATATAATTTCTGCTTGCTGCCAAATCGTTTGTAGTTCCAATATTTTAAATTACAAAACTCCCGCACATAAATGAATGCATATTTATTCATTTACAATTTGTATCTTTGGCTTTGATTTGTTTTCTTTGCATTTGTTTTTGTTGTTGTCTTCTTTGCGCTTCGTTGTGATTCGCTGATTGCTTGGAATGTGTCGTGTATGTAGATAACAATCTACAAACTTTCTGCCAAAGAGGGAGAGAGAGAGAGAGAGAGAGATAGGGAGTGTTTATGCTTGTGTGTGTGTGTGTATGTGGGAGAGAAAGAGGGGGCACAGCTGATTGATGATCTCATTGGCGGCCTGCGCATACTTCAGCAAATCATTTCTTTTGTTTTTAAGTAAAAAAAATAATTTAAATAAATAAAAATAAAAAAATATTTCCATATATAGTTTTTTTAAGCGTGCTGTACAGTGAAGACTGCAGGAAAATTGAAATTGTTATACAAAATCAATGCGATAATTTACTAATTTTGTTTATTAAATAGAACTATAATTTATTTTCAGTCTATCTCTGAAAATTGTTCATCCAAGATGTTCTTAGCGCGTGTTTACTACATGAGTTAACGGGGCACTTCACAGCTCATTTCTTTTATGACATTATACAACACTGAATCACCTTTGCTTACCTTTTGATACACGAGTTATTTAATATATAATATATTTAAACACATTACGCACTTATTTCTCTTGAGGAACACGCAATGATTTCTGTTGTTTTCATTCAATTTCTGTTTATCGCTTGTGCCGGAAAAGCGCAAAGATAATGGATACAAGCACACACACACACACACACACGCACGCACGCACGCATACACAGATCATGTTTATCTCTAAACAAGACAAGAATGGAAATGTAGAACTGTGGAATTGTGGAACATTTCGGATCGTTGGGGCGTGCTGCACGTATTTAACTTAACGATCAGAGACCTGCCTCTGTTTGTTGTTGTTGTTGTTGTTGTTGCAGTTGCAGTTGCTTGACTTGTTGGTCGTTAATGCATTTCATTGCACTTCTGTTTTTTCTTCCACCCTTTTAATGAGCCTCTGGAACTGGAATTAGGAATCATATATTATGCTATTCCGTATGGCCGCAAAGTGGAATTTGTTTGTTTTACGTTTTAATTTTCTACTTCTGGTTTTCATTCTTGTGATTCATCATTGAATTCTAATTTGGGAAAAAAGCATTGCGTTTTATTAATGGTATTCCTAAGAAAAACTCTTAATTTCTGCAACATTAGTTCATACTTAAAGATGCGAGAATATTATGATATATATACATATATATTTTATATACTTTTTGGTTCCAGTTGAGTTAGTTTTATAGCTTGCGATAAAGTGCAGCAAATTCGCTGGATAAGCCTCATAAATAATGTAAATAGATATGATATAATGCTATAAAATATAACATATATGAACAACATCCGTTTCCGCTTGAAAAATAATCACGTTCGAATTTACAAAGCAAAAATTTTGATATGTAAATATTTAAAATGCAATATTTTCATATACAATTTTTATTTTCTATAACTTGAAATATTCTTATCTATAAAAGTGATCATTTATCAATCTATTTTTCAATGTTATTTTTCTAGTTAACGCATTTATAGATTAATATCGCTCAGCCCACAGTCGCACTAAATTGAATAAGTTGTCAACACGCTCAATTAGTGCTAATTAAAATGCGTAATTAAATAGACTATAAATTAGAAAATCTACTTAGCTCTAGATAACATATTCATGTTATTCGTGAGAGAGAGAGAGGGCGAGAGCCTTGAACTTGCCAATAGGCAGACAGCAGTTAGACAACAGACAGACAACAGAAAAAGGGCAGACAAAGGCGTCGCTGTTGCTGTTGCTGTCGTTGGCGCAGCTTCTGTTTGTCTTCTGCTGCTGCTGCGGCGCTGGCAGCGGGGTAGCAGCTGCTGTCGCTGCCTTCCCGTTGGCTGTTTTGTCTCTGCTGGTGCTGTTGCCGCTGCTGTTGTGTCTGCAACGGCACTTGAACGGGCGTCAGTTTTATCGTCTGCATTTCCTTTTTGTTTCTGTTGTGGCTGCCACTGTTGTTGTTGTTGTTGATGCGCTTGGCGCTTGACTCATGCAGCGCTCTGTCAAGAGATGCACTCACAGTCACACTTACACACACACACACACACACACATGCAAGTTCACTCAATTAGAGTCAAAAGAATACAAAAACAAGCATAAGAAGCAAACGAAAGAAGAAGAACCAGCAACAGTAGTGTTACAAGGCGTGTGCATTGTTTTCATATGCATATGCAGACAGCCCAGCCAGGAGCTTTAACTGTAATTGCTGTTGCTTCTTCTTCTTCTTCTGCATTTGCTGCTTTGTTTTCATTACAAATTTTTTGCTGAATTTGCATTTGTATTATTTCCTGGAATATATTTTCGATATTGTATATGTAATAAATAACGGTTAATTAACTCTCACACGTGTGACTCACATACACACACACACACACACACACTCACACAGTGAGTGACTAATTCGCAATGAATTTGAATTCAATTTCTGATTTCTTTTTCTGTTTCTTTTCGTTTCTTATTTTTGCAGGGCTTCGTTGCCGCCAGTATTAAGCGCGAACATGGCGACGAGGTGGAGGTGGAATTGGCCGAGACCGGCAAGCGTGTCATGATCCTACGCGATGACATACAGAAGATGAATCCGCCAAAGTTCGACAAAGTCGAGGATATGGCCGAGCTGACGTGCCTCAATGAGGCGTCCGTGTTGCACAACATCAAAGACAGATATTACTCTGGCTTGATCTATGTAAGTATCAATATGCCCCAGCTAAATACCCAATACATACAGACATTTGTATAGACCCATGCCCAAAGCAAATAGATGCCATTAGAGAGGGGATTGCTTGAAAGCTGCCACAGCTGCTGGCAATGTGACGGATGATGACGCGAACTTTAGATAAACATTGAGCAATAGTTTTTTTTTTTCTCATTCATTCGATGCGTGGGTTGCGCGAATAGTAAATGACTAATCAATGGGTAACTGTAAAAATGGAATAAAGAGATTGCATTGTTTATTTTGGCAGACTCAAATAGAAAAGAGAATAAAAGGGAGAGAGAGACAGCAATTGATGCTATGCCAAAATTTTAGCAGTAAATGAGTTAACAGTAGCAGCAGAGCTGCATTAGCAGAGAGAGAGAGAGAGAAAGAGAATGTTATGTTATGTTATAGTCGTTTGCACGACTGCTACTTCTAGTAAGCTTTAAGCCGCCCTGGCTAGCTGCTTCGGGTGATTTAGAGTTTTGTGGAAATGTTGACAGTTGAAACCCTTTGCGCAAGCCGTGGAGTTTTCATTCTCTGCATATTTGTTTAAAAGCGCGGCAAATATTTGTCACACACACATACAAGCAGAGAGAGAGAGGCAAAGAGATTTACTTATACAGGTATACGCATACATCATACGTATGTGTGTATAAGAGTAAACAAATATCGAATCATCAATTGCCGTTTGTGATGTTTCCACTGCATTTGTCAATGTCTAAAAACAATGTTAAAGAAGAAGAAGAAGGAGTAGAAGGAGCAGCAGTTGACATGTCTGTGATGCCTTTTAAAAAGCCAACACATCCGCCGCTAATTGTTATGCCAAAAACGTTAAGTAATTTAAACAACAAAATATATGTATATACATATATACATATACATGTATGTGTTCGCATTTGTGCATATCTAAATTGTTGTTTAACGTAGATAACGAATTCCACGTCTGCAGCCCATAAATTCGGCTTAAATATAAATCAATGGGTAGCTGTTGCGTCTGCCTCTGCCGCTGCAGCTGCAATTACAATTTCAATTAATAGAAATTGATGCTGACACATAAATAAACGAAAACGAAATGAGCAACAAATTGGGAATTTATTAACCAACTGCTCCAGCAGCCGCAGTCTGTCTCATTAACCCAATAAAATAAACAACTGCAAATTGAGTTTCAATCTAAGAGAGCTGGCAACATGTTGCCAGCATCTGTTGAGCTTTTAAGCTATGCTTATAATGGTGCTGGGTGCGCACGCTCTCTCCTATCTCTCTCACTCTCTCACTTCGTTCTTTGGCTGCTGCTAACAAATTATGCGGCGCTGTTTTTACATAAACATTTTATGTGCCTGCTGCTTAGCATTACATTTTTGATTGCTGTTGTGGTTGTTGTGGAGTCTAATTAAATGCGCAAACCGTTTTCGGCCTTTTCAAATGCGGCCGACGTTGGGTTTTTGATGTGGGCGTACACTGCTTTGAATTTGTTTATACACATTGCCGTTGTAGTTGTTGCTGCTGCTGTTGGTGCTGGTGCTACTGCTGGCGCTGCCGTGCTGCCACGCTTCAGCGCACACGACGCCGACGCACGCGTTTTAGATTGTAGCTGCTGCTGCTGCGCTGTCAGCTATACACTCACACAAGCGCACCACGCATTTTATTTACACTGTTCCCGCACTCTCTCTAGGTCTCTCTCACTCTCTGTCTCTCACCCACTTTGACCTGTTTCACATAAATTGCGTGTTGCTTGGCAGAAAATGTTGCTGACGCGCGCACTACTTATAGTGAGCTTTTATTTGTATTCATTTTTATTAACGGCATAATTATTATAATTTGTTGACATTTAATTTGATTTTAAAATTGCAATTAAATTAATTTGTGTAGCAGCTGCTGCCTGGCTGGCTACATGTTGATAATTAATAAATGTCACAAAACTGCGTACACACACAGAGAGAGAAAGAGAGACACGTTCACACACATACGCATACTCACATATGCAAATGTAATGTCAACACCTAGCAACAAATATGGCGACTGGCAATTTGTTTGACATGAATGTCCAAGCGAATGGGCGTCAAAATGTTGTCGGGTAACGCAATGCACAACCCACTACCCGCCGCCCACCGCCCACAGCCCACAGTCCACAGCCCAGTGCACCGTTCAACCCTCTCGCTGGCTGTCCAATTGGACGCGCCCGCTTGCAAATCCAATTGGCTGCGACGTACTTCGATTTGATCTCTTCATTTAGCAAATTTCATGCAATTTACCCAGCTGAATTAATGAATAAACAAATTGCGACAAACAAAAATTGAACATTTCATGTTTGTATAGCTGTCAGCAGATGCGTTGCCATCTAAATATAAATAAACTTGACGTTGTCTCATTGACCCCCATGGGTGTCTCCCAATCTCCCCTCCTCCTAGTTAGCTGAAAAGCTAAGCTACAACGACAACTGTATTTGCCTTTAACTATCTTTGAGTTATGCACTAATTGAAATTTCATAGCGAGCAGACCGTCGCAAGCATTTAAGCCATTCACATATTGAGCATTCCTCTCCTCCCCACCTCTCTTTCTCTTTCTCATTCTCTCGCTCTTGTCTTCTTGTGGCCCTGATGACACTTAATTTGCTTTTGGCTAGATTTACATGTGCAACAAATTCCGACAGATCTTTGGCTATATCTGTATCTGTATATATATATTCATATTTATTTATTTATGATGCATGCGAATTGTGGCCACGTTGCGGCATATAAATTATTTCACATATACTATATATAACTATATGTATATATATAATAAAAATTTTGCTTGACAATTATTGGCAGCTCGAGAGCTTTGCTTGCTGCGTGTACCGTTTGCTTCGTGTGTGGGCGGGGAGGGGAGCGGGGCATTAACACGTAATTAACATGAAAAGCGCCGACATTTTGCATTTAACATTTTGCTTTTAGCATTTGCTAACGTAATTGCTTGCAACACGTTGCATATTGCAGCTGAAATATAAATAATATTTTCGCTGGACGTCAATTGACTGTGATTTATCTACATACATATTTTCTCAGCCGCACCGCACGCAAATTCCAATGAACAGCAAATAAAAAGCTCGCGCTTAAAGCTCGAAAAGCGCGGCCTAATTGAAAAGCGTGACACGTTCATTCAGCGGAGCAGCGATGGCGCTCATATCAATTACGATTGTTCTAAGATTTGTGTGCATATACCCTATAGTTAATTTGTGGCTAAAGGGTGTGTTGGACTGTGGAGATAATTGGGCTTCGATTTGCAAAAAGTTCTGTTTGAAATGGGAATGTGTGGGCGTTGGAATGAAAATTGAAATAAGAACTGGAATTCGAATTGGAATTGGTATAGGACTTTTATAGCATGGAGCTTATGTTTGAATAGGGGATGCTATTGGAATTCAATTAGGAACTGGAATTTAGGTTCGAATTGGAAATATAGAACGAATGGGATTCGGACTGACGATTGATTTGAATGCTAATTGGAAGTAAAGTTAAACTGAAATACAACGGAGAGAAATGGGAGCAGTATAAATACAGTTTTAAAATGTTACTAATTGGAATTGAATTTCAGCCTTAATATCATATTACATATAAATTAGAATTGGAAATAATGTACATACGATTAATATTCCGATTAGCATTAGCAATCACGTTCGGATAAATATTGCAGTTCAAACTGGAATTTGAGTTGGAATTTGTAACTCAATACGAGAAGGTGATGCAAATCAGGGAATTCCAATCCAATGTAGTTTGATAGTCTTAAAGACATCAATGATTGATTTGATTAAGTTTTATGCTCAAACACGTGCGAGCTGAATTGATCATAAAAGATCAGCTTAGCATAACAGTTTTACAGGATAGCTTAAAGGTCGTTAAATATATGTTTTTTAATTTAATTGCATTTGTCTTTGTTGTTGTTGTTGTTGTTTTGGGGATTTGCATAAATTTCATCAGGCATGGCACTTAATAATATTGACTTATTATTATGCGCAAATTTATATTTTGTTGTCGCCACGTTTCACACTCGAACGAGTTTTTGACCATATTTGGGCAAGCGTTTAAATGCCGGCCGGCTGCTTAACTGATTGGATTGAAGAAAGGGAGCTGGGTCAAGCAGATCATTCAGCTCGCTTAACTCTAAGCCGAACCAGGACAATGACTCGAATGTAAGTGTGTGTGTGTGTGTGTGTGTGTGAGTCAAATGAATCAGCAGAGCTGCGCAGATGCGAAGCGGGTCTCGTCATGGTCGTCACTTCTAAAACGTTTGCCAAAAATGAGCAACGCAAAGTTTTTGAGCTGCCATTTTTGGTTGTCTCCGGCAAGGTTGTGTGTTGTCTCTTGGTTGATTGTCAAGACGTGATTTTCTTGCCATATGCCGAAATGAAGTTACAAGCTGTTGCCCACCTACCACCCCTCTTCCTCACTGTCTCTCTCCCCATCTCCCTGAGTCATTTGGACTCTTTTTTAAGCAATTTCATCAAAATTTGCTGAATTTTTTTTTTTATTTTGGCACCCAAATATCTTACAATTCACAACTTTCAATTTCTCTTTTGATTAGTTTTGTGTGTGGGCAGCATTTGAATTTGAATTTGAATTCGAATTCGAATTCGAATTTGGGCTTTTGGCTATTCAGCTTTTGCATTTAATGTTTGTTTAATAACTGAAAATCATTCAAGAGTCGCATACTTAGTGCCCACGCAGTCCAGTTATGTACATAGACATATCGGCTATATATTTATGTATATGTATGTATATCTGTATATAGTTATGTGGGCTTTGCCGCCAGCTAGATACTGATACAGTTTCGGATACAGATACAGATATAGATACATAACCTTAGATACAGATATATGCGTTTGCTTTTTATGGACTATCCAACTTTTAAGACTGTGAATGTGTGTGTGTGTGTGTGTGTGTGTGTGTTGGTTGCGCTGTGGCCGTGTGTGTGTTTCTTTGGGCAACATTAACTAGGCCACTGAGCATCCAGCGAGCTGTTGTCGTTGTTGTTGTTGTTGCCTAATTTGTAGCATGCTTCAAGTTTTAAAAACTTTAATATTTAGAATAGGAATTTATAAAGCTGGCTTTAAAATTGTAATATATTAATGCATACAGAAGTCGTCACATATCTAAATTATGTCGCAGATATGTAAATGATGGATTAATTAAATAAATTCAGTCATTTGTTATATTTCATATGAATTTGGTTTTGATGTCTGTTATTATTATGTTATTAGCATGTTATCAAGTTATCGCCTTTCTTTGAGATTTTCATATAGGAATGACAGACTTGAACGTTTTTCTATCCACGTAATTTACAAATGTGACTTAGCTCTTATATTGAGATGAGGTTTTTTAAATTCTGGATATACTTGGGGAGGTATAACTGTGCTATTAAAATTTCAACTATTCAAGATTCGAATCTAGCATTTTTACTAAACCAAACTAATACTTATACATTATTCTTTTTATTCTTCTTCAGACATATTCCGGTCTTTTCTGCGTTGTGGTCAATCCCTACAAGAAATTGCCAATCTATACCGAAAAGATAATGGAGCGGTATAAGGGCATAAAGCGACACGAAGTGCCTCCGCATGTATTTGCAATAACGGACAGTGCCTATAGAAATATGTTGGGTGGTAAGTGACTAAGATAAGAGGCTTTATATCTGACGCTATGTATTCATTTATATACATATATATTATAACTGCATAATCTGCTGCGCTTCATAAACATTTGCCCAGTTTTTTTTTTTTTTTTTTTTTTTTTGCGATTTTTTTATATCGCAATTTTTGTGCTTTATCGAAATAAAAATTCCCGACTACAGCAAATAAACAAAATAAATTAAAAATGCAAAGAAGAAGAAAGCAAACAAACGAACGTACCCAGAAAATACCTTGATAAGATATCAGCAAAGCCGACCAAGAGTTGAAACTTTCTGCGAACTGCGTGACTGCAGAAATCCATGAGAGATTCTCTTAAGTTGGTCGACTTTAGGCCTTGACGTCAGCACCGTCCCGCCCCTACAATAGCAGCGGTAAAACATAGTGATTCATTCTATACAATAGATGGCCAAGCCAAGTTTTAAATAGTATCTAGGTATATATACATATGTATATATGCTATATATGCTCAAGCATATATAAAAAGAGTGTTTTGCATATTCCTAATCTGAAACTGAAAACTGGTTTCCTTTTCGACTGAGTTTTTGTTTGTTTTGGCTACGGTATTTTGCATACCCTAAAGTGATAGATGGGTGAAAAGGAGGGTATATTGTTTGAGCAGGAATTGAAGTGATATATATCGAAATATATTAGAGATATATGTATATGTTAAGATAAAAGAGAAATTTATGAATAGTATATTTGAGCAGTATTTATATATTATATGTATCATCTAACTAAATATTGCTTTTATGCCCATAAATGGGAATTTTATGTTAGATTGTATATTGAAATGACAGAATATGTTTCTACTATAAAGCGCAGACGATGCCATATAAAGAAGTCTAGGCAGTCTATTAAAGTCTAAACAGAAAGTAGTCGGGGGTATTTGCTAGTCGAGCACACTCTCGCTTGCTGCTGTTTTTTCTTTTTATAGAGTAGTTGGGCTGCATTTCAAGCGTAACGTAGATTTGTTTGTGTTGTTAGTGCGAATGACTCATCTGCTGTGGAGCTTGCAAAACATATGCACAACTTCTCTGGCTAGCTGAACTGCTGCTGCCCCACACGAAACTCCCCCACCCCACCAGCCCCCTTGGTCACCATTCGATATTGCGTTTATACGTGTCATTACCGTATTTGGGCCTAGAACTCGAAACGCTGTGTCTGGCAATTTTGTATCGTTAAAATATATATGAAATGAACAAGAAGAAGAAGAAGAAGAAGGAGAGGGTGAAAAATAAAATAAAAAATGTTTTAAACACTTTGTCACCATATTTGCCGCTTAATCAATTTCTGTTTATGCACAATTTTCTTAATGCGTACGGTGGGGGGAGGTTGGGGGTGGGGTTTGGTTTGAGCATTAAAATGTGAACACGACTTGGACTTTGACTTGAACCGAAAAAAAAAAACAAAAGCAAAAACAAAACTTGTACAGCAGCGGGTGCGGCTTTCAGCCTGCTTTGATTTATTTGTGGCTGCTCCACAATCTACCTACCTATATCTATATACAAAGCTCTTGTCTCTTGGCTTATGCCCATGCCCGTGCCCAGCCCAGCTGAGCCCATCCCAAGCCATCTCTGCTCCGTATCTCATTCTCTCGCTACATTGGCCCCAAGCACGCACCACTTGACCGTCGTCCGCTCGTCCGCTCGTCCACTCGGTCTGGCCGTTGGTCACCTTTGCGGTTTCTGCTGCCAACTGCAATTTTAATTTTAATTTTTCTTTTCATTTCTGTATTTTATTTTTTGGAATTCCATTTTGACTGCCAAGCGCTTCATAATGCTTCCAATGTCATAAGTTTTGCTGTTTATGACAGCCAACAGACACGCCCTCAAGGCGCTCATTGTTGTTGTTGTTGTTGTTGTGTTACAGAAACTGCAAAAATGCTTCTTGGGTCAGTTTTTAGTCATATGTCAGATGCCTTAAGGAGTGCCAGCTAAATTAACTGGAATACCACAAATTTTAAGTAGTTGGATTATGTAAGGCAACTATATTTGATGTAAATCTGTAGAAGAGAAATTGGATAATAAATGTACTATATATTATATAATATATATGTGCTAATAGTATCTAAATATTTCTAAACCTAACTATTGTTAGAGATTGGGGATATTAGAAATATAAATGATAAATAATTCTACTATATATATGTTAATAGTAGCATAAATGTTATTAGGGATATCTATAAAAATTTGTTCACTAGCTCCAAGAAATGCGCTTTCTATAACGCTAGATTTTTTAAAAACTTTCCTTATTATTACAGATTATTTGATATAAAAAAGAAAATACTACAAAATAATATTCTCAAAATGGTTTATTTAAATAGATTTTTCTCAATAATATATCATAGATTGGAGTCAATAAAAAGGCATTATTTCATAGATTGCTTTATTAATGAAACCATTTCTTGATATGATGGCTTTAAATAGCTCATGTTCAATAGATCTCTCTCAAAATGTGCTCCATAATAATCTCTTTCCTTCATCTATAGATAATAAACACATTTTCTTCTGCTCTGTGTCGCGATCAAGCCAAATATAGTTTTTTAATTAATACAAAATGGCATATTTACACGCATCAGCCATCAGACTTCAAAGTAATACTGGCTGATCTATAATAATAATTTTGATTTTCGATGAGATCGCAATGCTTCAATGACTTTTTGCTCCAAATTCCAAAGAACAACAACAAGAACTGGGCTCTAATTGAGCTACGAGAAATAAAGAAGAAGAATAAGAAGAAGAAGCAGTTAAAGTAATGCCCATAATACAAGAATAATAAATAATAACAATAATGAAAAAGACAATTTAAGAACTAATAAAACACAAAAAAAAAAAAACTTGCTCAAATGTGGCGCCAATATTTAAGCTACAATCGAGATGTTTGTTGGCTTTTTTATGGCTCTATTCAGCTTTTGTTGTTGCTTTTATCGTTAACGCTTGAAAAAGATCATTTGCTGCGCGGGGGGTTCAGCAGTGAGGGGGGAGGGGGGGGTGGCGACTTATGCAATGTGACGGCGGCGCCTTGACGATGTCTAAATGAAACTCAAGCTGAGATCTACAGAGTGTCCATCTATGGCTATAAAGCTGGCAGGCCGTAATAAGTACGGGGTCGTTATGTGTCAATTTGTTATCTATTTTTTCTTATTTTTGTATTTTTATTTATTTTGTATTTTATTTTTTGCTTATTTTTTTATTTGTAAACCGAAATCTGTGCCAATGGATATGTTGCGTCGTGTTTTTGTGGTTACAACTTATAGCTAGGTAGAGCTCAGTATGCAGTGTGTGTGTGTGTGTGTGTGTGTATCGATTATGTGTATCGAGTATCGAATATCTGGGCTAACTGCAATCTGTGCTTGCCTGACTTAGTTAAGCGTCTAACAGCAGCTGTCAGAGCTAGATCAGCCAACTGCATTTAGCTAGCCAAACAGATCAGCAAGTGGCGCCCAATTTCTATATATATACTGACTATATACACATGTATATACATGTATGTATCTATGTATCGATGTAGGTTTGTTTGTATTTATGAGATGCGCGCAAATTTTAAATGATTTTCAATTGAATGTGTGTGTGCGAACCCTCATTTTATTTTATTTTATTTTTTGTGTGTTTTACTTGTCTATTATGTCGTACATACCCTGTATTTACTGAATTATTAGAAAAAAGGAATTTTGTTTATTAATTAACAAATAAGGTTAACTATAATAAACTTTAATAGATGATTTATTTACCAATGATAAATATTAATTCATTATAATTGGCTATCTACATAATTTATTTGCTTAAAATATTTTTTCTACATAAGAAAAATATTTAATGAATTTTCTCAAATATAAAATTCAATATACAATATATATTTTTTATTTATTTATTTCTTTTTTTTTTTTTAAGTTTTACTTTTTTTTTTTTTTTTTTGTTTAACTTTACTTTTATAACAAAATGATTTCTTAATTTATTTAAAAAGTTACTACAAAATAATCTTTCTATAGCTACCCACACCTTTTTGTATGTCCAACTTGTATGCCATTCGTCTTATTTACAGGGTATACATTCATTCCTATTTGTCTTTATTTGTTGTTGTTGTTGGCGCACTTGAATTTGGGTCAACTTAAATTTCAAGCTGAGCTTTGCTTAAACAATAAAAAGACAGAAAAATGGGGGAAAAAACATTACAATAAAGAGAAACTGAGAAAAAGGCAAAAACAACAGAAATAAAAACATTGTCAGCTATTTTTTGTTGTTGTTGTTGGCGAAGTTTTATCTGTTTGTCGTTGTGCTTAACCCATTTCGGCATTTCTACTTAATTATTGAAATCATTCATGATTATTGTGATTTTATTAATAATATTTGTTAGATTATCTACTATTTTAATGCTTAAAATTATTGTTTAGGCATTATTTGTTATATCATATTCATTAGCAGTTTCTAATATATTCTGATCCCATTCTATCCCTATTATCCTAACCTATACTTATTATACTGTTCTATCCTACCATTGCTCTATTATAATTATTATCATTACATAAATATTTCTCCATTTCGGAATTATTTCTATAAATTTCCATATGTTCTTCCTCTTTCTAGATCGTGAAGACCAATCGATTTTGTGTACTGGCGAATCGGGTGCTGGCAAAACGGAGAATACCAAGAAGGTCATACAATTTCTGGCCTATGTGGCTGCCTCTAAGCCCAAGGGCTCTGGTGCGGTAAGTGTCTCCCACCTAAATACACTGAGAGAAACAGAAACTATCTATTTTTCGATACACAAATGCAAAGCCGTGCGTGGGCTCAAATTGCCTTAACAAAGTTGAAAGATGAAAAGACTTCTGACACATACTTAGTTTAATTATTCATTATTGTCATTGTCATTGTCATGATTATCATTATGGTCATAATTAACCAGTTGATAAATGGTAAAAATCATATGGATATTAAAAAGACCAATTCACGTTGTGAATGTGTCGGCAAATTGGCTTTTATACGCCCTCAAACTGGCTCTGAGTTGTGGGTGTCATGAGATACCCTGTACAAGTGAAGGAGTTGCTAGACACTGACAAGTTTACATATTTAATATGGAATAAAAATTCAGTACAAATTGTAAGAATTTTAAAGTAAAAATTAAGCTTTAGTTAGTTTGAAATGTAAAGAAAATAGAATCTTAAAAGTGTATAAATTAAATATGTGGAATAACTCATTATATATAGTTTTTATGCCTAAGCTTTTCACAGGGCATTTACCTAGTCGAGCAAGTTTTTTCCATGCATCAAGCACTTTTTACTTTGTTGATTCAGCTAAAACGTTTTCCCAGCTGTTTGTGTGTCTCTAGTTACGAATTATGATCCGCAAATGCACACACACATGCACACAGAATGCACACTCACACACACATGTACAACAAAATGTTGCACTTAGCATTGATGTAATGACATTAAATCACGTAGCCCCCATGAGGCCAGGCATTATCCATATATGCAGCATTTGAGTGTGGCGCATATGGCACAGACCCCAAACACTAGAAGCCGCACAACAAAGCCTCTATCTCTTACTCTCTCTCTGTCTCTCTCTTTCTACACACACTTCATTAATCAGTCAGATAATACACATATGTATATATCCCTCTCTGTATGTGTGTGTGTGTGCGTGGCTGTAGTTACCCTAAGTTATTTGATGGCTGCTGACAAATGACTTTATTTGTTGTGCCCTACACCGAAACGCGGGGCACTATCATCATCTGACATAGATATGATGTGATGTGTGTGTGTGTGTGTGTGCTCAACACCAAAGTTTAGATAATGGGAAAAAAAAACAATATTTCATTTTTAACTGGAAAGCTAAATAAGGAAGGCTTTAGATTTTCTGCGTTGATATATTTATTTGAAAATTTGATTTATTTTTTTGCCATATATGAATGGTTTTTGTGAATCAGAAGTCAATGCACAAATGTGGAGATATAACAACAATTGTATAGGATTCATTAATTATAATAATAAATAAATACTTACTTCAATATAAATAAATAATTTTTTAAATTTTGGTTTATAGTCTAGTCTTATATATTAGTTAATTAGCTTCTCAATTAGATACATACATATACATATTTGATCTAATCAACTCAAGTAGAGCATACGCAATTCGTCATAGTCCAGTTCAACTGGCGCACGTTTTTCATTTTATTTACAACCATAAAACAAACACCCAAAATGAAATTTAATTGCGCTTGTCAATGGACAGCAATAAAAGAAAATAATAATAAAAAAAAAGGAGCGCTGGAGTGGGTGAGAAGGGGAAATAGGCAATTGCCACGCCCTGCCTTGCGGTGACAATTGAAAATTGAAGAGAATTGAAAATGAAATCACTTGAAATTGCGTCAGGGCCAACGAGTTGAAGTTTTTCCATTTCATATCAATTTTGTTTGTTGTTAGTTAATTTTTGTAAGTTTTTCAAAGTTTTTTTTTTTTAGATGTTCATATCTAGACGTAAAAATGTGTGTCACATTGTTGTTGTTGTTTCATAATTTGCAGCTGTTGCTGCCATAATTGGCTTTAGCTTCGCTGCTAACGAAAATCCTTTTAGACGCTGCTGCTCTTGAGAGATGTTGTGGGGCTCTCTGTTTTACAGCCTTATATGAGGGGTGATTCTAGAACGTGTTGTTGCTTTTCAGGTGATAAGCTGCAAATAAAACATAAAAAGTCAACACCAAAATTGAAATTGAAGTGCAAACAGTTGTTGTTATAGTTGTTGCTGTTGCTGTTGTTGTTGTTGTTGTTATTTCAGCTGTTTGCCAGTTTGCTATTAATTATGATTATATTTGCCATAAATAGACGATGATATCGTGCATGTTCAACAACTGAATCATTCACTATTCGAGCGAACAAAAGAAGGAAAAACAAACTCAAATTCAAGGGAAGGTGCTACAGGTGTTACACACACACACACACACAAACATACTTTGATTAGAAATTAGTTCATCATGGTAGTAAGTCTTAACAGCTATGTGTCTGATAAGAGTGGAGCGGAAAAAACTATCAGAGGGAAAGAGAGAGAGAGAGAGATAGGAAGAGTGGACATGCCTTAGCTTATAAGTCAGCTTAATTGTGTTTATAGGACTTGTTATATAAAATCCCTATCCCTAATTTTGACGAAGAAAACCTACAAACACATATGCAGAAGGACAGTAAGAGAGAAAGAGGGAAGTAAAGAAGGTTCGTTTAGAGGGAGATAAAGAATATATAATATACATATATTATTATATGAAATTCGTTAAACTCTGAGTAGATCAGGAGGATAAGGGAGTTTCAATATAGAAATTTTAAATATAAATATACAAATAAAATTCTGCAGGCAAATAAAAAACTTTGCACAGCTTTGCATTTGTTTATTTTCAGAATTTTTTCCTAACTATTTACTCTTGTTCTTACTATTTATAAAAATATAGTTTTATATACAAATTTGTTAAGAGTTATACAAATTATGAGTTTAATTGTAAGCTTAACTAAGTTTAAACTTAGCTAAAGGCGTTCTTTATTTTCGACTTAATTTCAACTGCTCTATACTTATTAATTATATTTTATTTATTTATTTCATGTGCAAACGTTACACCTTCTACCACACACACACACACACACACACACACACACAACATATACAACTGTATACACACACACGTACACGTACACCCACTACTACTACTACTATTGTTTGCCGCTGTTGTTGTTGTACAATTGACTGGTTGTTGCTTTTTTATTTACTATTTAATGCGATTTGTACATTTTGTATAAAACATAATTATTATATTTAATTTAATTTGTACATAAAAAAAAAAAAAAAAAACAAAAACGAAACCAAACCACACGCAACTCAAATCGAAATAAAAACAACCAACCAAAAATCCACAACCAACAACCACAAATCAACCCAAACTCCAAAATATGAACAGGTGCCGAATCCTGCCGTCCTCATTGTAAGTATGCAAAACTCTAGAAATAGTACACTCTATATACATATATAAATATTTATTATTATTTTTTTTTTTTTAAATTAATTTCTAAACAAATTTAACATAATTTTCGTTGTCTTTCTTTCTGTATTTTTCTTACCAACAAATTCTGTTAAGAAGCGTTTGAATTTGTGTTTCTAAAAATGTCTTTTTATTTATATTTTTGCAGAAATATTTTGAAAAGATTTAGGAAAAGAGTATAAGAAAAAATTAAAAAAAAAATATATATATAAAAAAAAAAATTAATAAATAAATAAAAAATTGAAATTAATCTTAAAAGCCCCAAAAGTTAACAAAAAATTGTCTGTATCTGAAAAGAAGCAAGTCATATAGGCATAAAATATCACAATCGATAAACAATATACAGAATTTGTTTTTTCTTAAATTAAATATTCTTCAATCAATATATGAGAAATTTTAAAAGTCCTTTTCTTTTTAATATGAAAGCCAAGATATTTTTCTTTTCAATAGTTCTGCAAGAATATGACATTTACGGCTTGCCGTACTTCACTTATTTTCCCAATGCCTCAACTCATTTTCATTCAATGACGAATAGTCTGTTTTGATTATCATTAACTTTTGTTTTTCTGTACAATCGCTTCATGCTCATTCATTGACAAACTCAAATTTCGAGTGAGAGATTATTAAAACAAGTTCCAATAATTGATTTCTAATCGCAACTGTGCCATGTGCTTAACTCCTATTCCCACTTCATGCTATCCATGTATATCATCATCGTATATATCTCACGCTACGCATATTTTAGAGTAGTCATCAAGAAACATTTGCGGTAAAGTATGCTCCAAGTAACCAAGCAAAACTTTTCAATCTATCAACATACTATATAAATATATACATAAATATATATACATATATATCTTATATATTTTATATGTAGAAATCTATTTCGTTTTGCCTTGGCTGTATTTATTATTTTTGTACTATTGAATGCTGTGCTAGCTCCTCTAGTATAACAGATCTACGTAAATCCCATTTAGCAACTTAATACCTTTGCCTTTAACCACATACCCATTATTGCAGAACTTTTCGGTGAACACGAATAAATACATTAAGGTCAAATGTAATGTCAATAATATATTTGGTAATAAGGTGCACAGTAGGAAGATCATCGAAGCAAACAACAACGGTGTCGGTTCGAAGACGATCATGCAGCTAAGTAGCTGCCATGTGGTGGATCGGTTAGCTGCTGCGACGCATTGTGACTGTCTCGTAGTTGATATGCCCATGCCCGAGGTGGAGGTAAAAGCAATCCGCGAGCGGATTGTGTAGTAAGCCGAATGGCTTTAGAGTCGAGTGCAGTGCGATCGAACGAAAGGGAAAGCAGAGAGAAAAGCTTCTCAGCTACGCGCATTACCTAAGAGATCACGAATTCTTTGTTACGCTCTACAGGAGCTCAAGCAATGTTATCTAAAGAGAAGATAAGCTATACAAATTTACTCAAAGAGTATTTACGATCACAGCATTAGGATCAGCTTTCATAAATCATATTTATATGAAAAGTTAAGCTAAGGGCAGCGGTCTTAAAATATTTTCATTTAAGAGTTCTTTTAAAAGCTGAAATCAAGAGTTGATTGACAATATTTAAAATGCAGAAGAGACTCAGTGATCGTTTGAAGATCGATTCTTGTGATATCTTATAATTTATTCACAATCTTACAGTCTATAATAGCTTTTCAATCTATAGTTTTTCCAACTGATTCTAGCTCTGATCCTAAACATCATTCTATGATATGCACTTTCTTTGACTGCTCTTACCCTCAATGATCAGGATCTTCAAGGCGATCGCACTGCATTAGCCTAGGAAATTGTGACCTGTCCATTCACGTGTAGGAACTATGTTTGTTTCTTCTGGCTTTTGTGCATGTTCTTCTGCTCGTTGTTGACTAATCTGAATAATCATGTAAATTTGTTGTATGCGTTCGTCTATGTATTTAGTTACGTAATTCTGTATGTGCCGTATGTTGTATGCATTTAATGTTTAACCCAATGAAAGCTTTATGTGAAACCCTTGTGTAATATATATTAATGTACGACTATTTTCGCAGGGCGAGCTGGAACAACAGCTGCTGCAGGCGAATCCCATACTGGAAGCCTTTGGCAATGCCAAGACGGTCAAGAACGACAACTCATCGCGTTTCGTAAGTAAAAATTAGCAAATGAAATATGAAAACAATTTGATTAATATAAATCTCTTTGTGCAGGGTAAATTCATACGCATTAACTTTGATGCATCGGGTTTCATTTCGGGCGCCAATATCGAGACCTATCTGTTGGAGAAGTCGCGTGCCATTCGTCAAGCGAAGGACGAACGTACATTCCATATATTCTATCAGCTGCTGGCGGGCGCAACGCCGGAGCAGCGCGAGAAATTCATACTCGATGACATTAAGTCGTATCCATTCCTCTCAAACGGCACGTTGCCCGTGCCTGGGGTCGATGACTTTGCTGAATTCCAAGCGACAGTCAAATCGATGAACATCATGGGCATGACCTCGGAGGATTTCAATTCGATATTCCGGATCGTTAGCGCCGTGCTGCTCTTTGGCAGCATGAAGTTCCGGCAGGAGCGCAACAACGATCAGGCAACGCTGCCCGATAATACGGTCGCCCAGAAGATTGCCCATTTGCTTGGCTTGAGCGTTACGGATATGACGCGCGCCTTTCTCACGCCCCGCATCAAAGTGGGTCGCGATTTTGTGACCAAGGCACAGACCAAGGAGCAGGTCGAATTCGCCGTGGAGGCCATCGCCAAGGCGTGCTATGAGCGCATGTTCAAGTGGCTGGTGAATCGCATCAATCGATCGCTGGATCGCACCAAGCGACAGGGCGCCTCGTTCATTGGCATTCTCGATATGGCTGGCTTCGAGATCTTCGAGCTGAACTCGTTCGAGCAGCTGTGCATCAACTATACCAATGAGAAGCTGCAGCAGCTATTCAACCACACCATGTTCATCTTGGAGCAGGAGGAATATCAGCGCGAGGGCATCGAATGGAAATTCATTGATTTCGGACTCGATCTGCAGCCCACCATCGATCTGATCGATAAGCCTGGTGGCATCATGGCTCTGCTGGATGAGGAGTGCTGGTTCCCCAAGGCCACCGACAAGACGTTTGTCGACAAGCTCGTCTCCGCCCACTCCATGCATCCGAAATTCATGAAGACCGATTTCCGTGGCGTTGCCGACTTTGCCATCGTCCATTATGCCGGACGGGTGGATTACTCGGCCACGAAATGGTTGATGAAGAACATGGATCCGTTGAACGAGAACATTGTGTCGCTGTTGCAGGCATCGCAGGATCCGTTTGTCGTGAACATCTGGAAGGATGCGGAAATAGTCGGCATGGCACAGCAAGCGCTAACTGATACCCAATTTGGGGCGCGCACGCGCAAGGGCATGTTCCGCACCGTGTCGCATTTGTATAAGGAGCAGCTGGCCAAACTGATGGACACGCTGCGCAACACGAACCCAAACTTTGTGCGCTGTATCATACCGAATCACGAGAAGCGGGCTGGCAAGATCGACGCGCCCCTGGTGCTGGACCAATTGCGCTGCAATGGTGTCCTCGAGGGTATACGCATCTGTCGCCAGGGCTTCCCCAATCGCATACCCTTCCAGGAGTTCAGGCAGCGCTACGAACTGCTTACGCCCAATGTCATACCGAAGGGCTTTATGGACGGCAAGAAGGCCTGCGAGAAGATGATCCAGGCCTTGGAGCTCGACTCCAATCTGTATCGTGTTGGCCAATCGAAGATCTTCTTCCGCGCCGGTGTGCTGGCACATCTGGAGGAGGAGCGCGACTTCAAGATCTCCGATCTAATTGTCAATTTCCAGGCATTCTGTCGCGGCTTCCTCGCCCGCCGCAACTACCAGAAGCGTCTCCAGCAGCTGAACGCCATACGCATCATCCAGCGCAATTGCGCTGCCTATCTCAAGCTGCGCAACTGGCAGTGGTGGCGTCTGTATACCAAGGTCAAGCCCTTGCTGGAGGTGACCAAGCAGGAGGAGAAGCTCGTGCAGAAGGAGGATGAGCTGAAGCAGGTGCGCGAGAAGCTCGAATCGCTGGCCAAGAATACGCAGGAGTATGAGCGTAAATACCAGCAGGCGCTGGGTGAGAAGACCACGCTTGCCGAGCAGCTGCAGGCCGAGATTGAGCTGTGCGCCGAGGCGGAGGAGTCGCGTTCACGCCTAATGGCGCGTAAACAGGAGCTGGAGGATATGATGCAGGAGCTGGAGACGCGCATTGAGGAGGAAGAGGAGCGCGTACTGTCGCTGGCCGGCGATAAGAAGAAACTGGAATTGCATATTCAGGATCTGGAGGAGCAGCTCGAAGAGGAGGAGGCTGCACGCCAGAAACTCCAACTCGAAAAGGTGCAGCTGGATGCCAAGATCAAAAAGCATGAAGAGGAGCTGGCGCTCACCGAAGATCAGAACCAGAAGCTGCTGAAGGAGAAGAAAGTGCTGGAGGAACGTGCCAACGATCTGTCCCAGACGCTGGCTGAGGAGGAGGAGAAGGCCAAGCATTTGGCCAAACTGAAAGCCAAGCACGAGGCGACCATTGCCGAGTTGGAGGAACGCATGCACAAGGATCAACAGCAGCGCCAGGAATCGGACCGCACCAAGCGCAAAATCGAAACCGAGGTGGCCGATCTGAAGGAGCAGCTGAACGAGCGCCGCATCCAGGTCGAGGAGATGCAAGCACAGCTGGCCAAGCGCGAGGAGGAACTTACCCAAACGCTGATGCGAATCGACGAGGAGTCCGCCTCAAAGGCCGCCGCCCAGAAGGCGCAGCGTGAACTCGAATCCCAGCTGGCCGAGATCCAGGAGGACCTCGAAGCCGAAAAGTCGGCGCGCAGCAAGGCCGAAAAACTGCGTCGCGATCTCAGCGAGGAATTGGAGGCGCTTAAGAACGAGCTGCTCGACTCACTGGATACCACAGCCGGTAAGTCGAATATTAATGCTTTTCCTGTAATACTTTCTATATCAAATTCTCTTCTTGCTCTGCTACAGCCCAACAGGAGCTGCGCTCCAAGCGCGAGCAGGAGCTGGCCATGCTGAAGAAGTCTCTGGAGGAGGAGGGCGTGAATCATGAGAGCGTGCTCGCTGAAATGCGCCACAAGCATGCCCAGGAGCTGAACAGCATCAACGATCAGCTGGAGAATCTGCGCAAGGCCAAGGCCGGCTTGGAGAAGGCCAAGGGCACCCTCGAGGCGGAGAATGCGGATCTGGCCACGGAATTGCGAAGCGTGAACAGCTCGCGACAGGAGAATGATCGCCGACGCAAGCAGGCGGAGTCTCAGATCGCTGAGCTGCAGGTGAAGCTGGCGGAGATTGAGCGTGCGCGTTCCGAACTGCAGGAGAAGTGCACGAAGCTGCAGCAGGAGGCGGAGAACATTACCAACCAGCTGGAGGAGGCCGAACTGAAGGCCTCGGCGGCCGTCAAGTCAGCCAGCAATATGGAATCGCAGCTGACAGAGGCACAGCAGCTGCTGGAGGAGGAAACCCGCCAGAAGCTCGCCCTCAGCTCCAAACTGCGTCAAATCGAATCGGAAAAGGAGGCACTGCAGGAGCAGCTCGAGGAGGATGAGGAGGCGAAACGCAACTTCGAACGCAAATTGGCCGAGGTAACAGCCCAAATGCAGGAGATCAAGAAGAAGGCCGAGGAGGATGCCGATCTGGCCAAGGAGCTCGAGGAAGGCAAGAAGCGCCTCAACAAGGACATCGAGGCGCTGGAGCGACAGGTCAAGGAGCTGCTGGCACAGAACGACCGCCTGGACAAGAGCAAAAAGAAGATCCAGTCGGAGCTCGAGGATGCTACCATTGAGCTGGAGGCGCAACGCACGAAGGTAAGTAAAGACAGACATAATAAATAGGCCAGTTGCTCATCCTTATATCATTCATCAGGTGCTCGAATTGGAGAAGAAGCAGAAGAACTTCGACAAGATACTCGCCGAAGAGAAAGCCATATCAGAACAGATCGCCCAGGAGCGCGACACGGCGGAGCGTGAGGCCCGTGAGAAGGAGACCAAGGTGCTGTCAGTATCCCGCGAATTGGACGAGGCGTACGACAAGATCGAGGATCTGGAAACGAAACGCAAGCAGCTGCAGAACGAGCTCGACGATCTGGCCAACACACAGGGCACGGCCGACAAGAACGTTCACGAGCTGGAGAAGGCGAAACGTGCGCTCGAATCGCAGCTGGCCGAGCTGAAAGCACAAAACGAGGAGCTCGAGGATGATCTGCAGCTGACCGAGGATGCCAAACTGCGTCTGGAGGTCAACATGCAGGCGCTGCGCTCGCAATTCGAACGGGACCTGCTAGCCAAGGAGGAGGGCGCCGAGGAGAAGCGACGTGGCCTGGTCAAGCAGCTGCGCGATCTGGAGGCCGAGCTGGACGAGGAGCGCAAACAGCGAACGGCCGCGGTGGCGGCCAAGAAGAAGCTGGAGGGTGATCTCAAGGAGATTGAGACCACCATGGAGATGCATAACAAGGTGAAAGAGGATGCCCTCAAGCATGCCAAGAAATTACAAGCACAAGTCAAGGATGCGCTGCGCGATGCCGAGGAGGCCAAGGCCGCCAAGGAGGAGCTGCAGGCGCTGAGCAAAGAAGCCGAACGAAAGGTGAAGGCACTCGAGGCCGAAGTATTACAGCTGACCGAGGATTTGGCCAGCTCGGAGCGTGCCAGGCGAGCGGCTGAAACTGAGCGCGACGAACTGGCCGAGGAGATCGCCACCAATGCCAGCAAGGGCTCGCTCATGATTGATGAGAAGCGGCGGCTGGAGGCGCGCATTGCCACCCTGGAGGAGGAGCTCGAGGAGGAGCAATCGAATTCAGAGGTACTGCTCGATCGCAGTCGCAAGGCGCAGCTACAGATCGAACAGTTGACCACAGAACTGGCCAACGAGAAGTCCAACTCGCAGAAGAATGAGAACGGACGTGCGCTGCTCGAGCGCCAGAACAAGGAGCTGAAGGCCAAGCTGGCCGAGATCGAGACGGCGCAACGCACCAAGGTGAAGGCCACCATTGCCACGCTCGAGGCGAAGATTGCCAATCTGGAGGAGCAGCTGGAGAACGAGGGCAAGGAGCGACTGCTGCAACAGAAGGCCAACCGCAAAATGGACAAGAAGATCAAGGAGCTCACCATGAACATCGAGGACGAGCGAAGACACGTCGACCAGCATAAGGAGCAAATGGATAAAGTGAGTGGAATTTAGAATTAAATTTGGGATAATACTAATTCTCTTTATATATCAATCGCAGCTGAATAGCCGCATTAAACTGCTCAAGCGCAATCTGGACGAGACCGAGGAGGAGCTGCAGAAGGAGAAGACGCAAAAGCGCAAATATCAGCGCGAATGCGAGGACATGATCGAATCCCAGGAGGCCATGAACCGTGAGATTAACTCACTGAAAACGAAATTGCGGTAAGGGCAGGGCAGAGAATAGCGGGGAATGAACTGGATGAACTGAAGGCAGCAGCAGTGGCGGCAGCTGCTGTCGCTCTAATGAAAGTTTATACTCTTGCAGAAGAAGCAGAAAGTGTATAGCCTAAAAGTGGAGCACTTCAAATAGTATATGTAGTATAGTATATAGTCTTATGATTTCTGATAGGTATAGCCATTCCATGACCAGTCTGTTCAGCTGTTTGTTTACTATGTCAATATGGATTTTACTTATATAGAAGTCGGTCTGATTGTGTCTCTATATACATACAGAGGTGGTCAAAAGTAATTACACACCGAGCTTTTTTCTGCATGCTCAGCTTTAAAAGCTTGTTGTTGTTGTTGTTGTTCGCTGTTTTTGAAAAAAAGCTTTTGTGTCATAAAGCTTATTCTGTGTAGAAGCGATCGGCAAAAAGAAATTGCTAAAATAACGGTACAGGTTCGTAGATATAGCAAAAAGAACAGTTACCTAGAGGTTGTCAAAAGTATTTACACACATTTTTTTTGCGTCATAAGTATTTACACAATGTAAATTTGCCTTTAGTCTTTGATTTGCGTTGATCATGTGCGGTCTTTGACTAAGATCGGAATTCAATTTGTAGTTGAAATTGTAGATGTGCTGTAAAATGGTAAAAACAAAGGAACTATCAGTCGAAACAAGATCCGAGATCGTAACCAAGTTTAAGAGTGGTGTTGGGGCATCGGAGTTGGTAAAGATATTCAAAATATCTAGAAAAACGGTGTATAACTTGGTTAACAAAAGGGATACACTTGGAAATTTGAATAATTTACACCGAAGTGGGCGAAAGCCAGCATTGAACACCAGGGAATGCAGAAGACTTGTCAGCACATTCGTAGAAAACCCCGAGATAAGCCCAGTTAAAGTGTCTGCAGCATCACAACAGATAATTGGTAAACATGTCAGTGATGCTACTATTCGTAGAAGGTTAAAGGATGTTGACATAAACACCTATGTCGTCCGAAAAATCATTGATATCTCGGAAGCAAACAAAGCAAAACGTCTTGCTTTTGCTTTAGAGTACATTGAAAAGCCTTTGGAGTTTTGGTACAACATTTTGTGGACAGATGAGGTTGCATTTCAGTTTCAAGGCTCATTTCGAAAGACTTTTATGCATTTAAGTCGACAAAATAAAAAAACTGCAGTGCAGCCTCTTAGCAGGTTTGGAGGTGGCACAGTAATGTTTTGGGGTTGCATGTCGTACTATGGTTTTGGAGATTTTGTGCCAATAGAGGGCACTCTGACCCAATCACGATATTTGCACATATTAAATGACAATGCTTTTACTTCGGCGAACAAACTATTTCCAACAATCGAATGGGTATTGCAGCAAGACAATGCTCCATGCCACAAAGGCTCAATACCCACCAAGTTTTTGGCGGACTTAGATCAAGCAATCCTGCCCTGGCCTGCGCAAAGTCCGGACCTTAACATTATTGAAAATGTTTGGGCTTTAATAAAATCCAAACGGCTATTCAAAAAGGACCGGAAACGGGATGATACCATTCAGGAAGTTACCGGAATATGGTCGGAGCTCACAGTTGACTTCGCCCGATCATTGGTAACATCAATTCCAGCCAGGCTTCAGGCTGTAATTGACGAAAAAGGGGGAATGACAAAATACTAAATTAAATAAATAAACCCTTTATTATGTTCAACAAAAATTAAAAATAAATAACATTAATTAATGCCATTAAAAAATGTTTAAATTTTGTGTAAATACTTATGACGCAAAAAAAATGTGTGTAAATACTTTTGACAACCTCTAGGTAACTGTTCTTTTTGCTATATCTACGAACCTGTACCGTTATTTTAGCAATTTCTTTTTGCCGATCGCTTCTACACAGAATAAGCTTTATGACACAAAAGCTTTTTTTCAAAAACAGCGAACAACAACAACAACAACAAGCTTTTAAAGCTGAGCATGCAGAAAAAAGCTCGGTGTGTAATTACTTTTGACCACCTCTGTATATTGAATAACATCTCATTGTAATCATGTCATATAGATTTAATATATAGAATCTGTAATCTCTATCTGTCTGCAAGAGTACTTTGACATCGGCAAGCCGATTGTAACTCAGCTTCTTTTTGGAATTATTACTTTTTTTGGTTTTTTGTACTGTTTATTTATTTATATTTTTCTCTGGGCTTGACGACGTTGTTACTATATATGCATATATAGTTCGATACAGGTGGCCGAGACTGAAAAGGCCAAAGCATATTCGCCGAAAAAGGATGCTGCACTCATTATGAATTGTGAGGGTCTGCATTAGGTTTCCATTTCGCTTCGCTTCCTCTTGGTAGGCTGTAAGTGCTGGCGACATCTTCATCTACACCCAACCAACTACAGAGAATGAACCAATTCCAACCAGATCTATGTCAAGATTTTAGTGCATGTTAGACACACACACACACACACTTACACACATACACATTAAATCGTGCGTTTGAATAGCGTTCAATGTTCGATACGAATTCCCATCCCAGGACTAGAACTTAGTGCATTATATCGTACATAGCGTGTCTCCACTTCCCCACAACTCTCGTTATATTGTTTTAAATACATATATATATATATATATGTATGTTTGCGTTGACCCTTACAACCTCTTGTTTTATTTTGCACGATAAGCCTCTGTTTTTAATTATTTTTAAAAATAATTTGTTATAATATTTTGTATTTGTTTGTCCTTTTGTAGACGCACCGGCGGCATGGGCCTCAGCTCCAGCCGACTCACGGGCACACCATCGTCCAAGCGCGGAGGCGGCGGCGGGGGCGGCGGCGGCGACGACAGCTCATCGGTGCAGGATGAATCATTAGATGGCGAGGATTCAGGCAATTGACGCGTTAATTATTAATACATAAAAAAAATAATAAAAAAAAAACAACAAAAAAATCAACAAAAAGGAAATAAACGATTATATTTTAATGTTTCTTTTATATAATTTCTCTGTTATTTTTTATATAAACTATTATTCTTAATTAAAAACTTAAAGACAACAACAAACGCAAAACAAAATAATTATACAACATAAAAACAAACTACAACCAATACGCGTATTAACTTTCTTCCTTCCCCATTTAAACCCCCTTCAACATGCAATATACATATACAATACACATGCATTTAATAACTAAAGGTTTATAAAACAATCAAATGTTGAACAAGCAACTAATATACGAATTTCGTTTTGTTTAGAAACAATAAATATTTGCTATAACAATTATAAAAGGTTCAAATGTCTGTTTGAATTTGCGCGGGTCGAATGCGAATTGTGCTGGCAGTACTTTGCAGTGTGGCCAAGCATGGGCACAAATTCTCGAAAATCATGCATATCAACTAGCTCTTGTCAGGGAGCAAAGTCAAGAAGGTCGTATAGGGATTTTCAAAAGAGTTTGTGAGCAATAAAGAGCAAAGAACGGATTATTCTTATGATACTCATTTATTTTGCCTGCACCTTTTAAATTAAATAAAAATAAATAAATCGTGTTTATTTTTATTTGATGTAATTTGTTTCGAATCAATTCAAGTATCAACAGTTATCCAACAAAATTGCACTGTAAAAAATTGTTGCATACCGTTACGGGGCTGCCGGTAAAGCCGTTTTAGTGCAGTTTTCGTATGAAGGTTTTCTGAAGTACCAGGCGAACAGAAATCAGCAGCAGGGCTGAAAATGTTAATGAACATGGTGCTAACAGTGCACTGTCAGCCAACATAATTCTGGTAAATCGCTGTTAAGTACACTTTTAATCAACAGTAACTGTTATTTTACCGCCAAACTATGGGGCAGTTGAATTTTGAACTTGAATTCTCAGCGGCGAGGAAGGATACCTGTTATTTAATGATACATAATCAATTACATAGCTTTTATTGCTTTATATACTTACTATTTATTAAACATTTGTTTCATTTCTTTATACATATGATACATATATACAATTTGTTAACTACATATACTGCTCGTATCCTAAGTCGTGACAAATTCGAAAATCTCTTGATTAATAAGGCACTCCAGCGCAAGAAGGCTCTCTCTCTTACCCACGCACAAAACCCATTTGTGCTGCCCCGCCCACAAATCCCTCCCCTAACTAATTGCTAATGGCACTACGAATTGGCGCAATGCGCCAGACTGACGCCATGCGGCAGGACCTGGACAACAACAATGCCACCACCATTGCTAGCACTTGGACCAGCAAGGGCCTCCAGCTCCGCAGAGGATTTGCTCTTCTCCAGCTGCTGCTGCTCCTCACGCTTGCTGTTCAGATAGTAAACGCTGGCCACGATCAGGCTGAAACTGGTCACGGAGACCAACAGGGTGCCGTACTTGAGCGCCAGCTGGATGGCATCCAGGCCAAAGGTGCTCACATAGAGCGTGTGCAGGACATCTTCATTAAAGTCGCCAGCGGTTATTTCAATCCAGATCAGGGGCAAGATGGTGGCATTCTGCATGCGCCAGGCTTGATCTGAAAGACGGGGATGTAGATGAATGGACTCTATAAGCGAATGTCATTTAACTTACTGCGCAGCAGTGGCGTCTTGTCCAGCATGATGTTGATCTGGATGCGGGAGGCGCCGCTGATGGGGAAGCCAAAGCGCGGATGTATATCGGCATAGGTCTGATGCAGTTCGGCATCTGGATTGATGCCTTCAAAATCTTTGTACAGTATCGGATCGCCGGTGAAGAAATGCGGAAACGATGGGAAAATTGGCGAATCGTCGTAGCACCTGGTCGCATTGATAACGCCACTCGGCAGACAGAGATCAGTATTGCGGCAATAACATTCGTTGGCCGGATTCTCGGAAGGATGGGCAAAGACGTCCAAGGGCGTACGATAGCGCAGCACATCGATGTCATTGTAGATGGTCTCCTCCTTCTCGAAGCGCAGCGGCACCTTGCGGCACAGCACCTGCAGGAAGACATTCACCGTGCTGCGAGTCTGCAGCATGGTGGGTGAGAACATGGACGGTTCGCTGCCATCGATGCGGTTGCACTCGTCGCCCTGCCAGAAATCCAACTGGGGCTTCCCATTGAACTGGGTGATGATGCTAAACTTGGAGATGTCGTCCTCGCCCGTGTTCAGCTGCACCGAGTCCACGCTCGTTCCGTTGCGCTGCAAATGGAGATCAGAGATCAGGGATTAGCTGATGTGGCTTAAGTTGAATCCAAGTTTCTTTAGTTCTCACAGTTCTCAGCAGACCGAAATGCGTCTTGCCGCCGCCCAGGGATTCCAGACTGATGATCTTGTCCCGATAGCCCCACAGGTACTCGTGGGCAGTGAGTCGCTTGAACAGCGGCTCCTCAAAGAGCTTGATGGTGCCGGTCACAATGAGGCGCTTGATTGCGGCCATCCGCTTCACATGCACCGCCGCCGATAGCAGCGGCACATTGGGCACCAGGATCATATCATCTTCCCGCACTGTCGACTTTTCCGGCAGAAACTTATACGATTTTTTATCCTGCAAGCAGTTGGAAAAATTAATATATTTGTTTAAGAACTGGAAATTTGTGAGAGGCTTACCCGAAATGTAACCGTATGATTCTTATTGAAGGACACCTGATCCTTGATCGTATGCTCCTGATAGGTGAGCGGGCCCAGATCCTCGACGTGTATCTTGTCCGCTCGTCCAGCCAGATAGTCCTCAATATTCGTATAGTTGAAGATGTGCGCCTTCAGCAGCGTATCATACTTGGGATCCGGTGAGAGCCAACTGTTCGCCGTATCCGAGTGCTCAGCGAGTATTAAATTCTGCGAAAGTAACGAAAGTACAAATTAGCGAGTGATTGGATATACATATATACTGGGTATATTTGTAATGTGAACTGGTATAACTGAATCAAAAGGTAATGAATGAATGAACAAAGAACGAAATGCAATGAATGTAGAAGGAAGAGAGCATAGAGAGAAAATAAACAATTCGTATCGGCGATTACCTCGAGCATTGTATTATTGTAGTATTCGGTAAACCACATCACAAAGAACCCGGTCACGCTTATCACAAACAGCAGAAACATGGAGCCCAGCACTGTAAAAAGATCGCAATAAAATTGGGTTAATACGAGGGCAATGACGCACATGTATAAATACTTGTAGTATGGACTTACTTATCAGTGTGCCCATATCCTTGGACGTCAGATTGCGCAGGGCCAACGATTCCAGTATCATGTCCAGCACCGTCAGCTTCTCGGGCCCGGGACTGGAGTAGTTCGAGGTATTGCCATTGCGTAGGGAGTTCAAGGTGTTGGTTTTCGATTTGTTTGTTTGTACTGTGAGATCCTCTGAGGCAGGCAGCGTTGGCTGTGCCACATCATGGTGCAGCGTAGCATGCGACATGATGTCTGGAGTATTTGCTGTAAAATATATAATGATTATGAACTATGTATTACCCTTAGCATTGTTTATTGTTTGGTTTATTAGTTGGCTTAGCGCAAAGCCACGTCTCGCGTTATGCATGTTATGTATAACCCAAAGTGATCTATGGCGACACGTGTTATATGCCACATTGCCTTATCAGTCGCCATTCCATTAGGGCTTTAGTATTTCGCTCTGGTCATTGAACCAACGAACAAAAACTTGCAACTGCATGTTTCGAGTATAGAAATGGTTTGCCCATTCATAGCTTAACCTGAATCAGATACCTGTGCTCTATATAGATTGTATATATGTCTGTATTATATATATAGTATATGTATAATTTAATTCCGAAATGATCTAGCGCTTGAGTCGCAGCTCTTAACCAGCCGATCGTTGAACACCGTGTGTACTAACTAATCTCGGTTTTGGATTTTTCACAAGCTACGCGTGCTACTCTCAAATCAAAGTACAATAACAATTCTATATATATATATATATATATTATACTAATCGGTCTATATAGAATGGCACATCGCTTATCAGTGTTGCTTGGTAAATGCGAGAAGGCTACAAACACAATTCATACAGAGAATATTCAACGAGTGTATTAAAGCAAATCTATGTGTATGGGCATATCAGCATACATATATATGTATGTATGTATGTATGTATGTATGGGTACCTTATTATGCTCCAAATTGCGAACTAGTTGGGGTACGTCTTATATTAGGGGCTTAAGCATGGTAACTATGAATATATAGATATACTTATACCTATGTGTATATATGTATATAAATGTTTGTTTGTATATGGGATTAGCATGTAAGAGTGTTAAGATTCCATTAGGATCTTTTCCAATCATTTGTATTCGTATAATTCTCATATGAATAGTAATGATAATGATGGCAATGAGAATAATAATACTAATGGGATAATAATAATGTCAATAATAATAATGATAGTTCGAAGAAAACGATAACAATTGTACGAAATCTATCAGAAATACGAATTTCTAGTAGTTCTTATCTAAAAAAAACAAAAACAAAAACAAAAAACTATTTTAATTTCTATATATAATTGAATGAAATACATTGCAACCAATTCAAAATACATGAGTGAGAGATAAGCTAATGCCCTAATGTAAGTTAGGTAGGTACAGGAAAGTTCTTATAAACACAATTTTAAGTGCTTATGTGGTCGCAGTTGTGTTCGATAATAGCTTTAGAGATTCACTGATTAAGACTTATAAGAGTACCAGAGTATTTAAATATACCGATTTGGTTTAAATATAAATTGGGCAAACGAAACGATGAACTATAATATATGACAGAAATTTCTAATCTTTGATAGAACTTTCTGCTGATTTATTATATATATGTATATAATTAATCAGCAAAAGTTCTATTAAATATATAAGTTATATACATACATATATATGTCTGTCTATATATTCATATTATTGCTAGCTCTGCGGTAATGTCAGCTGGAAAAGGGGTCAACAACATTCTGATAAGAATTGCGCTGCTGTTTGTCATAATTGCCAATTTGAAATGAAAAATTTCCAATAATAAAAACTATGAAAGGTAGCGGTTATCAGAACAAATGAACTGAGCTGGATCAAAAGTTGATGGACTCTGCAACGATTTACATATTTGTTGTCAAGTTCACACACACACACACACACATATACACACACGCGCACACTTATGTATTTATAAATACAACTGCATGTGGCAAGTATTTGGAAGTAGCTCAAAACATGTTCTTTTTTTATATATTTAATTTCTGCTCACTCGGTCGCTGATAAGTATTCACACACAAGCACAAACAGACATAGATACATACATGCATACATACAATATACGTACATGTGCAGGCTGCTGGACGTTGTGCGGGCGTTTAAAAGCTTTGAAAGTTGCACTGGCGCTGTTGTTATTGTTATTATTATTGTTGTGTTGTTGCTTCTGCTAGTTAACTCACTGCTATGAAATTTAATTGACGCTGCGGCGTCGTTCACTCAGTGCCATTGACTGATAACACAATGGCACGGCCACGGAAGATGCGTCCACCTGTGCGGAGAGCAAATGCCGGCATAAAGACGAGCGACGCGCAAGAGCTCTAATACGCAGCTACCGTTGTTGGTGTGCACTTGAAAAATGTTGAGATGTAAGCGAAGAGAAGCACGTACGCGCAGCCCAGCTGATCGCAACAATTTGGAAACGAAACACGCGCACTCAAACTCACACAGGAATTGCACTCGCGCTTGTTCTCACTCAACGCTACTCTCTCGTCTGGCGTTGTTTCTCGCTTGCACTCACTGCAAACGGTGCTCCGTATTTATGCGCTCTTGCTTAGACATGCACTTTCCAAGACGCCTGCCAAACATTTGGCGTTTTAATTAATAATTTGTCGCTTTTTGCGCTGACTGCGCACAAAATACGAAGTCAAAAATTTTAAAAGCTTGTTACTGTTCGTTTTATGGCTGTTGCTATTGTGCTGAATGTTGTGTATTCCAGTTCGCCGCAGCGACACACTACGCCTAGGCAGCGCTAGCTCTCTTGTTGCTGTCGAAATCTGATTGAAATGTTACTGATTGTTGTTGTAATGTTGTTGTTGCTGTTCTTGTTTCTGGCGTTCCAGTCTTTACGGGCTGTGTTGTTGTCTTGTGTTTTGCGTTCTTTGTTACCCACTTGATTCTTTGTTTTGTCGCTATTTCGTTCTGACTACCGATCGCTTACTGTTGTTGTTGTTGTGCTCTTGTTATTGTTATTATTATTATTATTATTGCTGTTTTTGTTTTTTTTTTTTCTTTTCATATGGCAAGCTGGTTTTCCGTATGACTTGTTACAAATTCGCTGCAGTTTCTTTTGTTGTTGTCGTTGGAGATATTGCCTTTGTTTCAGATTTCTCTCATTGCACTCACTTTTCCATTAGCTACAGGTGGGCAGCAATTAATTGGCCACTCATCTGCCAACCTGGCAATGCGAATTATTGAGGCAACACAATTATAATGTCAGACCCTTTCCGTTGCACGTTTCACATTGGACGGATTAGCCCGGCCCGTTTCACGCACTATCAATATAAAAATTGCGTCGCAAGATTAGATTTGTTTTGTTATTGTTATTATTATTTGCGTTGCTGCTGCCTAAGCCTCTGCCACTGCTTCGGCTGCTGTTGCTATGTTTGTTATTTTGAGTTCGGGGTGTACCGTTACACACTGCGAGCACACAGCGAGTTGCGCCCTGCCCACGAAACAAGTTATAACTACGACGCGCGCAACGCATTCACTGGCCTGGCCTGGCCTGCTGCTGTCCTCTATTCGCTGCCTGCGCCGTTGCTGCTGCTGCTTTCGTTGCGTCGCTGCATTCGACTGTGAGCGAGTGTTGATAAGCGAGCGAAGACATTTACAGCGGGAGCAGCGCGCTGTTCGCAGCTGGCAGCTATGATTACTGATTGTTGACTGTCTGTCCTCTGTCTCTGCAGAAGATGTTCTTGTTTACGTATCGGGATCACTTTTTGACGTAGCAATCACACATTAGCATACACATGCATACGACGGACACAAAGTGCAAATTTAATCACCGCAAGACAAAGAATCGACACACCGAGCGAGTATCTTTGGTTGTATGTAGGCATGTACATGTGTATGTATGTATGTATGTTTGTTTATAGGTATGCGCACAGCATCCCCAACATTGCTGTTTAGACATGATACTACACTTCGCCGTTCGGCACTCGTCGTCTTTGGCGTTCGGTACTTGGCGCTCGGCTTGTTGTTCAATGATTGTTTCGTTATTATCTTTTAGCGTGTGCTCCATTTCCATAGCGGCGGTCGAAGTCGAAGATGTGCACTGAAACAAATTGCGTTGTGCGTGAAGCTTTGGAAAGCTTCAAGGCTTATTATTGCTGCAGCTGGAAAGAGTCATACGCTCTCCTCTCCTCGCTGCCATGCTCTCTCTCTCTCTCGCAAACAGCTGACGAACAGATTTGAAGGGAGTTGATCTTTGTACGAACGGCATTATGGTGTTGGTATGTATAATTGTTATCAATGTGTACTTTTAGCTATTTGTGTGTTGACTCACTCTTATATTTCGTCTTATATATATGCATATCATTATACTTGTTTCACTCTTATACGTCTTTCGTCTTATACGCTTGCATTAGGAGTTGCGCAATTGTGTTTTAAGGTTTAACAACTGGATGACTCTTATAATTGAGCTCGGTTTTATTTATAGCAATGACATTCACCTAATCTAATTAGCGCTATTAAAGTAAAAACAGATAAGTCTTATTAAAAGTGAAATTGCGTCTCAGTTGCTGCTTCACCCCCAACCCCCAGCCCGCCACCTACTAGCTAGATAAGTGCTTTGTAACAACAAAAGTCTCGGCGTTTTCTCTATCAATTAGCAGTTTCTCAGTGTCGAGAAATGGCAGAATTTCTCTTTGTATATCTTAAAAGGTGCAGTACACTTGACAAAAATAAAGCAAAACTTCTCGTTCACGCACTCTTTGTTTTTCAGCTTCCTTATGATATGATAGACACATACTTGTTTTCACAGATAAATGAATAATGAGAGGTATATGTATATTTTTAGATATTCCACACGCGTGTTCACATTACCCAAGGCAGAAGAGACACATATATATGTGTAGATTAATTCGCATGTACTTATTGTATAGCTGTAAATAACTGATAAACGTACGAGTCGAGTTATTGAACTCTACTCAAGTGTATTCTGCATTTATCAGTTTAGTCAAGACTTTACTTTACAATAATCTCGCAGCTATAATACCCGTATTTACATACATGTATTTATTTCACCCCGCCAAGCCCGAGTTTTACCTCCTGCGTAGTCAGCGATGCTTGCTAAGCGTGCTATTTGCTCTGTCAATCATCATACCCTATACAATGCGTTAACGAGGTATAAAAGCGCTTGCTCTTGTTGACTTCCGCCAGTAAGTGTTTTGGTAGCAGATATTAAATTAAGATTTGAAAACTTAGTTAATAGTTGATCAGTTGATTATTGGATCACAGCTCTCTCTTTTGCTTTGTTTTTTGCTTTTACACTTGAAGGCCTTGGGCAAACACCTGTTTAGCTTGACTGATAATATTGGACTTATCATATGAACCTCTTTCTTTCTTAATATATGTGATTAGCTTCATATTTGTTTGTTGATTTATATATCTGCCTTGCTTTTTTCATTTCCTTGTACGTCTCTGTTTCTTTCACTCTTACCCACTCTCTCACTATCCCTCTCTCTTTCTCTTTCACTCACTGCCTCTCTCTCTCTCCGCTGGTTCCTTGGCTCATTTCTCGTTGTGTCTTTTACTCTTTTACTCTTTGTCTTTCTTTGTTACTCACCTTCTGTTTATCTATCCTTCTCTCTCTCTCCATCTTTGTGTCATTCTCCTTTTTCCAATACAACCTTCAGCGTTGCTCTGCTTAAGAGTTGAGTTTAGGGTCCGTCGCTTTTACAGGGTATTTGAGTGTTAGCAATATCTGACGGGCTTGTTGACTTATTTGCCACCCATCGAATAACAAAATCATCCAAACAAATGATAGCCTTTTTGAACTTTGTCCACATCACTGGAATGATTAAGCTGACGACCGAGCACAGATGATACACATACATACATATATTTCAATATAGTAGAAATGTTTTCGTGCACTTAATAGCTTTTCAATAAGCAGCCTTCACAGATCTGTCGCTGCGAACATAACCTGTTAAAATGTATACTGATTATATATGCATAACTGGGGGAAGGAAGTGAGTTTGAGTTGGCAAATAAAATGCAATTATGAAGCCTTAGCTCAGACAGCTCAAGTGTCGTTCAGAGTTAGCTAATGCTGTCTGAGTCGTATTGGGGTTTTTTGAGTGTTATCAGAGTCGTGGGGTCCTACGTCAATAAGCAGACACATTGGCATTATTTGGCTTTATCGCCAGCCAATGCATTCATTTCCTATATGTCTCACTCTTATCAAGCCCAAGTCGAAGTCACTTTAATTTATTTTCAACTGTATATTGTATATATAGTCGTTACTATATAATATATGTATTATTTTAAATAGATAGCCCGGGTTCAAGTGCCAAAAATAGTTTCAAAAGTGTTCATAAAAAAATTTCCAACTATTTGTTGTTTGTTTTTTGTTTGTTTTTCGTTTTCCCCACCTATTCAAATTGAATTTGAAATTCAAAATTCTGGTTACAGGCATTGGCATAATTCATAATGGGTCTTTTTTGCAATATTTGTCTCCGTAAGTAAGAAGAAATGTGACAGTAATTGTATTTTAGGGGTTGGGGAACAGAAGGGGGGAGACCTCACGTAGGCCCAATTGATAGCATGCAAACTCATCTCATTACATCTAAACTGCTTAACTGCGATCTATTCGAAATGATTTGTTGTAATACCTATATCTCCTCTATATATTTATTCAGTATTTTATACTATCTATTTCTATGTGTTTCTCCAGATTCACTCTCCTTTACTTCCACCGTCTATATGTCTCTCACTCTTATCCTCACTCTATCTCTGTCTCTTTCTATATTGAAGGTTTGCTTATTTCTTAGCAACTAAAATATAAGTTTAAGGTTCGGCTCATGGTAAATGTATGTTAGATATGAATTCTGGCTCGAGCTTCTGTCAGCCTCGTTTATCCGTGCCATTTCAGGGCATTTTACGTTTGTCTATTCATACCTCATGTTTCATGTTTTGTGATTTAATATTTATGAGATCGTTAAAAAAAAAGAAACAACAAATATGTCAGTTTGTATGTCATTTTACATAAACAGAAAGGTCGCATGCAAGCCGGTTAGCCTTATTGGCATACAAAGTTGTAATTCGTTTAGAGTTTGTGTCTTGAATAGGCCTATTAACTGCAACGGCTTGCGTGTGCGTATGTGTGTGTGTGTGTGTGTGTGTGTGTGTGGGGGGTGTCATCGATGTAGTTCAAGGTCAGCCAAATTAACCTTGTCGGAACTGTAGCAATGCCTAACAAACGTCTCCCCCTAAGTTTTCAGCGAAGTAACTGTATAAACAATAAATTGCATTGGAAAAACACTTACAGACCCGATTCTGGCTAAGCACATGAGTTGAGGCGAATATTTCCCACTTGGGCAAACACTTCTAAGCCATGAGTGAAGTCTACTCACTTTACTATTTCCTATTCAATATCTATATTTCCAGTTCAACTGCAATGCAAATGCAACAAGTTTTTGTAAGTTTTTTTTTCCATCATTATTTTTGTTTTTCCAGCTGACTCTGCGTGTGTTATGCCCACAGCAAATTTACATTTGGTTTTTTCTTGTCATAGTTTTCTATGTTAAGTAAATGTGAAGATAAACAATTCTGGTGTAAATATATGAATGTGTGTTGCAACTGGCAAGAATAACAAGAATTGCAACAACAAACGACCACATCTTAATGCAACCTTGCGCAATGGCGAGGGTTGTGTCAAGTTGGACACCAAACACCAACAACTTCAACATCAACAGTAATAGCAACAACATTTTTGTTGTTATACATTCTTAAAATTGTTATGTTTCGCAAAGCGAGACGACAAATTGTTAGTCATTTACTCGTTTTTTGGGCATATAATGATTTGCGTGTATGTGGAAATCAAAGATATGTTTGTTGTCGTTGCACGTTTTGGCAGCGACAGCATAAAATGAAACGATACGAAACGAAAGACTTCAATGCAAGCAACAAACTTGTTTTTATCAGCCCGCACATAACACAAATAGCAAAAGCAGCACGCCAGCAGCGCAGCAGCAGCAGCGGCAGCGGCAGTAGCAGCAATAATCATGCATGACAACGCCATTCAATAGAGCTTTTTATCAATTGCATTTGCAAGGCGGCGTTTGCACTAAAAAGCTTTTACGCTGCACTCGCCGCTCTGAGCGCAAAGCCGAGTGAGCAGCGCAGCAGCTACTGAGCTGAGTGAGCGGCGAGCAGTGAGCAGTGAGCGCCGCGCACTGAAGCTTACTCTCGCTTTTGACGCCGACGATGTTGCGGCGTTGCGACGTCGCTGACCGTTTGCGTTTGTTACCTGTTTATCTGGTTTTTTGTCGCAATTCAAGCTAAGCTTGAGCTTTTGCGACTGTGCGGCCGCTGCCTAAACATCTTTCGTTGTGCGCGCATTTCAAGTCTTCAGTTATTCAGCGGCTTTGCTGGCGTTCAAGTCGTTTCTCTTTCGACGTTGCCGGGTGCGTTAAACAATAAAAAAATTCATTTTAAGCCAAGAATCTTGACTGCATACCAAATACACTGTTAAAGCCGACTCGTGCACGCTTTTAGACGGTGTGCATTAGTATATATGTGAGTGTGTGTGTGAGTGTCCGTACGTGTGTTTGTCTTTGTGTTAATTTTACTATTTTGAAATGCCTGCGGTTGCCTGGCAAGCCAATATTGCGGCTGCTATTGCTTTGGCTGTGGCAGTTGTTGCTGTTGCTATTGCCTTTGCTGTTGTTGTTGTTGTTTGCCCGTGTGTCTTTCACAAAATCGAAACAGGCAACAAGTGTACTTACACTTGCCCACTGTGCACGGTAGTCGCATTCCAGAGTGCTGCCGCAGTAAAAGTTGCAGACAGGCCACGATAATATGCCACATCGATACATATTTAATACAAAAACGAATACATACATATGTGTATAGATATACAAATATATACATATATTAATATATATATCGCTTAAGTTATCATGTCGCAAGACCTTGCCAGTAGGCCCAGCCAAATGAAACCGAATGAACATGCTTATTGGCTTTAAGAGCAGCGCAGGCAAAGCGGAAAATCATTAAGATACATGTGTAGCTATGTAACATACACAAACAGACAGACACATACACACACGCATGCACACTCTTGCATCTTGTGTGTGTGTGTGTGTACGTGCATAGTTTTTATGATTACTTATGTGGAAAAAGTGAAATTTCGCTGTTGACGCCACGAAGAAGCAGCCACTCAAAACGAAATAAAAGCTAAACATCAAAATCAAAGTGAAGCGCGCACAAATATATAAATAAATAAATGCAAGACGCTGACCACATAACCAACAACCATTTATCCAAATATCCGTTTTATCAAAAAGAGAGCGGGTGAGCCAGACAGAGAGAGAAGGAGAGAGAGAGAAAGAGAGAGGGAGAGTGCGTGTCTGCTGTTTGCATTATTATCCGGCTAAGTAAAAGCCCTTTGGCACACGCAGCTCGCAGCTTGCGTGCGCTACAAGTGCCGCTAAAGCTGTTTATATACAAATATCCGTTTTATCCGACAGAGAGCGAATGGCACGCTGCGGTGGGTGTTTGTGTGCCACTTCAGTTTATCCGGCTAAGTAAACGCCCTTTGCGTTAATTTGCGGACACCGTTAAAATGATTCATTTTATAAAAATTGCGTGCTCTGCGACAATTGTCGCGCTTTGTCTGTAATAGTTGCTATCTCAGTGCCTCTCTCTCCCGCTCGCTCTTTCTTGAATAACATGTTGCGGCAATAACAGAAACTGACCTACTGCCAAGATGGAACGAACTGGCGTTGTCACTGAGACACGCCATTGTCTAGCTAAGCAACAACAAAAAGCAACAATTTTAAATCACTTTATTTTACACATATTATCAAATGCAACAAAAACAATAGTCGAGAGCCAAAAAATAAGCTTTAAATATAACAAAAAATTGTCAACAGCTACGTCGCTCACTTTTTGGCCCGGCCAAAGTCACCGACAACAATAACAACAACCGACGGCTAAAGCAACTACATAAAATTGGGTCAGGGTAATTGTTTACACTAAGTAGCTACTGCTACTGCTACAGTTGCTCTGTTGCTGTCGTTGCTGTTGTTGTTGCTGTTGCTTTTGCTGTCTGTGTGTTTGTGCAACATTATAAACGCAGTGAAATTATGCGGCATCTCACGGCGGCTTTGGCTTGCAACTTGCTGTTGGCATTGAAAGCGCTCTCCGCGATTCTCCGCTCCCAGCCAGCAGCACTCTCAGTTGCTCACTCAGCACCTTCGTTTAGAAAGTAAGTTTCTATTGAAGTGGAGTGGAGTGGAGTGGATTGGCATGGAGTTCTGCTAAATAGCAAAAAAAAAAAACGCGATTTCACGTTAAACGCCCAACAGTTGTTAATTAGAAAAAAAAGCAACAAGCTGAACACAAACAATTACACTTGAAGTATACAAAACCAGCAGTAAATATGTTCAAGTGCCTAAAGCTGATTACATATGTCGCTGATAATTTAGCTATAGATATAGCCAATTAATGACAGATTTGGTCTGAAATATTTCGTTATATATAGTATTGCCTAACTTAAGGCGTAGCTCTAACGGACTACAATAAAATTAGAATTGCATTAGATATTTAAATGAAGAATTCAGGGTCACAAACAAAAGCTAAGCGCTAAGAATTCCATTTGATGCAAAGCTCTTTTCGCTTTGTCAAAGAAGAGAAGCCTGTTCAGCTGGCTATTGCTGGCATTCATATCTTATTTCCTTAGTTTGTCGCTATTAATACCGCTATATTGATAACTATATTACTTTAAAGTATATAGCATGCAGATATGTATATTCGTCTAACTGCTAGCAGTGCTCACTTCTTATTTCTCATTCACTTATTTCTTATTTTTATCGTTGTTGCTTCACTATATTCCCTTAGTTAAAGAGAGGCAAGTGCGACAAAAGCTGACTGCTATGCAGCTTTCTTATTTTTTCTTATTAGAAAGATATTTCTTATTAGTAAATTATTACTCGATTCTCTTGTTTATTAAAATAGTAAGCAATGCATATTACTTAATACAGGCAGAAGCTGAGTGTAAGTTACACTCCCTTGTGTTTTTCTCCGATTTCCCATTTGTGATAAAGCAACAGCTGTTATTACCGCACGTCAGCGCACGGCAACTGCAACTGTAAGGCATTTCCATAAATGTATATATGTATATACATCTGTTTCCCCATTTTCATTAATATCAGCTTGAGCTATATAATATCAGCTGTTTATGACTGTTTGGACAATATTATTTCGCTGGCGATTTCTAATCGAAACGGCTAAAATAAACACAAATCATACTTGATATACGATCGTTTCTCTCACTGTAATTGGCATTCATTGAACTTGCTAAACGTAAAAAAAAGCAACGACAAATCAGAAAAAAAAAAAATTGTGGGCAGAGCCATTTTGGCATTCAGTGGCCAAAACAGTTTGTTACCTGATTTATGGCTCAATGGTCAATTGTTCATCGGCTGAATGTCGCCCGAAAAGCGCACAAAATGATAATAATTATATTAGTTAATTACTATTCAATACGCATGTCATGCGACAAAACCCATCTGAACGTGGTCCAAGCATTTGGCTCTCTGGCGTCAATAACTGTTTGGCGCAATTTATTCGTACCTGAGCCGATCATTTTCGATTGTTGCTGCTGCTGATGTTGTTTGTTGTAGTTGTAGTAGTAGTTGTTGTTGTTATTGTTATTGTTATTATATCTAATAGCGGGACGACCTTCAGAGCACACTAAGTGCCGTTCAATACACAAGCCAATATCATCTTTGTATGTGTAAGCGTGTGTGTGTGCTCGGGGCAAAGTACAAACTGTGGACAAGCTCTGCAAGCAGATTTTAATGATTCGCCAAATACCCAGCAATTAATATGGTTACTGTTTATTGCTATCTGATCGACTAAATTTGACTGAAAGAGAGTTCTTCTAATGGAATAGAAATAGAGAATACCCTTTATCGTACTTGATCTTACAACTTTTTCCTTTCGCTTTGGAAGCAACCATAAAACAAGTGAACTCTAAGACATAATAGATTCTCTGTATTAGACTGCGAAAATACCCTGTAGTAGACTGAATCTAAGAGAATGTTTACATATATCAATATCAAAGCTTAGCTCGCTACAGGCCTCAAGATACCCTGTACCAAACTACTTAACTTACTCTCTCATTTCCTTCCTAACTTTTGTGCTACAAAATGCACTCAGTTATCTTAGCCATCTCTCAAGCACAGGGTATATCACATCCAAATACAAAAAGAGTGCAGCCAAGGCAAAAACAGTATTAACTTGTGGCTTAGTTGGTCGAGCATTTCCGTGACATGGTCAAGTGCTGTTTAACTGCAAATAAACACAGACACAAACTGGCCGACACGCAGATATGCGTTTTTCTCTCTCCAACTTCTACTTCTTCTTGTTGCAAAGCGCAACTGAAACGTGCCCATAAGCCAAATGCCAATTGGCGTTGCTGTTGACCATAGAAACTGATATTGTTGCTAAAAAAAACAAAAATACAGATATAGTCAGGTATCTGAGATGCGTTGCCAGCCTATATAGACGCCACCTTGACGCTGGCTTATAAGAACCTCAACTGCATTCCGCTCAGTGAAAAGATCTGTATTGCTAACAACTAGATAAGACGGCAAAAATTGACGCACTGACAATTAAAAAAGTTTTCGTTGTCGTCGTTGTCGTTGTTTGGATTTTCTATTGTTTCGTGCGGCGCTTGCAAATGGCTTGGTTAATAAATGTATTCATCAAAGTCAGATTTGTTTTTTTAATATTTTATGATGCCTGCCTGTGCCTGCAATTGTCAATAATCAAGCGGTTTGAAAGCAAACAGGCAACGCTTTATAGAAATTATGGCCCAACAGCGACAGCAGCACCAGCAACAACAACAACAACTACAATAGGGGCAACCGCAATTTTGAGGCCCTGGCCTCGGTCAAGGTGTTTGCCAAAATTAAAAATAAAATTTTTGTATTTTCATACACACTCTTTTAATATATGCGTATATGCCAAGACGAGCCTGGCCATTAAGATGCTCAGCGTATTGGCAACAGCATTTTAATACCCTGTTCTCGAAATGTGCAGAGAGAGAGAGTATGCTGTTGCTGTGTAGATGAATAGTCTATAAGAGGAAAGCAAAAGAGTCGAGCGACCCTTGCTCTGCCCTTTCATCTGCTTAGTATTCTCCCTACTGAATTACTCTTCTGCAGTGAGCATAAAATGAACCTTGAAATGCTCTCAAGAGCTGATCGATCCACTTTGAGTGTAATTTCGACAGCTATAAAGGGCGCGCCTGAACAAGAGCCTGATCAGTCTCAACCCTGACCTGGTGCAAGGCGGACGCAGTGAGGGGACTACGTTTTTAGTTTTTTTTTTGTATTCTGTATTTTATGGGCTTATGTTTACTATTTTTTTTTTTATATATACGTGTTATCAATTATAATTATTATTATTTTTTTTTAATTTAAAACAATTAAATTTTGAATTCATAATTATATCTTTATATATACTTATGTATTTTATTTATTGATTCATTCATGAACAAAAAATATTTTTTTGTGTTTTTTATTAATTTAATATATTTGATATTAAATTATTAATCAAATATTATATATGTATATATATTTATATAAATATATATTTAATATCAAATATATTAAATTAATTTAATTTTATTTTTTTTTAAATATATTACAAACTATTTATTTATTCAAATATTTAAAAAATAAATCAAAAGCTTACGATTTGTTTAGTACATATAATAGTTTTTATAGTATTGTTTATATTTGTAATTATAATGAGAACGATAATAATAATATCAGCAAGATTGATAGCTATTATAATAATGAACAATGTAATGATCATTTATAATAACATTTGTTAATGATAATGATGCTGATAATGATAATTATTCTGAAATGACCATTAGTTTTTTTTAATGATAAGTTCATCATTAACTTCATAATAATAATCATAATAAATATGTTTCCGTATATATGTATGTCTATGTAGTTTAGAATATATAATTGTTTTCTAATAGTTTTCAACTGCTATAAGCCGTCATAAACTGAAGAACTATAAAAACAACTTTAGACGTATGTATATACGAGCGTTACTTCCCCAATACCGTTTAATGTTAAGACCGTGACTGTTAAACATGTTTTACACTAGGTATTACATAGTTGAGCATTTGCAGAGCTCTACCTAGTTTTTGTAAATATGCGTTTATGCGTCTATACGCATGGCTATTAAGACGTTCAGCGTTTTGGCAAAAAACGATTTCTTTGTCTTTTGTTTAATTGCCTGACTGCTTCTGCTGGAGTTGAGGCTTACCCGGGCGGGCTCTATTCATGGACCAATCATGTCGATGCCTATTGTCAACAACAAAAGCGAAAACAAAGTCGAACAAGCCATTAAAAAAGATTTACGAGATCTTTAAAATAGCTCTAGAGAACTCTGGAAAACAATTGCTGACTTGACAACGTTCTGAAAAACAAAAACCAAAACTAAAAGATTATATAACACACGAAATGCCAAAGAGAGTATTCAAAAACGTTGTCTGATAAATTAACCAATGGAAAAATATAGAAAAAAATGTAAAGAAAAAATCAGAAAACAGAAAAAAAAAAAAAAAAAAACATAAACAATACAACACAGCGGACAAGGCCAGTTTGCCCTGAAACGTGTCTGAGTTTGAGGTTCAGAGCTCGGCCCTCTTCGAACGAGTTAAACTTGACTGCTACACTTTAGACTTGAGCGTGGCTAATATATACACGGATCGTATGTAGAGAACCCAAGACATCTAAACAATAATAACAATAATTATCAACATCAGCGTCATCATCACGCTCATCATGATCATCATAATGATCATTTTATTTTTTTTATTATCAACAAAGTTCTGAAACTTTGCCCGGCAATCAACTTATGCATTCCTAGCTAGACTTTCATTAACAACTAGCCAAGTTAACGATGCTCGGCCTTAATTTAAAACCAGATTTGCATCTTTATCACAGTTTATTATAATTATTTCTGTTCTGCTATTTATAGTTCTGCACCAGAAGGCGTTTCACACTTTGACATCCGCACAACGATCACAACATGAACGGACCCAAACACAAACTTTGTACCAAACTCTCCAGCACATATCTGCGCAAATGGTGTAAGTAGAGCATTCTTGTTTACGCAAATCTCTTGCGTCTGCAATTTGGAATACTTCTCTGTTAAGTCATATTTTTTGGCTAGAAAATTTCATTTGTTTTAGTTGACTTTACTTATTTTACTTTACTTTGATACACGTTTTTCCTAAACACACTTTTTTCTTAAGTGGTTTATTAGCATTTAAATTCCATTAGTGCTAATCTAATATAATGTTAATTGCTTTCAACTCTAGAGAACTTCATGGAACCTTTTTGAGATTTTTCAGTGGTGTTTCAAAGTTTAGGGATTTACCTGAGTGGCTAAACACATTACTCAACCACATTATAAGTTATATAAAAGCGTTGGCTATTTCCGTCTTTAATTTAAATCAATTACAATTACACAGTCAGAGTCAGAGTCAGAGCAGCTCGTCACAGTTTTCTGACTGACAAAGCGAATGAATTAGACGCAGTTAACTAAGAGAGCAACGATTAAAAGATTTGTAACAGCTAAATAAGCTCTTGATTGAAAGTTAACTTGATTGTAAATTAAATTCCTAAGCAGCCAATCAGGTGGCTATGGATGTATAGCAGCCTGGCTAATAAGCTAATAAAATGGGCTAAGAGTTGCCAGATAATCGAAAATTTCAATTTGGAGTCCGAATGATAGAGCTCCTATGCCTATGTAGCAATGGATTGATTAAATTATATTTACTCGGTTGAGAAACTTCAGGGAATGAGCTGTCCAGAGTGTTGCCAGATAGCTGAAAATTATGCTCTAAGTATGAAAGCTTTTCAGTGTCTGAAGGTACGAGTCCTATGGCTAAATGTAGTTCATTTAGGAATTTTGGAAGATTTGAAATTTCCAGAGTGTTGCCAGATAGTTAGTCTTAGCCATAATATTTAAAATTTGTGCAGAATCCGAATGAAAAAGCCCTGCAGATGTTATGGATTAAGATTACAGCAAACAGTTCTTAAGAGAGCTGCCAGATTAGATTAGACTAAGAGTGGGTTTAACCACCTTAACCAATACAAAAGAAAGTGTAGCCAAAAGATTTATCAATTTCCTGAAAATGCACCTGAAATATTTCCAAGTAGCTTGGGCCTCAGTCGAATTGTATAAACCTTTGGTGCATAAAGGTTTTCAGTTACGTTCCAGCAAGAGCTGGTATTGTATTACTGAATAGGTGTATTATTTCCGTATTGCATGAAATCGAACTCAATTATTACCAACTGAATAGCTGGCTGGCTGGGCAACAGACACATGCCTTTAATGTTTTGTTGACTGTTTGGCTATGACTGGTTTTACAGGTATTTCAATTTTGAATTCTAATTGATGGCAGACACCAGAATTTATATATATGTGTATATATATATATATACATGGAAGATGGCTATGCGGCGGCGCTTTCTTGACATTGTCAAGGTCTTTTACACATTGCGCATAGACAGACAGTTATTCAGACAGTCAGTCAGCCAAGTCGGTGTTTACCTGGCGTCAACAACTTCACACATTCTTGATGAATCAGCCGAAAGAATTTGATTTTTGCGTTCTATTGTTGTGTAAATAAATATATACACACATACATACATACATATGAATTCGGTTTGTTTACACACAATAATACTCGAGTAGAGTTTCAATGGCGAGGATAATAAATAATTGCACTTCGCATTGCAAGCTGACGTGAGGGCTAACAAGTGGAGCTTACGGCTCAATAGCTGGCTATCTTAACTGGTATAATACTCGGTTAGTGAGTTGGGCTTTAATAAATGCATTGATAAGTCGACTTTCTGGAAAAACAAGCCGACGTTCATAGAGGTTCATTAATTTATACAATTATTCAATCGGATGATTAATAGCTAATTGCAGCTTCGCTTCGTTCGTATAACTTGAATTAATTAACTGAGGAACGAACAATGCTATAAGGTCGCCAGATCAACTAGCCACAAACCAAATGAAATGTGCTAAAAATAACGGAACGAATGGATTTTCGACTCAGAGATGAGTCTATGAACTTTGCTTGGATTTACGATCTATCGATTATCGGTCTATTATATAAATATGGGCATCAACTTTTTAGCTAATCAATGTGAATTAACACACTAGACTCTGATATTTATTAATGAAATAGATTAGGTGTTGGAGAAACCCATTGAAGGTGTTGATCAATGTAAAAAATATTCAGACTTCATACTAAATTCGAGATATTACTGAAAAGAGCCAAACATATCACTTCTTCTGGAAAGCCGCGCGACACTGATTAACCTTGCTGATCCTAGCTTTGCTTGGTTTGCATTCGTAATTATGGATCGAGCCAAAGGGGCGAAGGTCAACAGCTATGCAACAGTTAAGTTTTACCATTCCAGCTGAATAACTATGAAAGAGTCTGCTAAGCGGAGTGACTGAAACGTCTAGAAAAGTTAGCCAAGGCAACACAATGCAACAAAACAAAATGAAAATAATAATTCGAACTCTGTTTTAAGGTAAATACAGCTTATCAGAAATCTGGGAAAGTTGAAAAGAAAGATCAAAGTATAGAGTCTCATGCGAGAAAAAGAATATTTTTTTCTTCTTACATATTATAAATGTCTTTAATTATACATTTCATATTCATTAGCTAATAAAATTCTTAAAATTACCCGGACTAAATCAGGTTTTAAAATAAATTTAAATACATGAATAGTTTTCTAAGCAAAAGTTGAGATCCCAGCACTATGTTTTAAGAGTAGTAAAAGTTTTAGAGTCTTTGATCTTTCACCCAAATGTTATAGTTATTGATTTTCAGCTAAATATACATACCTAGTTTAATAATTCGACTCTGTTTAACTAATTTGTTGAAATTACTTACTGTGAAGATTCACACCTCAAAAAAAGAAGATAAATGTATTAGCTCTCATTAAGGTAAACATTTATGGCAATAGAAAATGAGTCTGTGATCTATTCGCATATTGACTGGAATCCATATAATATATATAAATATAAGTATATTTAGATATTACTTCTATGATTCATCTGGTGTGTGCAACGCATCTGTAAGATTTGAACTCATATCATTTAACACAAATCAGGCGGCGACGCCTTTATTAGCTCTTTGGGTTCAGCTTGAAAGGTGAAAAATGAAGTACGTGCACTGGGTGCATAACGCGAGCTGAGCTGAGATTTCCCCCCTGATGAATCATTGCTCAGAGCATGTGGCATAGAGGATAAGTCAAACGAATAATTTATAATGAAATTTGTTTTCTCTTTCTCTTCTCTCTCTCTCTCTATCTATCTTTCTCCGGTTACTGCAGGGATTACTATTATAATCGCCGTCCTTTTACTAATTGGTGGAGTTTTGGTTGCCTGTGAATTTTCCGTGCTAATCAATGCGATCGTTAATCGCATGATTGCGCTGCGACCCGGCTCCAAGACCTTTGGCTGGTGGGCCAAGCCTCCCGTTGAGCCGCACATCAGCTTGTATGTGTATAACGTGACTAATGCGGATGATTTCCTAAGCAACGGCTCCAAGGCCATTGTCGATGAAGTGGGACCCTATGTTTACACGTAAGTTCAAGATCTCCCACTCTCTCTGTCTCTCCCACTTGAAATGTTAATGATTTGATTTTGCAATTTTGCAGCGAGACATGGGAAAAGGTGAACATTGTGGAGAATGACAATGGCACGCTGAGCTATAATCTGCGCAAGATCTACAAGTTCCGTGAAGATCTGTCGGCTGGTCCCGAAGACGATGTGGTCATTGTGCCCAATATACCCATGTTGAGTGCCACCTCACAGAGCAAACATGCCGCCAGGTAAGAGAGGAAATCTAATTCCCTATTGCCATATCAGATCTAAGTGGAACATTTTGATCTATTTCAGATTCCTGCGCTTGGCCATGGCCAGCATCATGGATATATTGAAGATTAAGCCATTCGTGCAAGTCTCTGTGGGTCAGCTGCTCTGGGGCTACGAGGATCCTCTGCTCAAGCTGGCAAAGGATGTCGTGCCCAAGGAGCAAAAGCTGCCCTACGAGGAGTTCGGCTTGCTCTATGGCAAGAACGGCACCTCATCGGATCGTGTCACTGTCTTCACGGGCACCGAGAACATCAAACAATACGGCATCATTGACAAGTTCAATGGAAAAACACATTTGCCGCACTGGACAACGGACAATTGCAATCGTCTGGATGGCACCGATGGCTCCATCTTTCCGCCGCACATTACCAAGGATCGCATTCTCGAGGTATACGACAAGGACCTATGTCGTCTGCTGCCATTGGTCTTTGAGCGTGAGGTGGACACGCCCAACAATGTGCCCGCCTATCGTTTCACACCGCCCGAATGGGTATTCGCCGATGTGGAAAGCCATCCGGATAACATGTGCTATTGTCCAGCGGGCAAGCCCTCCTGCTCGCCCAACGGCCTCTTCAATGTGTCGCTGTGTCAATACGGTAAGCCTAGCCAACACCCTCAGATCTTGACATTTCTATAGCTAATCTCTCTCTCGCTCTCTCTCTTCTGTAGACTCGCCCATTATGCTGAGCTTCCCGCATTTCTACTTGGCCGACGACAGTCTGCGCACTCAGGTCGAGGGCATTTCGCCGCCCATGAAGGAGAGGCATCAGTTCTACTTCGATGTGCAGCCCGTAAGCATATAGAATTGGCGCTCTACTAGCTGATCTTTAATGTAACTATTTGTTCCTCTTCTTCAGACAACGGGCACCACTCTGCGTGTGAGCGCTCGCATCCAGATCAACTTGGCCGTCAGCCAGGTGTTCGACATCAAGCAGGTGGCCAATTTCCCGGATATTATTTTCCCCATTTTATGGTTTGAGGAGGGCATCGATTCGCTGCCCAACGAGGTCACGGACATGATGCGCTTCGCCGAGAATGTTCCGCCCAAAATTCGCGTCGTTCTCATCGTGAGCCTGTGCACCCTGGGCCTGGTGCTGCTGTTGCTCTCCACCTTCTGCTTGATTCGCAATTCGCACAGGCAGAGCACACTGCACTTGGAGGGCTCCAATTACCTGGCCACCGCCCAAGTGGACATGAACAAGAAGCAGAACAAGGAGAACCCTCCCAATGGCAGATATTGAAGAGGCCTCGCCTCGCGCTGAGCTTCTTCAATATATTTTTAGTCGGCGCGTTAGTCTTAAAATGGAATTTTCTTTTAGCTAGGGAACTCACAGGCAAAATCTCTCCGAGTGCGTTTAGTCTAGAACAAATGGAGCTGGGAAGACTTATGTGTATGTACTTATACTGTATATTGTATGTATGATAGGTCCTCGTTGTAAGTACTTATGTAATCGTTATAAAAAATTTCAAGTGTATTAGCTATATATATATATATACGTATATGTATATATATGGTCTGTCAAGCAACGGTCGTGATCATTTTAAGTCTCAAAAACAAACCCAAATTCTATGTCATAAAAAAAATTGTACATGACCAAATGAAAGTCACAAAGAATATAAAACCAATTAACGAAACAAGATTCACAAAATCTATATATCAATATCTATACAGATATATGTATATGTATTGATATTTACTAATGTTCTCTCAAGTTTCGTTCCTCATATAAATGTGCTTGATTAGACAAAAAACAAACAAAATTTGAATGGACTGGCAAAAATTCCGATGCGTTACAAACGAACTACAACAAAAATATAATATATAATATATCTAAAAATAATATAATATAATATAAAATAATAATATATATATATATATCTGTGTATGCATATATGTTGTATGTGTATATGTGTGTGTATCGTATCTATATCTGTATAATATATATGACTCTAATGTGTACAATAAATTACGCTATTATTTTAATTAGGCACTTAAAAAAACAAATACATACATAATGAATATTTCTTGCCTTTTGAGGAAGGTTTTGATGGGCTTGGAATTGAATTGGGATTTGATTTGGTTTAGGCTTTGCCATAAATCAATTTGTTATTGTTCTAACGATGATATGTGACTACTTTATAATAGCTATTCTATTTAGATGTACAGCCAGCATCGAAATGCTTATTAATGTCTGCTTAAATAGCGGTTTTCAATTGCTTCCATTAGGGTTAAGAAACTTTGCCAAGGTGCCAGGCTATCAGCTTTGTAATATGATGAATCAATGATATATGGAACATATAAGTCTTTGTTTATCTACAAATATCCCTCAAAAACATTGTGCTAATTTCGCTATTTAATTTATTATGGCAATTTAGTACAGATTATTCTACAATTCCATATAATCTAGAGTAGTTCTTATAGTTCGCCTCAAAAATAGATTATAATTAGGTACAGCTGCACGGAATCATGGGCCTTGCAGCTAACTTATCAGAGCACAAATTAAAATTTATTAATTTGAAATTCATGCTGAGCAAACGCTACAAAACAAATCAAGCTGAAATGAAAGTAAATAATAAACACAAAGCTAACGTGCTCAGTGGGGAAATTCAAATTTCCACTGAATTGAGCTGTTGCTTAATTAAATTTCATTTAAATTATACAGAGAACTTGACGCTACAAAGAAAGTCCCAATGGACTATGTAGGTTTTCTATCATTTTAATAAGCTACAAAATCGTAAAAGTATATACAAAATAAATTTACTGAAATTTTAAATATAAAATATATATAAAGTTAAAAACAATGGAATTGATAGTGATATATAAAAAGATAGAGAAAATATTCGAAAATTATATTCAAAATATTTTAAAAATTAATATAAAATATCAATACATATTTTAACAATTTAAATTTGCAAATTTTACAGTTAGTATAACATATATATTTTATTTTTATTTTTCTCAATAAGTCAATAAAATTCACTCATGCAGCACAAAGTCTCTATCATATGCACTAAATTTCAATTTCCAGGGTATATTCTAATTGTCAGCTCTACTTGTTTGCCACAGTCCAAATTTAATTGGTAATAAATTGGAAGATTTATGTCAGGTTAACATATTTTGTCACTTGTGAGGTGCAAGACTCTGAAGTAACTGAGGTGTCTGTCCGCTCATTAGTCGAGATGTATTTCACACGGCATACCGGATCTCTATTGGCGAATCAAATCAGATAGACGAAGCAGCTAAAATGTATGCGAATGCGAATGCAAAGGCGAGCGCACAGTGTCATCGCAATTAGAGTTCACTGCGATAGGCCAGACATGATGCCCGAGGGCAAGTGCAATCCACTGGTCGCGAGAGCTGATAAAATTGGTCTGGCGATTGGTCTGTCTGTCACTGATAAGGCAGCATCTCGGCTCATTCACTCATTCAGCTGTTTGCTCGCAATGGGAGCGAAGCTGATGCCGCCTCTGATTTGAAGCATCTGCTGATCACATCAGCAGATCTCGGTTATCAGCCATTGACAATGGCAAACACAAATTTTGAATCTTGCTAAATATATGCATTTTGGAACGCCCCCTGGCCAGGTGCACTGACTGAACGGCTGACCGGCTGACCGGCCGCAGATGGCTGCAGATGCCAATTGGGAGCAGTTCCATAAAACATTAATCTAAACGAACATAAATTTAAATTACGATTTGCGTAAATTCGATCTTCCTCGGGTCACAAGTTGAGGGCTTATCTCCTGCAATTGCGACAACAGCCGCCAGCAGAGCGTGTTTGGCCTTTGCCAACTGATAGCCTCTCTGCTATAGTGATACCCTGTAGCCGGCTGAACTCTAATGGTTGGTTTAATGTAGCAAAATTAGAATAGTTTAGCATAATTCTATAGAAACTAAAAGCAATTAGAAAGTGATTTCGTTATATATGTAGTTGAAGCTAAATTAAATTCAATTTGATAGCAAATCTGTTTATGAATTCCTAGGATGTTTGTTGTAGCACTATTATATATATAATATTATCAGTTATATATACATATATATACTTATACTTATTAAAGTTTAAAGCTGTGGTATACAAACTCTTATATACCTTAGACCTGTATGACTTATACTCTTATATATCTTATATATACTAGGCAAACGTTGTATGATACCTATATATAGAGTAGGAGCGTATCTTATAATATTCAGGATGCAATTGAAATGCTCAAGGCTTTATTGAAGACTTATACAATCCTTTAAAACCCAAATTATATTCTTGTTAAGTTTTCTCAATTTCTAAATCATTTAGGCAACTTATTTCGGTTCCCAATCTAAATATTCTGCTTAAACTTAAATAATGTCAATGCTACATTAATAATTAAAGATCTCAAATTTTTTACTTCCATATAAGCCAGGCTTAAAGCGTAATCCTGCCTATACAACGACTATGTACACTCGATATACTCAAATGGAACCAAAACTATAACTAAAGTTCTGCCATAGATTCTTTTCCAAAACTTAGCTCTACAAAAATTCTACTAACATAGGGTATCTGCGTAGTCCAGCGAATCTCTCAAATTTTCTTCACTTTTACTTGATTTGCTTTTATTTGTAATCATATTTTTAGTTTAGTTGCGTTTCGTTTCGTTTTCAAGCAGGCCTAAGATGAGGAAGGGACCCCGCGATAAGACCGATTCTGTAAAGCAACAGAAAAAAAATACAAATTTGTATTTAAAATTCAATGGAGACTCGAAATGGCGTTTAGTTGTTGAAATCAAACGAATCGCGTGATTTGAAGAGCGCAGACGCACAACATTCCAATCCCACAGCTCCACCAGCTCCAGTCTCCCGTCCCAGTGGAGGCAGTGCATCATCGTCAGACATGGGCCCAACTTGTTTCTGGCTGAAAATTGTGGCAATTGCATTGTTCGGCCTGCTGAATATCTATTTGTTTGTGATCTCGTGCGGCGTCAACTATCAGTATGCCATGGCCCAGGAGCAGGTGCGCTTCCGTGAAGAGATGCCAACCATGGAAAGTTGGGTGAACTCGCCGTTTGGCAAGCTGAAGAGCTACCTGTTCAATGTGACCAATGGACCGGAGTTTCTGAGTGGACGCGATGCCAGGATCAAGCTGCAACAGATCGGCCCGATTGTCTATAAGATCGTCGGCTACAACGACATCCTCAATCGCACCGCGAGCAGTGTGACCTATCGCAAGCATCGCTATCGCCACATTGAGTTCGTGCCCGAGGAGAGCGTCTCGCCGGACATCCTCAACAAGACGATTGTGCAGTTCAATAGCTTTCTGCTGGGCGCCGCTGCCAAGTACTGCCAGATACCCTTCACCTCGATGGGGTTCAATGCGCTGACCCTGGGCGAGCAGGTGTTTATGACCGGCAGCGTCTACTATTTCCTGTGGGAGTTCACTCGTCCCGCGCTGGAACTTTTTGGCAAAATGTTGCCGCTGGCCACCAACTGTGGCACGCTCTACAATGTGAGTGGTTTGATCCGAGTATTCCTAGTATCTAGCTTACACCTCATCCTTTGGCAGGCTCTCAAGGAGAAGGAGGAGATCTACACGGTGAACATTGGCACTGAGGTGGGCATGGAGAACTTCTTCCGCATACAGAATCTCAATGGCGAGCTGCGCATCCAGGAGCGTGTGAAGGACAATCCCCGAAATCTGGGCGACAGCTGCCCCATCAATGTGGCGGACACACTGGACAACTCCCTCTATCCGCTCTTCCTGGAACGAAATTCATCGCTTAGCATCTTGGCCACGGAGTCGTGCCGTGTGCTACCACTGCGCTATCAGCGAGATCAGGAGCACGATGGCATGAACTCGTATCGCTTTACGCTGCTCCAGGCCAACGAGACGGCGCCCAAGTGCATGGATAGCACCTACGGCGTGAAGCTGCCGCGCGGCATGTTCGATGTGTCCAAGTGTGTGATAAGTAAGTGCTGGATGAGTCACCTAGAGGCACTCGCAGAGATTCATCTCTCAATCATCTCTCTCTCTCTATATATCCTGCATAGATGATGCTCCCTCGGCCTTCTCCATGCCACATTTCTATGGCTCCAGCTACGATTGGCGCCAGCATTTCGAGGGGCTCAGTCCCAATGCCGATGAGCATGAGCCCTTCATACTGCTGGAGCCCAACACGGGCATACCCATCAATGAGAAGTACCGCTTCCAGTCCAACACCCCGCTGCCGGACTTCAGCAGCTACAGCCGCAAGCTGACCAAGCTGAGCAACATGATTGTGCCCGGCTTCTGGTACGAGTTCGTAAGTGTTCTGCTAGCCTTTAGTGTCTCTGTCCAGGCATTGCCTTAACTCTCTACTCTATACTCCACCCAGGACATGGATCACCTACCAGCTCATGTGCTCTACATAATGCGCTTCAATGTCCACTGGCTGCCGCATCTGCAGCCCTATCTGATGGCCTTGCAGCTGCTCTGCGCGCTGTGGTGCGTGCTCAGCTTGGCCAGGCGCTGCAGCAGGAGTCGCAGCTACGGCGAGCTTTACCGCAAGCTGTGCGGCCCACCCGTTGTGCAGCTGGAGGCGATATTGAATCCGAGGCCGCAGCATGAGCCCAAGCTGACCACTGAGCTGGCTCTCAAATAGCCGCATCTGCACATATTTGTATCTTATAGATACGCCTCAATTTGCCAGAGCTTTAGTTTCTGTTTAGTTGTATTTAGATTTAAGCAACGCGCATCACACCTCCGCATGGCCTGCGCTTATCAGCGGCGCCAATTAACAGAATAACAATAACAATGATAATGCTAATGATAATGCTGACATGCGTAATTGCACAACATGAATTCGCCCCTCATTTCACCTTTTGTGTCAAATCGCGGCAGATTGACATGGCCAGAGGGAAGCGATGCCCTCAAGGCCCTGGGGTTTGTTATGACTTGGCTTTGAGCTCGCCGCAGTGTGTTTGATTCCTAGGCTCAGTCATGATTACAGTGAAGTCATAGACACGCACACACCTGCGCACACCTGCACCTGGCCATGCTTGGCAATGAAAACCTGCGCACGTATCACACTTAAGATCTGTCCCCAGATTTATTTACCTTTATTGAAGCTTTGTCTGCTGCTGCTGCTGCTGCTGCTGCTACTTTGCTGCGTCAGGTTTTTTGTTTATCTCTGTTTTGTGTCGCTCTTTCTGTTTTCGGTTTTTCTGTTTATTTTCTGTTTTGGCTTACCTTCCTGAACCTGAACTTTTGCACATGCTGCCACTGGCTGGGCTTTCAAGGCAAGCAGCCCTTGCTTGCTCGTTGCCCGTTGCCCCTGCACCCGCCCCTACCACGCCTACTTTTGATTGGGACGCTGTCATCGTTGCCATGAGTTCGACTGTTTACCTTTCCTCTGGCCTGGGTACTTTCCATTTGCATAAGCTAAAACCGATCATGACAGCTGTAACACCCATGTGGCAATTGGTCAACGATTCACAAACACACACACATACTCACAGCTCTGTCTGTCTGTGTGTGTGTGTGTGTGTGTTTGTAATGCAAGTGTTGAGAAACGTGAGCAGAATATTGTCAAAACAATATTTCTTTATATGCATTATGTTTTCTCAAAGAATGTGAGGCGTCGACTTCTGATCAGAAAATTGCTTCCAATTGGAGCAATGTGAATTTCGATCTGCTTTGTATAGAAATTTTTGCTCATAATAGAAGTAAAAGATCTTTAAAGATCATATATGGATATACTGTGAAAATGAAAGAAAAGGTATAAAAATATATATGTACATCTATATAATTGCTATATAATTATATATTTCTAAAATAGGCAAAAATGTGTCATGATGTCAAAGAGAGCTAGAAAGATCAGGAAATCTTGGTATATATGACTTACTTCTAATACAAAAATACGTCTATTTTACATATAAATATACAGATGTACGTATACGTATATCTAGAAAGATCAGAGCCGAGATCACTTGTTCATTTTGACGAATTGGTATACCGACAAGTACTTTACAGAGAGCTTTTTAGCAAACTAGAAACGTTTTTGCTACTCCAATTAAGACTTCTTTAAAAAAAAGTTATATAAGAGATATTAAAAGATTTTAGTCGGCAGAATGATTTAGATATCATATATATAATGTAAGTTAATATATTTGGAAGGAACATTTTTTTGCGCTTTATAAATTTGTAGACTTCTGGCCAAAATAAGATATATAAAATACTCCTAGCTTTATATAAATGTCTACATGTCAAATAAAAACTTTTAGAGATCAGTAAATTTTTAATTTTTGTTTAATTTCAACATTTTCCTAGAAGTATCCGATTTCCGTATATATTATGCTCTATGTACATACATACATACATATATATTGTAGCCTGAGGGCACTTAACTGCTGGCAGTTAAATCTGTCCCAGCATTTGTGGACCGCCCTAGAGATGATTTTGTAAGTCGCCAGACGAGACAAACAAAATGAAATGAAAGATTGTTAAATTTAATGATAATGTGATAAATCAGCTGAACTTTGCATAATTGCACACTAATTAACATAAAAGTTATATCACAGTGATTTATTGGCTTTCATTAGAGACAGCGGGCTAAAAAGCCACGAGCCTTAAGTAGATAAGTAGAACTGACCCATTGAACTGTACGGTAAGCAGACAACACAATCGAGATACTCGTGCCAGAAGCTCGAGTCATTCCCATTAAAAAATGAGTATAAAAAAAAAGCAGAAATAAAAAAAAAATAATAATAAAGCCTAGCTCTAGAATTATAAATATATGTATATGAATTTAATGGCTCATTATTGTAGACCCCAAGTTGACAGAAATAAAAAATAAAGAAGAATTATTTACAATAAAAAAATATAACAACAATTATCAGCTCTGATTTGACTGTGGAAAAGTCTTCCATGCAACAGATTGAACAGAAACTGAGCGCAAGACATCGCCTCGTTTATGGCGGTAAATCCCAATTCGATTTGCCGCAAAAATAAAAACAAAGATACAAAATCGAGACCAGTTGAGCTTTCGAAATCTGGTTGGGCCTAGAGGGAGACACAAACAAAAACACACACGCACACATACTTCGATTAAATGCTGCAGATAATGTAAATGAAATGGGGGAAATGCATAAAAGTGATTACAACATAATAAACATGATCGTAAAAGATCAACAGCAACAACACCTTTGAGTTTTTCACGTAAGTACTTTGCATGTTTTTCCTATGAATTTCGTCTCAGCGCACGGGGCGAAACGTGCAAAGCACTAACAAGCTAAACAAACAGCTGTGACAGCGCCAAAGTGCGGCGAGGTGGCGAGTTGGAGAAGAGTCGAGAGGGGGCGAGGCCACATTTACATTTAAGACGTCAGCGTCGGCGTCAAGTCCAGAAAAGAAAAAAAAAAAAACAATGTAAAGCTTGCGTACATCCCAAGTACGCGGCGAATTGCTTGGCTTAAAATTCGGGTGAAAAACTAAAAATCCGGTTCAATTTGGCTGCACGAAAGACCTTTGACTGGTGGGGCTGCCGCCCAGGCCGACGCCGACGGCAGCGCCACCGTTCGTCGAGTGGCCAAGCGAATGTGCGAAAGCTTTTGGCCGCGCCAGCCGAGCTCCTTACTATAAAAGTCGGCTAAACAGGCTAACAGCTTGGCAATCAAAGCTGTGCTGTCGTACGCAACAGACACAAGAGAAAATCCACCAACAGCTCGCAGTTCGGCAGCAACAACAACAAAACGGTAAGCAAACATTATTTGACAAAGAGAGAAAGAGCGCGAGTGAACGAACGAGAGAGTAACTGAGTGAGCGAGCGATGCAGGCTACGCGTGCGCTATGCTGTTTTGTGCTTTGGCAACTGTAAATTGCTATTGATTGGCAGCACTTGCGTGCACAAAACGACAGTACAAAAGTAGCAGCGAAAAAAAAACAAGACGAAAAGCGAATATAATCCGTTTTGAATAGCAGCTAAAAAAAGACGTTGAGGGTGAGAGAGGGAAGCAGCGGCGAGCGACGCAGGCATTGCAGCTGTCCATTCGGTATCGATGCCTGGTCTATTGCGTAAACAGATTGGCAACACTTGCGAACAACGGTACAAAAGTGGTTTTAGCTAAATGAAAAAAAAAAGAGGGCGAACAGCGAACTTAATCCACTTTATAAAAGAGCTTGAAGTGACGTGGTACGAAAATTGTGAAATCTTTTGTTATTACTAAAACTAAATCATTAATTAGTATGCATGTGCCATATATATGCCAAGAGGCATTAATAATGCATGAAACGAACTAGCCCAGAAATGAATCGAACGATTCATTCTCAAAACTCTGGCGTGTTGCTAGCCCCTTTTACAGAGCAGACCAGATGACGCCTCATATTATTTATTTAGGACAAATAATATTGCCACAAATAGTATTTGAATGGCTGTTTATATATTTGTTTTGCAATTACTCACATTTTAACGGGGACGTTTTCTTCCTCCATCTCTCTCTGTTCTACAGCTCTTGAGACAAGATGAAGGCATCACTGGTCATATTGCTGTTGGGCGTGTTTGCCGCCCTCGCCCTGGCTAGGCCCGAGAAGAAATACACAAACAAATTCGACAATGTCAATGTGGACGAAGTGCTGAGCAATAATCGCATCTTAAACGCCTACATCAAGTGCCTGATGGAGAGTGGACCATGCACGGCCGAGGGACGCGAGCTGAAGAAACTGCTGCCCGATGCCCTCGAGTCGGAGTGCTCCAAGTGTACCGATGTGCAACGTCGCAATTCCAACAAGGTGATCAATTATCTGCGAACTAACAAGCCCAGGGAATGGACCATGCTCCTCGACAAGTACGACTCAAAGGGCATCTACAGGGCCAAGTACGAGAAGCACACTAAGAATAATTAAAAATAACAAACAACAAAAAAACAAAGGAACATCAAAACAAATCAATTTGTATTGTCATCTAAACACATACTCGTTATTTAAACTATATAATAACCAGATATTAAGATACAAAAAAAAAAAAATGATAAAACTTTAAATGATCTGAGTGGTTTTTGTTTTGTTTTTTTTTTTTATGTTTTGCTCATACCTAAACACTTGCAATGCAAATTTTATTCCAAAATTCATCTAAAATGTGATTAGGCAAACTTCCGGGAACTATATCTGATACAATGGGGTTTTCTACGATTTCTAAGAATCTGAGTTAGGAAGCCAACTGCTATTTCGATTCATTAATTAGATCAATGGCCCTGAAATGATTGGCCACATTGATCGTCCAGTCTGATTGCTGTCCGGCTGTAAACTCTTTTTTAAAGCGATAATTACAAATGAAGACCCGATCCTGATATTCCGGCATTGTGCTACAAGTAGATCAAGAAAGTCCGAGCTTATAGAAACAGAGAGAGATCTAGTTGTTAACCCTTTCGCTCACCCCATATTCCAGGGTATCTCCTCGCCTCGTTCACGCATTTCGGTCAGGCCACGCATCACATGGAACACCATTGTGATCTCGACCCAACGCTTTTGCAGCTTATCGTTCGCATCATCGAACATGATGCCGATTTGATAGGGAAACGACAAATAGATGTCGCTCTCGTGGATCTCCAGTTGTTTGCGCTGCGTCATGGACAGTTTCTGCACGACGGGCTTCAGTTCGGCTATGGCCTCGGGTGTCACTAGATCCTGTAGCTGGCTCAGATCTCCGCCCACCAACTTGCTAGACACGACCTATAATTAGTTCACAGTAGTATTGCACATATGAATAAATTTGCTGCGTAATTGAAGCAACAATTTGGGAGTTCACCTGCAGCGCCTGTTTTGCGCCGTATACAAAGTCCTTGATTTGAAATTCACTATCAAAATATGGACGTATGATGAACTGTACGGTTATCCAATTTTTGATTGTATTCAGTGCCGATGGCCATATTATCTCCGGAAAGTCCATCAACCTGGGCAACTGATTGCGACTTGTTTGATTTTTGTTTTGTTCGGGTGCATGCGGTAGCGTTGCCAGTTGCCGCAAGCTCCCTCTGCCAGTCTTCGCCATTGTCAGACATCGCCTTAAAGTGTGTTGCATATTTAACTAACTCTTTAAAACAACAATTATTAATTAATATTGTGATTGAACTTTATCTGCCGTATAATCAGCTGTTTGACCAGGGATGGTTAACATAAAATTTCATATAACATTTGGCTGTTATGCAACATTACACTGTTAATCACCCGTTGTGATTGGCGCGTGATATAGCAGTAAGCATTTTGTTGTGGTAAATGCTCAAAAATGGCAGTCACTTCCGTCTGTCAAATTTTTCTTTCTTTCCCAGCCACGACGAGCAAGGGTCGACATGAGGTATTGACGAATTTCAGCAGTTTCTGTGTTTTGTGTACGAAAATGTGTGAAAAGTGTGCAAAAACTTGTGGATTACATGTGGCATGCAGCATGTTATGAGTGCAGTTGCCCAGGGTTATCCAAAAATGTGTAAATTGAACCGAAACCACGTTAATGCACACATGCACACATACACACACACACACACACGCACGCAAAATCATAGCATGCTGTTTTAGCTAATTTTCTTCGGTCTTCTTTGCTTGCAGTTCTCTAAAGCTCCAGAAGAGGCTCGCAGCCTCAGTGCTGCGTTGCGGCAAGAAGAAGGTTTGGTTGGATCCCAATGAAATTAATGAGATCGCCAACACAAACTCGCGTAAGTATACCAAATGGAGGAAATGTGCGAATAAGAGTATACTAAATGGATATTTTTTGTCTTGCAGGTCAGAACATACGCAAACTGATCAAGGATGGTCTGATCATCAAGAAGCCCGTCGTGGTCCATTCCCGCTACCGTGTGCGCAAGAACACCGAGGCGCGTCGCAAGGGTCGTCACTGCGGCTTCGGTAAGCGCAAGGGTACAGCAAATGCTCGTATGCCCACTAAGCTGCTGTGGATGCAGCGTCAACGTGTGCTGCGTCGCTTGCTGAAGAAGTACCGCGACAGCAAGAAGATCGATCGTCATCTGTACCACGATCTGTACATGAAGTGCAAGGGTAATGTGTTCAAGAACAAGCGCGTCCTCATGGAATACATTCACAAGAAGAAGGCCGAGAAGCAGCGCAGCAAGATGCTCGCTGACCAGGCTGAGGCCCGTCGTCAAAAGGTGCGCGAAGCACGCAAGCGACGTGAGGAGCGTATTGCTACAAAGAAACAGGAGCTGATCGCCCTGCATGCTAAGGAGGATGAGATTGCTGCGAAGGCGGCCACTGCGGGTCATTAAGTCGGCGGCAATTCATAATTAGTAATTGTTTTTGAAGTGAAATAAAAATTGTCATTTTAGTTTGGCCAAAATGATTTTGTACAAACGTGGAAATCGCATTCTTATAATTTCTAAACATCCAATAGGAGGAATCGGGTGCAAGCAACAGCTGTGTCTGCGTATTTCAATGTATTGTGTAAAGTTCAAAATGGTTTTGAGCTTGGCCAAAACAAACACCTGATACCTGATACGCAAACCAATAAGAAATTTCAGTTCAAATTAATGCGCTTTTTATCAGAATTGTAAACGATACATCGAGTGCAGGTCTAATTTGACTATCGATAGCATGCTTGCCTGAACTACTCGATACTATATCGTTTTCTGTTCAGTTTTTGAACGCTAAGCGATTGAGGCCACACTGCTCGCCGCTCACATCATTTTGAAATCGAAACTCGTTCGTAGCGGTCGTTTGTCGTGGTGCAGCAGTGCGCGAGCAAGCACAAAAAATATACTTAGAATTTTGATATATAAATAAAGCAATTAATAGAATTGATCAGCAACTATCATCAGTCTATGTATGCTTAGAGCCTTCTTGTTGTCATAAAACGGCAGCGACTTCTCAAAAGTAACGCAAAACGAATTCGAGTTCAATAAATATCAAACGTGTCGGCAGATTGCGATAAATTAATAAATACTTATAACTAAGTTTGCTGATTTCGTAATAGCAACAAAGATTTGCTTGCCTAGCCTAGCCAGAGGCAAAGAATTCTCAACTACAAATACAAATACAGAAAACATCAGCTGAAGGCCCGCACGCACACACACAGTCACAGAAACATAAACCCAATGCGATAGACACAGTGAAAGTGCGCGTGTATGTGTGATACACAGAGGAAAAGAAAAATTTTTATTAACTTGCGGTGTCAGCATTTAAATAAAGAAACCCCAAAAAACCGTCTGCTTAACCAATTTTGGTAATAGAAGACAAAGAATTAATAAAACACAGCACAATGAGCGGATACACAGACCTCACCAAGCTGGAGACTAGTCGGTAAGTAAAATCTTATGGGTGAAATAAACACACATAGATCTATCTCTACATACATATGTACGTATATGAATATGATTGTATGTGGCTGAGTGTGTACGTATGTGTGTGTCCAGTTTTGGGCTGGGCAAGCGCGAGTTTCTAGTTAAAATGTGTTTAAATTCAATTTAAAGCAGTTGCTAAATAATAGCACAAGGATGGGAAGGGGCAGGGGCCGGTGGAGGGAATGGAGAGGAGAGGAACACAGCTCACACAATTTCGCTCACATCATTTTGCACGCTCTTTCTCTCACTCCCTCTCTTTCTGACTGCAAGCGGCACCGCACCCCTTGTCCACACGGCATTTTCTCTTTCGTTTCGACAAGATACAAAAATTTTATCGTACGATGCGGACAGCCATTCAAACACGAAAGAAAAAAAGTAAAGGCAATGCTGCCTAATATGACACAATCGTGCTATAGCTGTACATAATATATATGTATATGTGTATGCTTATGCGTGTGAGTATGTATATGTATGTGTGTGGGTTTTCAACCTGGGCTCGTTTTGTATATAGTTGAGTGTATGTATGTCTGTCTGCTATTTAAGTTTGTTTAAACTAATAAAATCGCATACCTCCAACTATCATTCCACTTTCCACCGCCGCAGCTGAGGCGTTTAATGTGTTTATTTTTGTTTTATCGCCTTTGCTCTAATCAGCGCTTTTGGCGATCGCATGTCATCTATCGATAACAACTATTACTCATCTTCATTGCCATTATCGCTATGCAAAAAGTTTCAACTATGAGCCATCGGCGGACGCCGCAGGGTACAAAACTAAAGGCAAAACCAACAAAACAGAGAAATAATATTAATAAAAATAAAAACAATCAGAAGCAATGGCATGATTCACTGTCCTCACTCTTCAACTTAACTGATTGACGTAGGCATATAAATATATACTCATAAGTACATGCAAGTCATTAATAATATGCTGTTGATGATGGCATTTGTGAGCGGTACTCTGAATAGTGGTACAAAGTAGTACGAATTGCTTTCGCCTTGACAAACTCACAAATTTAGTTAGAATTTGTATTTGTTTTTGATTGCGTTGTCGCATGTTAACTAGTGAAATATAATTAATATCGATTTGCTCATTTATCGATTATCATTGGAGGTCAGTCGAGGCCAAACAGGGGCAACCACACTGCAAAACAACATTAAACAAATATTGGTCAATTCGCTTCAACAAAAACACAGCCAAACAACAAAATAGTGTTGCTCAATTTTGCAAATATTGCTGGCAAAGCAACAGCAACAACAACAATAATAATAAACAGGCAGCAGCAAGAGTAGCGTCTCTTTATCTAACAATCGTACAGTTACAGCTCGCGTCACTGCCTCCCTCTCTCTCACACACACACACACTCGCTCTCACATAAAAACAAAGAGTACAGTTGAAGAGAGCTTGAGCGCTCTCTTGCCACAAAACATTCGCCACACAGTCGGCATCCGCGCCCGCTCGCCCAGATGCAAAAAATCGGCTGATTTCTGTGTTGTATGCCGCGCTGCTGCTGCGCATGTTTCGCAGCAAACGAAAAAAACTGGACGCGTGTCGCGTGCCTGGCTTGGCCCACTTCACAGGCAGGTGTTGCCGCCAGGTGTGCACTGGATGGGCACTAAGCTTTTGTTTTTGGCGCCTTAATGGGCCACACGACTATTCGATTAAAATCTATGGAGAGAGAATAGGAGACAATTACCAGAGTACAACAACTACACTAACGGCTACAGATATTCGCTCAGATAAAAAGGTTCGCCGTGCTTCGCTGCAATTGGTCGTTTCGTATGGCGTGTTTATCGAACGCCGCCTCGACTGCGGCTTTTTCCTCTGCTGCCGGCATAATTGGGCGCAGCTGCACTTGTTGTACGATTACCGCCCTCTCCCTCCACCCACTCTTTCGCCGCCCAACATACGTCAGCTGTGAAAGGTCAATAACGCCACTGCTCCACTCTCTCTTTAAGCGAGCTTTTGATGCTGGCGCGTGGCCAACTATGTGACGCCTGATGATTTTTTTCTATTTTAAATTAATGCGACATTTGCTAAAATGGACAACGCCTGATTTCTATTTCTATCTCAATTATTCTTCCCTTTTGCTGAGCAATTTAAATCAAATATTTCATTCATTCTCTAGGTAATTATGTATGAATGAGACGATTCGACCGGACGCTACATATTGATAAGATAATTGCGCGCTTTACACAATTCTGATAGCCTCATTTAATACCCTACAGCAAACGTAAACAAAGAGTTTGAACTTTCGCTGAACTGAAAGGTTCTAGAATGTTTATTCTATAATATATGTATATCTATGTAAAACTAGATTGACGTAGTGGAAAACTTGTTTAATAAAATCAACAAATTTAAAATAATAATAAAAATAAAAAAAAAAAAGTTTTATTACTATTGAATTTAAAATGAGTTGGGGCATAGTATATGTAGATTTTTTTATAGTTCTAACTGTGCAGTTATTAGAACATTCTAGTCGAACAGCTCATATGAGGGAAGCCTCAAATGCCGTCAAGCGTAAAAACAAAACAAAAATGGAAGATAATCAACTGAAATTTGATATGCATTTAGTTTAATAACTCAGAAAACTGTAGGTTAAATTTATTTTGAGAAACAAGTGAGTTATTAGATTAGTAATTACAGGGTAACTCTAAGTGCATCAAGTAAGGCAATTTAAAGGGATTTTCTTATGACGTTAAACTTATTCAAATGCCATATTCAATTAGCTCAATTAGTCATGCAGTATAATAGGAAAGTTTCTAGTTATGCATATAAATATAAAGAGAGAAAGAGAAATAGAGAAACAGAGATAGACAGAGAAATA